TGATATCATTGCTACGCATATGCAGGACCTTAATGTAGATGCAGAGCTCCTGTTGGTCAAAGTTCAGCTTGTGAACCAAAAACCTCTCTTTGTATGTGTCTTCCACCGTCCTCCATCCCATGGAGAAGAGCCTCTCCTAAAGCTGCACGAATCACTGCGCAAGATTAATCAATCTAAGAACCCAACAATCTGGATCGGGGGTGACTTCAACGTCCCAGATGTGAACTGGAGCATGACCGTAAGGAAACCACCAGCTGAATGCCTGTACACAGAACGTGTGTCTTCAACTTTTTGAAATCATCCACGACTTTTCATTGACACAGCTTGCCAGTGAGGTCAACCATGTTCATGAAACAAGAGTGACAAGGGTCATGAACATCCTAGACTTGCTGCTTGTGACTAATCCTAATTCAATCCCACCGGTCAAAACCTTACCACGTGTATCTGACCATTCCATCCTGACAGCGGAGCCTTCCATTAGACCCACCATTCAGAAGAGCACCCGTCATAAAGTGTTTTTCTTTCACAAAGCAGATGTTGATGCCTTGCAAAAGGACATGCAGTCTTTCCAGAACTCCTTCCTTGATGACCATGATTCAAGAACAGTTGAGGGTAACTGGGAAATGTTTAAAGCGGCTCTACACTCTGCAGTTGATAAACATATCCCGTCATCCATCAGAAGTTCCCGCTTCAATCTTCATTGGATGAATAGACCACTGAAACAACAGTCCGGAGGAAGAACAGATCATTGTATAGAGCAAAACAAACAAACAAACAACACCAAGCATTGGCAAAGATATAAATCCCTGAGGCGCTCCACCAAGAAAGAAACTAGAAAGGCTGAGAGAGAATACATTACTACGGAGGTGTTTGAATCTCTACGCTCTATTAGGCCAAAGAAGTTCTGGTCCTTCATCAAAAGCAGAAGGAAAGATGCCTCAGGAATTGCAGCTCTGCTTCTTGATAACAAATTGGTGAGCCCTTAGTAGACAGTACAAGTCGGTGTTTACACGGAAGAAACTAGACACCTTCCCACCATCGAAAAGAGAACCACTTCCTCAAATCCCAGACCTGAAGATAGGTATAGCTGGCATTCAAAAACTGCTTGAAAAATTGTGCCATTCAAAGCACCCGGACCAGACTGCATTCACCCTTTTGTCTTGAAAAGTTGTGCCAGCCAAATCGCACCCATTTTGACGGCCATTTTCAATCAAAGCATCAAAACCGGGACACTCCCACTTGATTGGAGGAAGGCAAACATCTCTGCCATTTTCAAGAAGGGAAGCAGAACAGATCATTAATACCGGCCAGTGTCTCTAACCTCAAACATGTCATCTACAGTCATGTGATGTCACATCTCCAGAAACACAATGTTTTAAATGACTCTCAACATGGATTTTAGGTCACGCAGATCCTGTGAAAACCAACAGCTCACCACAGTTCACAATAATATTCTGTTCTGCAATGAACCGAAGCCAGGTTGACGCTATTGTGCTCGATTTCGCCAAGGCGTTCGACACATTACCGCATTAGAGACTGCTCAAGAAACTTCATCATGTTGGCATTCATGGATCACTTCATAAATGGATTTCTAGCTTCCTACTGACCCAAAGAGAGCAAACAGTTGTCATCCAGGGAGTCAGTTCCCAACCAGTCCACGTCTCATCTGGTGTACCACAGGGCACACTGTGTTGGGCCCTCTCCTCTTTTTTAGTATATCAACGATATTGCCGAAGGACTGAACTCGAATGTCTGCTTGTTCGCCGATGATTGTGTCATTTATCGCAAAATTACATCTTCATCTGACTGCGAAGACCTGAAGACACTAGAGGAGTGGGAGCAGCGCTGGCAGATGTCATTTAAACCAGAAAAATGCAATATTCTCAGATTCACCAGTAAGAAAAACATCATCCACTCTTCATTCAAGCTCTCTGATCACATTCTGGAATCAGTTAAAAGCCGCAAGTACCGGACGTCGGCACCTCTCATCGGACATGAAATGGAATACTCATATCAATGCAGTCACAGCTAAAGCTAACAGCATGCTTGGTTTTATTGGCGAGCTGCGAAGCAGATGCGAGCCTATGTAATACCGATTTCCGTACGTCTGTCCGTCCGTCCGTCCGTCCGTCCGGCGTACGAACGTCCGGACGTCCGCGTTCAGATAAAAATGTTGAAGTTTTTGGTTCTAGCTAACTTGGTAAAAAAAAATGCAGTTTACATGCATCATCTCTATAACTTACAATTAGGTTCATTTCATTGCAGTTAATTTTATGATTTTATTGAGGAATTTTAATTAAGGAAAATGTTACAGTTTTTAATTGTTAAATGTATGTAATAGTGGGAGAACATGTACATGTACATGTATACATGTATATACCTGTATAACATGTACACTATGCATTTTGGGGGAGCATTCATGTGTATACTTATGTGCATGTGCTTCTGGTGTGATCTTTTAGTTTTATGGGGTTGGAGTAGGGATGGGTAGGGATTGGTTGGGGAGGATGGGGGTAGGGGATAGGGGTTTGGGTTGGTGGGGATGGGGTAAGGGAGGATAGGGGTTGGAATAATGGGTTTGGGTGGGGTGGGGATGTGTAGGGGTGGGGTGGGGACAGGTAGGGGAGACAGGTAGAGGAGGATGGGGTAGGTGGGTGTAGGGGTTGGGTTAGGAGGGGGTGGGGGAGGGGGAGGGATATAGGATTGAAGTAGGGTTTGGGTTTGGTTGGGGATGTGTAGGGGTGGGTGGGTGTAGGGGTTGGGTAAGGGGAGGGTGGGGGAGGGGGTGGGATGCAGAGATTGGAGTAGGGGTTGGGGTGGGGATGTATGGGTATGGGAGAATGGGGTAGGTGGTAGTAGGGGGATGGGGGAAGGGAGGGTGGGGGAAGGGGAGGAGATAGGAATTGGAGTTTGGGTGGGGTTGAGATGTGTAGGTGATGGGGTGGGGGGAGGAGATAGGGATTGGAGTTTGGGTGGGGTTGAGATGTGTAGGTGATGAGGTGGGAGTGGGTGGGGGAGGATGGAGTGGGTAGGGGGTTGGGGTGGGTAGGGGGGGGGGCAGGGCGGGGATGGGGTAAGGTTTGAGGCATGTGGTGATGATGCTGCGTCTACATGTACATGTACATACCCATTCATGTTCCGCATTTGTGGGGACTACACAATACCGGTAGTTCTTCCATGGTAATACATGTATGGGGACAGAAGATTCTGTGGGGGCTGCAAAAAGGATCCACAACTGGGAACTTAATACCCTAACAATGGAAAACTTTCATGTATAAATGGAAATATATGTACATGTATTTATTAGGACATTTGTTGACTTTTTATGTTGGCATTTAAAAACTGACCCCTACACCTTGGCACATCAACGAGAATCCTGATCCCCATCATGCCCATCCCCCAACCCTACCTTCAGCCTCCCTTCCTGCCTTCGACAGCGAGCCATGGCGGCTTCGCCGTTCTAGTTAGACGCAACTTAGGTCCAGCCCCACCCAAGGTCAAACTCTAAGCCTATCAAAGTTTAGTCCATCCTCATCTCGATTACTGTTCATCAGTGTGGGATCCCTTCACAGCCACCAATAAACAGAAGATTGAGATGGTTCAACGAAGAGCTGCCCGGTTCATCACTAACACATATAGCTGGGACAATTCTACATCTGTTACTGCTCTTCTTGAAAAACTGGAATTACCCACCCTGGAAATTTAAATAGGAGATACGTACAGCGCCTCACAAACTTCCACAAAATCTTCAATGGACAGATCGACGTTAAAGTTCCACCTGAAATAATCATTAGGCAGCCAGAAATAACAACGAGACGCTCAAAACCCATCTACCTTCAGAGGCCCTTCACCAATATCAAAGGACTCCAACACTCATTCTTATATCAGACCAGCAAGGATTGGAACGGCCTCCCTCAGCACATTACTGGCATAGGAGACACCAATCAATTCAGTGATACCCTTAGACCCCTTAGCACTCGTCAATAGCATGTCCATCCCTTCAAAGCTAAGTGATGTTCCTGTAGGAGCTTATCAGCTATATATCATTCAAGATCAAGATCAAGCCAAGACTTTGCTGCAAAGTACCTTTGTATACAAATATACATGTAGATACAGATATGTTCCCTATAACGTGGCTTCGACGTTTACCCCGAAATTCATTCAGTGAAATACTGGTACTTTTACCTTATTAAAGCTTGCTATTTAACCTCTGTGAACAATTTCGGTGTCATGAAATTGAAACCGAAATTCAAAAACGGCGGCGTCCGGAAATTGGGCACAAAATCGGCCGAGTGTTCCCTAACGTGGCGCACTTGAATAAATCGCGGAAAATTCCAAATTTTTTTTTAAATTTCTGTAAGGTTGACAAATTCTGCTAAACCATTATTATCTCTACTTTACATACCCAACAAGAAGTGTGTCAGAAAATAATGTTCTTATTTTGCGGGACATTTTTAAAGGGTTCACTGTGCACTTCGAAATAAAATCGGAAAATCACGCCGAAATAAATTGTTCTTCTACCTTTGTAACGGGTAGATAAACTCGTGATTTATGATGATCGGGAGTGTTTAGAACTTGCTGAAATTTCACTGTCTGTGAAATTTCAGTTAAAACTTTTGCTCTATAGCTAGGCGCGCGCTACAGGCGAAAAATCAAAGTGCGCCACGTTAGGGGCCTCGCCACATTAGGGTACAACAAATACATGTACAACTATTTTCACTTTTATCCCCCTTTTATTGATGTATTCGTTCATCATTCATTCCTTTATTTTTTAAAATCATTTTCCGGTGTATCCGTCTTTTTAACGTTTTTTTTTTTTTTTTTACTTCTTCAATGAAAATCCAGCTCGCATTACTTTTACAATGCGTAGCATGCAGCAGGCGCGTTTACCTACCTACCGTAAGCGGCGCCCTTCCCGATAGCCCAATTTAATCTGAAGACGTCATCGCACCTAGTCACCTGATCGACGTACATGTACCTATCACTGTCGGTATCACCCATCGCGCCGGCTCGGTACATGATACATGTCATTGTGTGATATCGATCGTTCGTGATCGTTGTTGCTTAACTCCTAACAGTAACAGTAACTAAAATTTAGTGTGATCAAAAACGTCATTGGACGATGTTGCTGACATGAACCATCAGTAGCCGATCACTGGATGTTGACATGTACATGGGCATGGATTATCAGTTTAATCGGTTATCGTTATCTTTCTGAGTTGACATTTGTCATGATTGTGTAATATTAACTTTCACCACCATCAGTCACTCCGTTGTCTGGTTGTTATATTCATGGTTATCGTTGTGCAGTGTGCACATAACGTGTAGGCTTAGGCGAGATATCTGCGTGCACTGCATTCAGCGCAGGTCAGAAATCGTCAGAAAACTGCACGACCAGCTCTGGTGTGCTGCACTGCACTGCATATCATGATCATAGAATTTCACAGCACATTGTGATTGTATTGAATACTGCTTTTCAACATGGGACAGAAAGGACGGCAGTTTCGTCTGCTTCTCTGGAAGAACTTTATTTTGCAGGTGAGATGAAGTTTGTTTTCAGATCAGGCTTTATTAGCTTGAGTAACTCCAGCTGACAATGCTCATATTCATTCACATGTAGCACTGGAGACATAACCTATTCGTTAGAGTGTGTACTGGTACTTGTAGCAAGAGACCCTAAAAAAAGGGCCTCTACAAAAATGGTCCATTTTCACCTCTATAATCCCACCCCAGATTCCATGGACAGACCTTACACCATTCAGCAGTCATTCACAAAGCTAATGATCGACTTGAAACAGAACCCCCCCCAAAAATGTGAAAATCGTTGAAGATTTCGGCGGCTTGTCCATAAAAACTGTCCAGTTCCACTTATGCAAATGAATGCATCACGTGATGATTATCGGAAAAAAGTTTGCGCGATGTACGGGTGTATGTGGGTACCACACCGCTTTCAAGCGCCGCTAGTGGGTTCAATTTTCGTCTGGTGCATTGTCTTGCTTTCCACGACTGCTATTCACGAATAAAAGAGTGATGAATGACTCAATCTTACGGCCGTTTCAAACCTTGCAGGGTCGTGGTCGTGATGCAGGTCACAGGTCATGCAAAATCTATCCAATCAGAGCATTCATCAGCCCTTCCCAGCGTCCTGTTTGCAGGGCAGGGGGTACGAGCGAATATTAATTATTGTACCGTCCAATCACTTAATTGCTAAATCAATTAAATTAGCTAATTTATTAATGAAATTTAATGAACAGTGTTTTGTTTTTTTAAGATTAAGTACTTTTTTTATTGTACAGTACATCATACATGTAATGCAATTTAAAGCATTTTGCAAATAATGTCAAAACTTGACCGATTGAAGGGATCATTATCATTCTTTTTACGTTAACAAATAACAACGGGTTGCACAAAGGAAATTATGATTTATTTACATTTAAGAATATAAATAAAATGCTAATTTGTTTTACAAGTCAAAAAACTTGAAGTTGGTCTCCATAATTGAACTACATGTACCGGTACTTCAGGAACTTTGTACACTTTTCAAGCAATTGCCGCTAGCGTGCTTATGACTGCTTGCCCAGTCCCCTTGCGCAAGGTTCTCAATTATTGCGATCGCCTTGCGCAAGTTGTAACGTGCGCGCGCAAATTAAAATGATGCAGTGTAATTTGCGTGCTTCGGGAGTCCCTCGCGCAAGTTTAAACTTGCGCGGGGGAGCCGGGGGACTCAAATTGCGCTCGACATTAGTACACAATATCTTTATTAACAACCCTGGTCATCATGGTCATTAGCAATTCGCAACAATTTATGATTTATAAAATCCACTTTTTTTTAAAAGATGGGCCTTCAAAAGAACTTTGTTTAATATTTTTTACTTTTAAACTGAGGTTCAAGTTATCTCTCAATGGTGATGTTTGAACTTGAAAACAAAAATTGATTGACGAAGTTGAAATCAGGTTAGTTGTTCAAAGCACCGGCCGGCGCGGCCAAGTTAAGATTTTGAGCACTTTTGTTGCAAATGAAAATGATGTACCGTATGGAAACTTCCCAAATTTGATGAAAATCACTGACATTGCTGTTTGGCCACACTTCCACCACCATGTACAAAAACATGTAGAACTTTGTCAAATTTTGATTTTCACATTTAGGCTTAGTTTGTAGTTCAATATTTGCTTTAGAAGCATACTCACCCTCTTCATAGGCTAATAAGAAAGTGCTGCCTTTTTAAGATGTCTATTTTTCGTGAAATTTCCAGATTCGTTTGTACACGTTTGCATATCAAAATTTCAACCACAGAATACATCTAGACACACCACCTGAGATACAATTACAGATCAGTGTTTAACCTGTACTAAGGTTTACTTATGTACAATTTGGACAAAAAGTGAACTTTACATTTTTTGTACCATTCAGGTGGCGTATCTGGGTGCACACCGGTAAATAGGCCTAAATCCATCCGACCTCATGAATAAATGTTACACCCTCAAAATATTCTATATTAGAGAGTTCTGAGCGTAGTTAAGTTGGGTAATTGAAGAGATAATTTATGGCAATGAACCCTGGCCCAGACTTGGGGCTTCCAATTCTGAGCATTTTGGATGCAATTGGGCTCAAAAGTGGCGCTATTTTGCCATGTTGTGGAGGGATCGTTTTTCAAGATGGCTACTTGATGGGAAATTAGGGGTCATCTTTTTTGGGTGAGAATTTCTCGAAAAGTCAATGGTCAACCCACCAAAAAATGAAAAGAAATGAAAGATGACATGTTGACCATCATTTTTCTGTGCAGCTTAAATACCTGTGAGAGTTCTGAGTAGGCCTACTGTACTTTTATTAAAAGAATTTTGAAGTACATGTATGGGCATTTAGCAATGGTGTCTATGGGAATTTTAATACAGGGGTGCATTCATCTAGCAATTCTGTGGCCATTTTGAGGTTGAAATCTGATTTTTTTTTTTTTTTTTTGCAATTTGAAGGTTGTTAATTATTGCCTATTTGAAAGCCATGTGATGGCGGACATTCAACTTGGGCCCTGCTGTCGGCTATAGTATAGTGTAGTTACGGGCCTGGTTCCGTTCCGTATATAAAAGAGAACAAAATCCAAGTTTAATTTGACTTACCAAACTACATACACACGTTGTTGGCGTCATTAAGAACATGCAGGTACATGTACATGTCATAGATAGAGGTCAGGGTCAAGGTCATTTTTGAATAATAAAAAGCACCCTTGACTCTAATTTGATCGAAACTAAAGAGGGGCCCGTAACTACTCTCCCTGCTGTTGCCAGACCATGTCAAATGTCAATAAGGCAATAAGTTTGGTCCAAGTTACTCGGGCTAGTAGTTTTGATTGTGGCCATTGTAGCAATGGGTCCCTCTTTCTTTTTGGACCTTGAACTAAAGTAAGCTGAACTTCTTTAATTTTAACAACCATATTTTTTTGGCAATTTTGAACAGGATCTTTCGGTAGAAATGCAATTTTCTTACACATTTTTCAGTTGCAAACCATGCGAATCAATGCAGTTTTGCGCATTTACGGTGCGTCATGGTGATGGCAATTTTTATATTCATGTTGGGATTTGCATTGTCATTTTACGCAAAAAAGTTCCCTAAAAAAATCAAAACAGTGCCCTGTAACCACAATAGTTAAATTTTGCTAATAAGCCAGTTCGGTATCTCAATGAAGTAGTCCAGGTCAAAGGTCATTCGGGATAAAATTGCTGATGTGACAATACAGCATGTACAATGGACCGTCTCCTTGGGTGTTAATGCGCCTTTGGTGAGCGTTGGATTATTCTGAATGACCCGTGACCCACATCATTGTGCGCATAGGCAGTTGAAATACCGACCTGGCTTACTACTTGAAGAACTGCAACTAAATGTATATTCTCTAGGATAAGGGAGTGTAACTACACAATGGCCTTGATTGCTGCAACTGAGGAAAAGAAAAATCACAACTAAGATAAAAACACTCTAAAGCTAGAACAGAAGAGAGGCACGTAAGCTACGCAATCACAATCTTACATGTAATAATGTGTTGCGAAAACAGGCTTTTTTAACCATCTAGCAGTCATCAGACCCCAAAAAATGCTATTTACCACATGTGAGGGACACAAAATTTATCACACCTGAGGGACACAAAATCAAAACCTGTCAGTGTCTGAGAAATGCCATATGTATTGTTAATTAAAGGTATAGTCCATCATTTATAATTTTGTGCATTTTATTCGTTTGAAGCAACAAAAGTTTTCACAACCTTTTAGAAGGATGCTGAACAACTAACTTGATGAAGTTTCAGCTCAGCTTCAGCTGTATATTTGGAGAAAAACAACATTCTAGGTTCTCGATTTCAAATCAAAAGTTGCTGAATCATGTTTAAAATTGGGCCTGAATTCAGCGTCCGAGACACGTTCTCACTGAGCCGATTGCAGCTACGTGATGTCGCGCACTGACCCGACGAACTATAGTAACTGCGCGCTAGTGTGCGTCATGTCAACGCCAGCGCGCGCTTCGCCAAATAAAAAAACCGAACTACATGTACTAACGGAGATTTTCAACGGTGCGTCTTAAGACGCACCATTGGAAAGGCCTTTTTTCGTTGATTTCTTCAAAATGACAGCATGCCAGAAAGAATAATTTTACAGGGAGTTTAGTTCCCTTACTATCTTTCAACCATGTATGTTTTTCCACAATAATTACGTCAGTTACTTTTTGGATGGCTGCAAATGATGGACTATAGCTTTAAATACAATTATTGCAAAGCTGCCATAAAGGATGATACATCTAGGCTATTGATCACATAATCAAATTGACAATATGTACAATTGTTATAATAGTGAACATTAACTACATGTACTTTTTGTAAACTATATATGACAACATGTAGGTCATTAATTGGCATGTCAGTCATCTAATTTGTAAAGGCTTTGTGAATCCACTCTTCTATCATGTTTATGTTGCAGATCCGACGTCCCATTGGAACCACATTCGAATTGCTGCTGCCATTTTTTGCCACAGCACTGCTTCTGCTCGCAAGGTGAGATGTCACAAAGATATCATTTGCTGTCCATGTCTCGCAAGCCATTTATGTGACCTCACTGACAAAGCAACTAATTACACATGAACATTAATGGTAACCTTAGTCAGTTCAAGTCATTGTGGAATGTTCATTTCATTAACATAAAGAAAGTTCTACATGTAACTCTAATTTTAACCTCAACCCCCCTCCCAATATTTCAAAAAGTTGTCTTCTTTTTTTCACTTTAACATTATTATTTATTACCTCCACCAAGGAGGTTACAATGTTTTCATCGGCGTTGGTTTGTAATTGGTTGGTTTTCTGTCAAGATTTAACTCAAAAATTATGGACGGATTTCATGAAAATTGTTTTAGGGGTGGTCCTTGGTACAAGTACAAATTGATTAGATTCTGGAAGTGATCCAGATCTGGGTCTGGATCTATTAGATTTGGAAGTGATCCGGATCTGGGTCTGGATCTATTAGATTTGGAAGTGATCCGGATCTGGGTCTGGATCTATTAGATTTGGAAGTGATCCAGATCTGGGTCTGGATCTACATTTGTATTAGATTTGGAAGTGATCCGGATCTGGGTCTGGATCTATTAGATTTGGAAGTGATCCAGATCTGGGTCTGGATCTACATTTGTATTAGATTTGGAAGTGATCCGGATCTGGGTCTGGATCTATTAGATTTGGAAGTGATCCGGATCTGGGTCTGGATCTATTAGATTTGGAAGTGATCCAGATCTGGGTCTGGATCTATTAGATTTGGAAGTGATCCGGATCTGGGTCTGGATCTACTTCTGGCACCCCGTGTGCTAGACCTGTGAACGTGGCTCTACATAGCCACGGATCGCTGTCAATCTGTGGGCTCGTGATGTATTTTTGAAATACCCGGTTTGAGACCTTCCACTTATGATACATTCCCGAATTTAACGAGTACACATCGTTGAAAGCAAGTTCACATCTTTTTCCAGTTTCAAATTATAAGGCACTTACGGTTTGGACCAGAAGGAAGGGTCACACAATTACCGGTAGGCACACACGAGATAACGATCCTGGATTATTCTTTAATTTCCGCAAAAGTCAAGTTCAGGTCTCTCATGGTTGATTTTATATTGAGTTTATATTGATTTTCAAAGATTAAATCTAGAAATTTTTAATCGCTTGTAATTTGACACCCAATGACGTCATCGTGACGTCAGAGTAATATGCACCACCGGGGATGAGGGTCAATATACCGGTATGTTGAAAGTTTAAAGTTCATATCATACACTGTTTAGCATTAAGGAAGAAAACCCGCTGAGAATTGTCCGGAAAAAAAGAAAGAAAGAAAGAAAAAAAGAAGATTTATCAGAACAATTCTAAACTACAACCCGACCACTCAACAAAATATCTTACTGCGCTGAGCCCTCCAGTGTCTTTCTCTCAAATCACAGTTTTACCCCATTAGTGTGAAAATGAGAAAGGAAAAGAAATCATTTATTGACAAACATAAAATATACACCCTGGAGACAGCGCTCCATGATCTGGTATGTTTATGAGCTTTGTAGAGGGGCCACTGGTAACCTCACTTGTTTACCAAATCCATTGCAAAATTCTTCCTGGCTACCCTTTTTTTTCAAAGCTCAAACTCATGACTCAGCATGCTTTCAAGTTGTATACACTGCATACTGATCATTTTGTTTTCCCTAATTTCTATCTCTCTGTAGAGTTCTCATCAGATCAGAAGACCTCTGTTTCAGTAAGTCTTGATTGCTTTATTGTGTTGATTAAAGGCTGGGGGGATGTGTGTTTACAGTAATGACCAAAACTATGCAGGTAGGAACATTACATGCACATATACATGTAGGTAGGAAATTTTTTTTATGTTTCTCTGTTATTTTTTGCACTTAAGTTTGTTTGCCTTAGTGTATCTTTAATGCTTTTCTTTTTTTATTAACATTTTCAATTGACTAATTAACCAATAGTTATGCAACAAAAATTTGCATATAGGGAAGACTCCTTTTTTTTCAAAATGTACTTTTTTAAAATTTTGTTGGCAAAACATGGTACAATACAAAGTTGTGAGTTCGGCAATTGGGCCTCAAATAAATCCAGGTAGGTTGAGTAACAGTATACATTGTAGACCTACATGTACCGGTACCACAATTGTTTCCATTGCCTAACCACTCAAAAAAGTCCTATTGGCCTTGAATTTTTCTTAGCTACATACGGTAAGTACATGTTTATAGCCCATAAACATCTTGTCTTATCTTGTGGGAAGATCCTTAATACTAGTGCTGTAACATCCTGTATTTAATTTACGGTAAGTCATGATGCAAGTTGCTGTAAGACTTTATAGTTTCCTCATGAATATTTTATGAAATGTACACACTATTGTTGAGGTTGAATGGTGAAGCTTGGACCAAATAGACTACAAACATGCTGCAATTGGCCCTGACATATTGTGTTTAGTAATGTTTTGTTGCCTCCCAACCCTACATGTAATAACCCTAAGTCATGTTAGTCAGTCACACATTTACCAGGAAAAGATGACATTATCAACCCAATTAACAGTCATGCAACTTTCCTGTGGATCTGCCAAATTCCTTTCTTTTTTACCTCTGTCTTATGCCATTAAACATATTTTTAAAATCTCCCAAAATGTCAAGCTTAACTATGGCATGTACATTCTGCTCATTACAATTTTTAAACAGACAATAAATTGTTTCCTGAGTTAATTTCCCTGCCACACCTTTTACACAGGCTAGTCACCAACAGTCAGATCATAATATTGTAAGCAAGCACTGTGACTAGTCAAATTCCATCAACAGACAGAAGCAAGCAAGTGGTAGGCACAGCTGTCTAACCAATCGCCTACATGTATGGTCAAAGCATAGCTGTATCAAGTTACATAAATAGTCACAGCCAGTCAAACCTACCGCTGGGAGTGGGAGCTCTTAAAACTGTTGAAAACAGTCACTTGGCTGATTTTGACTGAAAAAACAACAACTTTGCACAGAATGTATGTTTGCATAGCACATGTATTCAAATACTGAGCCGTTCAGAGACTCCATAGTAACTCCTCAGCTTCTTGACATGTTCAGCTACATTGGATAAGATTTAAAATGTTCTGCACAAAACTAGTATCATAAAATGTGTCTTAGTTGTTTTGTGTGAAACCGATACATACAGTACATGTACGCAACCAACAATATCTTTGGGAGTTTTCATTCATTTTATTATTATTTATTTCTTATTTCAACTGGGTGGCCCATTCAATGGAATCCACTGGTCTACCATGGGTTCCAGCATACATAAAAGACAATAAACACATAACAGTGTACACAAACAATCAACTTAAAAAAATACACATTCCCATAAAGTCACATTAATTTTAAAAGTCAATTAAATCATCGTTAACTATGTACATTCACCAAAAAAATGAAAACTCAATTGCTTAACTCTTATAATGTCTGATGAATAATTATTTTACTCCTGTTTGTTATGTTCCTGTTTGTCCCTGCGTTTTGTCCCTATTCATTACAAGTAAATAGTATTTGTACACAGGTTGGGGTACAAAAGCTATGCTTCACCCTAAAGGCCTACTACCTAACGTTGTTCCGAGTATGTATTTTGTTGATTTACGATAAATGTTAATATAATACATGTAATTATAACATTAATTTTGTATATGAGGAACAACGTTGAATAAATGTCTAGCAAACTGAAATTGAAGTCATGAAGCATGAGAAAATAGGACCCGCCCAAAACTAATTACCAGAATCGTATTAATTTACATGGTAAAAATTCACTTATAAAATAAATCCTGTGCTGTCTGTCTGATGTCTGTCTGATACATCTTTGTGTCACGTTTTTTGTGGAAGCACAAAATGCCATACATGTATGCATGTATCAACGTTTCCTCTCTTATTATGCTGTAATCCAGCATTTTGTCCAGTGTATGCCTGTGCTTTTAGGCCTTTTCACATTATGAACGTCCGATCCGTGTCGAAATCTACATGGTTCCAACCCGTGTCAACTTCTAAAAATTTCAACAAGGTTCAATTTCGCTACATTTTCACACTACTCATCGCAAACCCAGCGTTTTTGCCACATGTGTAATGTTTCGACCCGTTTATTGCGCGATCGTTTCACACTCGGCCGTCCGCCCTACACGTGTTTTGTAGCTCCAACCACGGACCCGCACTTCATGTCAGTCTTTTTTTCTGATTTCGGGCCCATTTTACATCGGAGGATAAAATATTCTGTGACTTGAACTTCTAGCACCATTGAAAGTATATGCGAAGAACGCACGAAAACTCAAGCGTGGTCGGCCACTTCTACTTTCTAGTGCTTACGAAAAAGCAAGCGCGGTCTGCAGGTGTAGCGTGAATTTAGGTGATATGAAATACGGACTCATTAAGGTACATGTATTGCGCATGCTCATGCATAGATAATTAGAAGAGGGACCGGTCATGTGAAAGGGTTTAACCAATAAAAGGGAAAAGGAGTTGATTTTCATAAGAGTCCGATTTTCATATCACTCCGTAGGTGGCGCCACAGGGCAGCAGGTAAAAGGTTATTTGTATGTTCGTTGCATGCTAAAAAGTAACAACTACAGCGTGATGCTGCATGCATGCACTCTCGTACTCTGGCCGGTCCGCGTCCAATGAGTCGATATGCTGAATGTCGAACGTAACCCAGAAGTGTTCACACTACGGCTTTCAACACGTGTTGGACTTCTCGACACGGATCGAGAATTCTCAACCCACCTCCCGAGTAGGGTTAGTTTCGACACGGGTCGAGCGCTCTACACGGGTCATTGCCGTGTTCAAATGTTGTAGTGTGAAAAGGTTAGTCCATTTTACATGTGTCGGACCCGTGTACAACACGGAGATTTTTCGTAGTGCGAAAAGGCCTTATGTGGTATATGCTCCGATTTCACTGTCCTCTGAAGCCACGGTTAGGTCATGAAAATTTTTTCATTTCAATTTATTTGTTTTGTTTTGCTTTTTTTGGCAAATTTGTTTTTTTTCTTCAGATTTTGAATAGTTAGGCCTACATTTAGGCCCTAAATATTGCAACATTATCTCTATGAAAACACATAACATAACGTTCATGATGAGAAATGTGGCAAAATGTGGCGAAATTGCTTCACCAAGTTTACCACGCCCACTTGGGGTCAGCAGTTAAATGACTCCATGCAGCTACTTTGCACGGCATCCCGCTAGTGAAGGATCAAACTGACAACACATGATGTGTAAAAAAGACCGACCTTATACAGCAATTAAGAGTGGGCAACCAAATCAACTGCAAAAGAATAAGAAAAACTACAATATTACAAATTACAGCATAAAGTTACTGTTTGGCCATGTACAGGTTCTTAGCAATCCTCTCTCTGCATGGTTTCATAAGCCTAAAATAAATTTGTAATTCAAGGTAAAATGTAAATTATGTAAGTGCCTGTTAGACCATAGACATGATAGACAAAGGAACATTGTACTTGTTTTTATGGTCAAACATAAATATTCTGTAATCCTTTCATGATCAGTGCATGATACATGTACCGGTACCGGTACGTGTCTACTGTCATGACTGTACTGCCAGGCGGTTGGTAATTTGTGTAGTTATACTGGCCCTGTTCCTATTAATAGAACAAAACTACATGTAGGTATCTATAGGTTATTGGAGTCGCCTACATGTTCTGCATGTAGATTGCAATGTTAAAACAAAATAAGAATGTTGTGGACAGAACCTCATCGATTTAGCAGTGCATCAACTGAAAAATGCGTCAGAAAACTGTGCCTTCTATGAATAGATACTGTTCAAAATAACAAAAATAGGGTCATCAGAATTAAAAGAAGAGTGCCTAAGGTCATGAATGTTACAGTATAGTTCAGTTTGGAATGATGAAGCCACTTAAAAGACTATGAAGGGCCTGTAACTACATGTACTCAATCACCACATAATTAAACTTGGAAAAATATCAACATGCAGCATTAGCCATAAGGGCGTCTTGCAAATAAAAAAAATTTCTATAATGATTCCCAAGCACTCATCCAAATCTTTGATAAATATCTACCGGTAACATGATTGCTGTTGTTTCCATGGTTACAGCAACCTTTGAGCCAGGCTTCTCGGAGCAAGAGAGTCTGTCTGCGTCGGACATTGAGCGGCTTCAGACATGCGTCACCAATGGCACAGGATGCCCCCAGTTGGCTTATTACCCAAACAACAACCTCAGTAAGTAGTTTCTTCTTTACATAAGGACATACATGTACCTTGTTTATTCTGTGGTTGTCAAATTTCCGACCAACCCTATTTTGGACTCTGACCATAAAAAAATACTTTTTTATTCCTGCCGATCCTGTCTGGAACTCCCATTAAACAAAAACAACTACATCTTTCCAAAGATGGCTTTTGTATTTAGTTCAGTGTTCACCACCCATGATAATCTCATTGCAATAAACAAAACAAGAAACAAAGTTTACTTGGCATCATTTAATCTAGCCATCTACATACATGGGTTCAACTGCAAATTTTTGTTTTCTTCAGATTTTTTGTTATTTTGCTGATGGGCCAACCCTACTTCACTACTTCAGAGGCCAAAAAATATGAGAACCATAGAAATAAAACGGGATGCCAATAATATTAATGTCCCCCAACAGTCTGACAGGAATGATTATCACAAGATGTTCTGATGATTCTTTTTATCGTGGCCCATTACATGTCAATGTGCTGAATATGACTAAATGTAATTATATCAGAATGATGGATGATTTATTTATGAGATTTATTTACAAGATGAGATAATTTATTTAGTCCCTATACATGTAAATACGAATGATTCAATTACAACAATATGTATAAAATTACATCTTTTTGTATTATAATTTATTCATTATTAATATGCCATGTATGTGTTGACAGCGATGCATTACCTGTAAAGAGTTGACAAATATTTGGGATTGTAGGGGCAATTCCACGGTTACTCACGTTACATTTTTTATGTACTTTTGAGATTCCTTGGGCTGTAATTACCTTACTGAAAAGGTTTAAGAACTGTTATCCCCATGTTAGATACAGTAGACATACATTGTAGACCTACCTCAGCACCAAAGATGACATCCAGAAAAATGTGTTATGTATGATAAATAAAACACACAAAATCGGTTACTCACGTAACGAAAATGTAACGTGAGTAACCAATTTTGTGCATCTTGTTTATCATACATAACACATTTTTCTGGATGTCATCTTTGGTGCTTAGGTAGGTCTAGGTTTACTCTATCTACCATGGGAATAACAGCTCTTAAACCTATTCAGTAAGGTATTTACAGCCCAAGGAAACTCAAAAGTACATCAAAAATGTAACATGAGTAACCGTGGAATTGCCCGTATGTTACTTTTAGCAAAATGATAACAAATTCTGTTGTTAATTACTAAAATTACATGGACTTTCACATTTTTAAAAAGTTACACGTACATGTACACATCATGTATATTTGTAAATAAATCAGGCGTGTAATCATCATATTAGGGAGATTTGTCAATGACCTGTTCCTATTTTATATATTTATTTTGCATGTCAAAAAGCTAAAACACATTGTCTCCAATAATGAGTTCATCTCAGAATAAATATCAGACATGTACATGTACATCAACAGGATCCCAATTACATCCCACCAATACATTTGTCAATTTTTTTCACAATAGTTCCCATACTCGACATGATATTCCACTGAGTTCACATTCTTTCCATGCATAGGGTTATTGCCTGCATGAGGTATTCACCAAGGCTTGTGAATTATGCAAATCTCTGTATGTGTATTATGCTGACCTCATGTTTATTCATTTCCCTCCCTCCCCCACTCCCCCCCCCCCCTCATCAGCCTCTGCCCTAATGCTTGGCGTAGCCCTGCAAGTGACAATCCCTCTGTCTCCTAGTAACTTCTCGTCAGAGGAGGAGTTGGTGAAAACAGCAGCTGAAGACCTGGACAGTTACTATGGAGGTGAGAAGAGGGAATTTGTGTCAGGTTTACTTATAATTTTTTTTCATTAAAAGTAACAGCTGAACTGTTGAACATTGGAAGAAATAAACTTTATTCCAATAAAATACAGATAATAAGCTTCAAATCAAAGTAATACATGTTTCAATTGTGGCATTTTTTTTTATAGTTTTCATTGAAGTTAATAATTCCTTGCAATTGCCTAAAGAAGTATTTGGAAAAGATGAACTGTCAGTACTATTTTTAGCTTAACCCTGAAAAAATACATTTTTTGTTTTCAATTTTGTGTCTGTGACCAATTAATGTGTCTGTGACCACATGGTTATGAATGTGACTATTTCAATCATTGTTTAAATATTTGCATGCAGTGATAGTATTTGACATTGGCAATGACACCACAACACTCCCTAAGGATGTCACCTATAAGATCCGTCTGCCTCATGACATAGTCCGACAGGAAACTTGGCGAACCGAGCGGACCTATCCCAACTTTGACGTAGTTGGGCCACGACTATACAAGTAAGCTTTAATTCTAGTTTGAATTTACCCAGATCCAAGACAGCCTGGCAAAAGTGTCAAACTGTTTTTTTTAATGTAATACTAGTTTCAGACTGACATAATATCTGAGTCGTTCGCTCCAAACCAAAGTAATCCGTACATTTGAATGAGGCGCATGAAAAGTTTGATGTTTGCAACAGTTAGGAGAAACCTCGTCAACAGTTCAACTTTACCAGAGTGTCTTGATATAAAGATGTTGCTTTGAGTGTTGCTTTACACTGCAAGTTCACCTGTCTTAAACACTAATTCTCTTTTCGGCCCAAGTCACTTCAATGGGAGTCAATGGATTATCATTGAATCTCTACGTAACTATCCATCATACACAGCAGTACTGTTATTGACTAATGCGTGAGCACCTTTCCCCTAATTTCCAGGTGTTTAAATGTGTGTAATTAGTGTACACAATCTGATTACTTGATAATCCCCTCTACTGTTACATACAAGCATGAATGTTGGGGAAACCTCTGAAATTAAGTCCTTGTCAAAAACAAAATGATCCTAAATGTGAACAAATGGCAACTGAGAAAAGACAGTTTCATGAAATCACCGTTTGTACGTTCTCAGAAAATATTTTAAACATTTCTTCAAGAAATATACAGTACGGCTCCCAAATTGAGTGGTCTATCAACAATAAAATACAACTAGAGGTTGTAGGAACAACCAGGCAGTGTTAGGCCATGGACTATCGCAAACTTTTTTCAAACACATCAACAGTAAATGCATGTTTTAATCCATGTTTAACTTAGTCAACATGCCGCTAGAGGGCGCTGTCACATTTTATGACGTCACCTGTAATATTTTTGTAAAGTACATCCTAGGCAGAAATTCACATCGTTGAAAGCAAGTTCACATCTTTTGCCAATTTCAAATTATAAGGCACTTCCGGTTTCGACCAGAAGGAAGGGTCACGTGATTTTGCACTTAATACTGTAACATTTGAGCAATTTACGCAATTTGTTTTGACTTGGCGTGCCATAGAAAGCAATAGACGCGCGATTAGTTTGTCGCCGCCAGCGGGCTAGTTAGTTGGTGAACGCTACTCGTGCTGGGAGGACCAACCAAGCCTACCGGAGTGTCAATCTCAAGGAGGCGAAAGGGCGTACTGCAGTAAGTACATGTACATGTATATGTGCCTACCTACCTTTAGCGTGGGACATATAGCGGAGCCATAGAGGCGCGACTGTTGGCCGGACGCCTCGAGGGACGACGTACGCTAGCGAGCGTACATCTACTGAGGCATCGGTCCGAGCACTGAGGCGCAGGGCTGCTGTAGGTAGCGGTGGAGGCGTTAGGACTCATCAGGAAGTTACACGCTCCATATAAACCAGGCTCACGAGGAGCCTACCCCTTTGAGGCCCGAGGAGACGAGAGGCGTTGCCGAGGGAACAACTGTACGCGACATTTAGAAGTTCATAAATGCAGCACTTGCGTGGTGGATAAGTGCAAACTAGTGGCGGGAGGCGCTATACACTCGCTAGAGGCGCCATAACACTCACTTAAAGCGCTGCTTAGGGCTTATTCAAGTAAATCACTTTAATCATAATAATTGATCTAATTAAATAAATCAGTGAAACCTTCTTCCTTTTGTCATTGCGTCACAGTCATTTTTACATGTTTGTCAGTCTGAATTGTCTGTCCGGAAGTGAGCGATCTACCGGTAGTGAGTAGACTGAGTATACGTGATGGTATATTTCCAACCTAACGGACCTGCACCTCGGCGCTGTTAGGGTTACTCGCCTTACCCGCAAGTGTTCGCCGAGGACAACCGACCTGGCAATAGTAAACCCGCCACAATACCAAAAATGAAGACCCTGCAATATTGTATCGATTGTCATAAAAAACAAAACCAAATTTGTAGCAGTTGATATTACATGTACATGTATATTGATTTTCAAAGATTAAATATGGAAATCTGTATTTGCTTGTTATATGACACTTGATGACGTCATTGTGACGTCATTGCCAGAAACCTCCAGAGCTATATTTACTGTGCTATACATGTATATAGCCACATCTTGCTTATCTCTCACGGTTGATTTTTTAGCAATTGTTTAAGGTTTAACGGTCTTTTCTTTATAACTTCCGGTCTGATGACGTAATCAATGTTTTCGCGCACAGGTCTTTTCTGCATTAAGTTCATCATGTATATTAAGTTTGAAGCGATTACCGCAAATTTCGCCACATACATCAAGTGATAATGAGTTTTTGACGTTTTTTAACCTGCCGCTAGAGGGCGCTCTAACATTTTATGACGTCACCTGTAATGTGTTTCTGAAGTACAGCCTAGGCAGACACTCACATCATTGAAAGCAAGTTCGTATCTTCTGCCAATATTAAATAATAGGGCACTTTCGGTTTCGACCAGAAGGAAGGGTCACATGATTTTGCACTTACCGGTAATACCGAAAATTACAACCCTGCAATATTGTTTCAATTGCCATAAAGAACAAAATCAAATCTGTAGCAGTTGATTTCACATTGATTTTCAAAGATTAAATCTAGAAATCTTTGATTGCTTGTAATATGATACTTGATGACGTCATTGTGACGTCATTACCAGGAACCTCCAGAGCTATATTTACTGTGCTATATATAGCCACATCTTGATTACATCTCTCACGGTTGATTTTTTAGCAATTGTTTAAGGGTGAAAGATTGATTTATAGTAACTTCCGGTTTGATGACGTAATCAATTTTTTTTCGCGCGGAGGTCTTGTCTGCATTATGGTCATCATGTACATTAATTTTGAAGCGACTACCTGACTACCGCAAACTTTGCCACAGACATCAAGTGAAAGTGCGTTTTTGACGTTTTTTAACCTGCCGCTAGAGGGCGCTCCAACACTTCATGCTGTCACCCATCATATTTTTTAAAAGGTCAATCCAGGCAGACGCTAACATCATTGAAAGTGAATTCATATGTTCTTCCACTTTCAAATTATTAGGCACTTCCGGTTTCGACCGGAAGGAAGGGTCAAGTGATTTTACGTGCACAAGATAAAATGAAGAGCATGTACATGTATTATCATGTCGATTCCCGCAAAATTCAAGTTCCGGTCTGTCACGGTTGATTTTATATGGAATTTCAAAGATTAAATTTATTAAACTTTCAAGTGACGTCACGTGACCCATGATGACGTCATAATGACATAATTACAAAAAAGCACATCTTCAATGGATTGTGCATTGACAAATGAAGTTCATATACATGTATGTTTCCATTTTCCAAACAGTTCCGGAGAAGAATTGTGTCTTGGAGAATAAAAAAAAAAAAAAGTGAACTTTTACAATAACAATAGGTGTTGGGCTCAAAAATATCTTTCTATTGTCGCATCATCGTGAAAACGGAAGCCCATATTCCATATGCAAATAACCCTAGGAGTCACACATGCGCAGTGGAAAGTGGCTGAAACGTATGTGGTTATCCATTGAAAAACAATTGTAAAATACAACTAAAGATTCGCGTTTGTTGTTACAAACGCAGAGTGGTCGGGTAGACAACTATTTTATGAACACTGTCCAGTTAAGTAATGAATATTTTTATGTAAGAGCAAAGGATCTCGAAATTGAATCCTTTTCAGGACAATCAATTATTTTGTTTAAAAAATGCATCTTAAATGCTGTGATAAATTTCAGTAAACATTCAATGTACACATACAAGTTATTTCTGGCTTGATAACGTCATTAGTCAAAAACGGGAAGTGAATACCGATTTAGTTTGGAGTGGATGTTAATTGTGAAGTTATTGAACGTATGAACATTTGGAAAAAATAAGTGTATGTATTCATAACACCAAACTTCCGGTTTGACGACGTCACAGTATTTGGAAGCAAAAGGTGAACATTCTAATGGTATCGTTATTTGGGCTAAGATATACGACATGGATCAAATGATAAAATTAAATTTTTACAACATGATCGTTGGCAAATTCTCATAGAAGTAACTTCCGGACTGATGACGTCATGAATTGGAAACTTTGCCAAGTTATCTGTGGTTAATCAAAAAATATCAAGGGGCGATTTGGTAAAATTTGAATCTATAGTTTTATAATTAAAGAAAAGAAACATTATTTTATGTGCCGCTAGGGGGCGCCCTTTCGGATGATGACGTAATCACACGTTTTTTGTGTCTGGCATTTCTCACTAAACACTTTCATAATATATGTCTGTAGTAAAATGCTTCCGCTTTTGAGTTATATTAAGTTTTTATTGCACTTCACACCGGAAGTAAAGGTCAAGCGGTTTTGTGTCCGGTAACACAAAATATTTCACACGGCATTGTCTACAACCTCACGAAAAAACAAACACGATACTCTATTTCGTTTAAAAGATAAAACGCAAACTATTTTGTCAAAATTTGCCCTTAAATCGCTTGTTATTTGATACCTGATGACGTCATGATGACGTAACAAAAGTTATAACATCTTCGTAACATGGTACAAGTTCACACAAGGTTTTGTGATCATACCGTTAACCGTTCAGAAGAAATTGTGCTTTGTTTTGATTTCAGGCTAACGTCTTCATTTTGAATTCACCTACGGTAACTTTGACCTACCAGTAGACCCGGAAGTAAAGGTCAAGCGAGTATACGTACACGACAAAAAATGTTTAGCAATTAATGGTCTATCTGATAATAGAATACAAACATCATTGATTATTTAGTTCAAGAGTTATAGGTGAAAGTAATTGGTCACTTTTTCAGCTAAAATCGCTTGTAATTTGACACCCGATGACGTCATAATGATGTCAGAGTAATATGCACCACTTAGGACGAGGGTCGATATATATTGAAAGTTACAAGTTCCTATCCTAAACCGTTTCGGAGAAAACCCGCGGAAACATGCTATACGGGAAAAAAAGAAAGAAAGAAAGAAAGATTAATCGTAACAACTCCAAAGAGTGGTCGGGTTGTACCCGACCACTCAAATATGATTCCTGGGATCAGATCTGTCAGAGAATTTACCAATTCAGCGTTACTAATCTTTAAATGAGTGAATGAGTGTGCAGCAGATAACCCTTAATTTAACTTATTTATTTAAAACAAATTCATTTACTTGATGCTTGTAGCTTGTGTAACAAAAGCCTGTCCTGATTATTTTGTTGCATCTTGGGTAATGGCATGAAGGATGTTGCATGCTAGACATATATTAACATTTATTAACATTGTGCTTGAGTTTCAAGACCATTTATTTCTTTTAAAACTTCTTTTAAGGTTTCAAGAGCCTAAAATTTAAAAAAAAATTGATCTAGCAGAACAAGGATGTACATGTATGAACCTTTGTATAAATTTGGGTTGTATTTTATTCAGCAGACATCACAGCTACATGTAGCTTTATTTTATGTCTGTTGGAGTCAGTGCATGCTTGTTTTGATTCTGATGGACTCTGCAGTGGCATTCGAAAAAAAATCGATACAATGAGACCTAAAAGCAGCACTGAAAATAATGAATTTGTTCAAACTTAATTAAAATCTGCCTATTTTTTTTGTTTTTTCCACGTTTCCCCTTGAAATCTTGATATCATGTACAGTCAACTCTCGTTAGTACAAACTCTGTTAATACAAAATTCTGGTTATAACAAACATAAAGCCTTGGTCCCGACTGTGTATTTATGTGCACAATGAATGGGACTGATGTTCCTCTTAATACAAAATTCTGATATAACAAACAATTTGGCTCGGTCTGAACGATTTGTTATAACGAGACTCGACTGTACAATGTACATGTTTAATTTCATGAAGGTACTGATACATAAACATGTACAATAAACCTCAAATGTATAATCAGGGCATCTACACAGATGATTGCTACTTAGTGCATGTTGCTCATTAGCCTGCCTACTAATCATTGCCGCTATATTAACCTAATTTTCCCCCTATCCAGCTTGTACAAAACCCGTTTCCTAGCCTTGCAGCATGCTATCGATTCAGTCATAGCCAGCTTCCATGTGGCTGAGATAGATGGTCTGTTCGGTGCCTTCCAGAAATTACGTACCGTTGAAGTACAGTTGCAGGTAAGGATAGCCAGATGAATTTCAGTACTGTGCATTTTTGGAAGAATTAAGCCTTTGATATTCAAATTGGATCCGATGGAATATTTGAATATTCACAAGACACTGATCAAGTTTTTACTTCTGTCCTGCACAAGCATGAATTGTATGCGCCGTTCATTAATTATATGGGGTGTCAATTGGGAATTGCATGTGCCTGTCGAAATTTAACAAAGTATCAAGAATGTCACATACGGTACTTGTATGCATCAATACCTTTTTCTCAAGGTTGCTGATTAGCTCGGATATTTGATAGATTTTTAAAATGCCATAAGAGCCTCTGTTCCTCAAAGGAGGTCTTCTATTAAGTCATGCACCTGTAAACCAACTGTCAACCGAAATGTAGCATTTGACACACAAAAACACCAAGTCTTATGCACCTACCTGTAAGATTAAAATTTGGACCTTTTTCTTGGTCTTCTCCAGACCCTTTACTTTTTATTAATATTCAAATAGGCAAATATTCAAATCGAGCATGGAAGTGCGTTTCCTGTCCCATTATTATTATCCTGATATGAGTTCTTGTGATCAAAGTCCCAAAAAGGTACCTTTTATTTAATAAATATTCAAATATTTGGTATATTTTGCACAGCCCTATCCCAATGATCTCCAGTGCCACACAGTGGCTAAGAACTGAGATCCACAGCTTGCATTTTATTTGAAATTAATCAATTGTGTAATTCAAGATGGACTTGCCCGGTGAATCAAATTGACGTTGTTGACGTCTGTAGGGTAACCATGGAAACCAGGCAATGTAATGATGTAACGACCCGCTAAGAGATAATAAATGTTACTTGGCTCCACATAATGTACATGAGACCTGAGACAAAGCCAATAGTGGTAACTGTATTTCACTTATTGACAATTTTTTCAGGCCTGGTTGTAAACAAAACACTTGACTTTTTTTGCTGATTGTGAACAAGTGTATCAATGATTCGTCCACTATTAAAAATCTTTCAAATTAATCTTATAATTGTTTTTTTTAATCAGTTAACTCCAGAAAATGAATTGAAACAGTATATCTTGTAGCCAAAAGTTTTTTTTAATTGTATAGAGTAATTACCTAATTAATAATTACTCAATGGATAGGTTGGTGGAAGGAAATGAAGTCGTTGAACTTTTCGTCCGGCCTTTTTCTCATACGCGCTAATAAATGCCCACATGCAGCCATCACTAGACGTCATCAAGACCTGAAGCCGGACAAATATAGAAACTAATTTCAGTTGCAAGCCTGTAATCACTCTACAAGCCATCTCCTTCGTAATAGGATGATAACGAAATGCTTGAAGTCATATTCTATACACTATTTGCTAAATATGTTGTTATGCTGACTCAAGCAACAACACAATAAATCTGAAGCAGGATATTAAAAAAAATAGTCTGTTGAAATCTCAGCTCAGTAGATGTCTTTTGAAAACACTGTGAAAATACATCTTTTATTGATGAAAGCAAGGATTCCAGTGAGAGCCCTTACTTTCAAGTAGACCCGTAAACGTGGCGTCAATAACAACATTGACGCCACGTTTGCGGGTCTGCCTTTCGAGTTGTTTATTGTTCGTTTAAACTTGCACCATACTGTGTGGTATGATACGCAGTGTGTCACTTGGGAATATATTTCTCTTTCATAAATACCTAAGACAGTTTACGCATTCCTATTGGTCGAGAGCCCGTCACGTGGCCGGTCTTAAACGGATGATAAAGACATGGCTAGCTGGTCTTAAACACTTTTCCAGTGTCACAATAAAATGTGGACTCCTAAAAATCCAGTGCCTCTTATCGTTTCATTGGTTGAACGTTCACAATCCTCACGTAGGCATGCGCAACACTACCAGGGAGTCAGAATTTTATAGTTCTAAATTCAAAATGCAACTCGCCAGGTATACGCGCGCGTCAATCTCCATAAAAGGATTGTTTACATCTTACTCACCAGCTGAACACTCCATTATTTTGCAAGAGGGATGTTTCAAAAAGCATAAAGTGAATTTGTTGAACAAAATCGGGATGTTTTGAATGAATTATATGATTTTTTTTTTACCGAAAAGGTATTTATGAATGGGAATAACAGAGTGATAAAAGCCTCCGGAGCACACATTTATTCCCTTATTCAAGGATATGTAAGCGATAGCAAACTAAACTGAATTTCGTTAATTTGGAGCAGTCTTTGGGAAAAAAAAGACCAAAACCATTGCGAGGAAATTATGTTAATCCCTTTATCTTGCAAGTGATAGCAATGCGCACTTATTTCAAAGGATGCTTGATCCTATTATTTACTTACAATCAAGTAGAATAGTTTGTAATATTTTTGGCAGTTTTGTGTGCAAATGGTGTCCATTACCTTTATTTAAAAAAAAAAAACCCCACAACATCAGAATTTTGATAACCAGTCCTCCGGACTTAGTATAAAAAAGTCACAATGGCAAAATTGTTTACAACTTGTATTTTTCTCTGTTGATAAATGGCCGATATATTTTGTAAATGTATTAATTTTTTTCTTTCCTGTATCTTCTCTAGCAATTTCCGCACCCGGCCTACCTGTCAGACAGATTTCTACTCACCCTGGAATTCCTGATGCCTTTCCTATTATGTCTAAGTTTCATCTACACGGCAGGAACCATTGTCCGGGTAAATTAGATTTGCAAAACTTATCAGAGTGAAAAAAGAAATCATTGTTCTAGTAAAGAACTTGTACATATAACATGTATAGCATTATTGCGTAGTAATTTGTTCGTCCTTGATTCTTGTTTCTGATGGTTTTTCCTGTCCCACAAGTCGTCCTGGTCAGTTCGTTCTGACCATAACCCAAAGGAACACAATGCCATCATCCCACAAGTCTCATCTGTCAGGCCATCGGTCAAAGGTCATAGATCAAAGGTCAAGTGAAGTGAGGAAGTTTACAACATTGTACATGCTTTCATTGATTTTGGTGAAACTTATATGCAGTGACCCTTGGGTGGGAAGACACATTTCTATATCTGATTACTGAGGTCAAAGGTCATGAAGGGGTCATTACTGGTCGTTCAAATATGCTTCAAGTGTTTCTTTGTCTACAGTATCGATGGATTGTAATGTCACTTGGATGGAGTGATCCTTGGGTGGGGGTTCATCAAAACTCTTCCGAAATTGGAGGTCAAAAGTCCTCTGGGGTCAATTGAGGTCGTTTTGTAAAAAATGCACAAAAGTTCACTTTTTTTTCAGAGCACAAAACATATAGGGATCGCCCGCGGAAAAAGGCGAAACATGCGATCTGCAGGTCACTTGTTACTAAGTTACATGTATATTGCTTGTTAAGGTCATGCCATCATCTTATACAATGACTTCTTGTTTCATGGTTATTTGATACTTTACTTTGGTTGGAAATAAATGTTGCTGAAAATTAAAATTGAAATTGAACTCCAAATACAATTTGGATTTAAAACAGGAAGTCAACTAAATTAAAAAATTGCATTCACATGTGGCATTGAATATTAATGTATTGCTTCTCATATGAAACAACTTACAAAATTAAGTCTGTAAAATCATATAGATTTACTACATAGTAAAATTGACTGGTCTTAACTGTTTGGTCAAATTGATTGGCAGCACAATACACAAAAAGTAATATACCGTACATATGGCACTCAAAATAGTGACCTTACAAAATTAAGTCTGTAAAATCATATAGATTTACTACATAGTAAAATTGACTGGTCTTAACTGTTTGGTCAAATTGATTGGCAGCACAATACACAAAAAGTAATATACTGTACATATGGCACTCAAAATAGTGACCTTACAAAATCAAGTCTGTAAAATCATATAGATTTACTATAGTAAAATTTACATGTGGGCAATTTCACGAAAAAGTGGACATGGCTGAAAAGTGGAAAATTCACTACAAGTATCACAACCTCAAATATGGTATCAAATGAAAGAGGATGTAATTACATGTATTATTAGATATGTATGAAAATATCGGTACTCCTTTGTTATGGCTGTTTCACTTGAAAGAAACTATGAAATTATATGCAAGACAATTTTTTTCTTGTCCTTTTTGTGCCAAGTGTGAGTAATCACATTTCCAAAGAGTGCCATGCTCAAATGAGGGAAGATACATTGTACATGTACAACTTTTTTTTGTCATCTGGGAAAAGCCTTGCATAATTGATGCAAGAAAAAAGGAAAGACATATGACTTCTAATCTAGTATCAGGACCACAGCACTTGGACTGTTAGGCCAAATAAAAAAAAAAAGTTTAGCATCCCCGCCTGCTTCCTTTTTGGAGGCCGCCTCCTTTTTTTCTTTTTTTTTTTTTAAACACACAAAAAAATGATAAATTTTAAACAGTGACATCATTCTGGCCTCTTTGTCTGTTGCATCTAGCTCATATAAAGCTGGTACAATGTATGTCATTCCTAAGTCCAAGTGGCGGCCATTTAAAAACAAAGCTGGTGGCCATCTTGAAAAATAGCCCAGTCAGGGCGGCCATTTTGGAAGGAAAACAAAAAAGGGCCGCCTCCTTCCTTTTTTTCAAAAAGGAGGACGCTAAACATGCTTTTTTTTTTTACTTGGCCTTAAAGGAGGTTGAAATAAAAAAGAAGTGTAATGCAAGTAACCTTGAAATTGCACATCTACACGTACATGTATCTTTATGGCACTGGGTATTTTCATAACAAAACTGACAAGGATGTTAATTGTGATTATGATTCTTTCTATACATGCGTCTTTGTGTTCATAATTTTTTTTGTGAATTTTAGGAACTGGTTTTGGAGAAGGAGAAACGTCTAAAGGAAAGCATGAAGATGATGGGTCTTGCCAACTGGATCCACTGGTCGGCGTGGTACATCAAAAATCTAGTGTTTCTTCTTGTGCCGATTATTTTGATTACCATCCTGTTGAAGGTAACTTGCCTCCCCCCAACCCAGATATTTTTCTCCCAACCTTAGATTTTGAAGGACCATTACTTTATTAAAGGTACAAAAGATCATTTGCTCTTTGTGCATTTTGTTCCATTGTAAGCAACACTATTACTCAAAATCTTAAGTACATGACAACTAATCTGTTAATATTTTAGCTCAGTAGCTACTGCAGGTACAATGTATATATTTTGAGAAAATCAAGAAAATATTTTTGAGGTCCCATACATGTAATTGGATTCCATGGGTACGCTTTCTAAATGGCCTTCAATGATTGCTTTCTTTCAATTGAAACCATTTTTGGTGGAATGATTTCACAGGATATTTGGTACCGTCCCTACGTGAGCGAAGGTTTTTCCTCATTAGATCAGTAGGTGCAATTCCTGGTAATTACCAATGTACTTACATGCCTTTTATAAAAAAAGAATACCCAAGCCCCCATATTTATTTTAGAAGCTGCAAATTGGAGCTCATACAATGTAGATACAGACTCTTAAAATACTTGCCAGTAATTTTAAAATGAGCTGATCTTTCTGCAGACATCAGAGTAGAAACAAAAAGTTTAGTGTGGGCTAACACTATTTTCTTTTTTTGTTTTTGAATATACACAAATATACAAAAACTATACAAATACAATATTTGACAGCCAGGTTTTCAAAATTACTAAGAATTTTCAGGAGAGTTGTAATTTTGGTGTTTCTTTTTCTTTCTGATATTTACGTAAAGATGGAATGCTATTTCCTGTCAAAGTCTATGAAGGAATGTTACGTAGAATTTTACCTTTGCCCAAACTTAATAGATAAAATCATAGAGCAGAAATCAGCTGGCCTGCCTGTTGTCCTCTAAAGAGTTTTTGATTCATACTACCTGTACTGTAATTTTCGGAATATAAGCTGCGGCTTATACGTTGAATTTGCCCATGAAAATGTTCACTGCAGCTTATACACAGGGCAGCTTATGCGCCGAGCCTTTAAGAATAAAAATGAGATTCAAATGTGTATTTAATGTACTGGTACAAGAAAACATCTGTTGCTGAAATGAATTATCAATTAAGAAAGTCATTGACAAACCGAAAGCCCACCCCACGAAAATATACCGAGCGGTAAAAAGTACGACAGGCTGGCCAGCCATGCGTGAGTGAAAGCTATCTTCGACAACCAGCCGGCTGTACGTGATACTGCTGCATGCCATGCTGCATGCATTTCCAATGGACCACACCATTTGTGGTTATAAAGGGGTGTACTTTCTTGGGAACAATAATTACCAATATTTTAGCTGTTTAAAAAAAGACAAATAATACTTTTCATGGAGTTCAAAACATTTCTTTATTCGATAATCAGTTGTTCAACGTCACAATATATATATATTTTTTTCTTGAAATGTATTCAGGAAACGATGTAAACCTCAAAACAGGGGTGAAATCACCCCTTACGAAATTAATGGATTCGTCCATAAAAATGTCAGCATCGTGTTGACTGTTTTCAAAGAAAGTTACTATCAAAACTTGAGTTTTTGACGTTACTACTCGTTAGTAATCACAACAATTTGATAAGTTTTGTTGTAAAAAAGGATCTTTTTATTCTTAGGACAAAGCAAGATTTGTAGCTCTCCAGTCAGACAACACATGGGTGGGTTGCATACTCTCTCAAGTGCTGCGGGAAAATGTTGTCATTCGCCGGCGCTGGCTGCCGGGCCATGCACTAACTTTTAGGCTGGGAACCAGAGGGGCCAGCCGGCAGCAATTCCTAGTGTTTATATTTCTCATCAATTTCCATATTTGTTTGTAAGAGTGTCGACTGTAAATGATTTGATATAACTTTTGTGGCCCTTTTTATAGCTTTTGTAGTGTAAATGGAACTGGTTCGGAGCATTTTGACTAGAATTTGGAGGTCTTACAAAATTGAAACCGCTGCAGTCGGTGCGGCTTATACGCCGGTGCGGCTTATACGCCGGTGCGACTTCAAATCTTAATTTGCAGATTTACACTCCGCGTGGCTCATATTCCGAAAATTACGGTAGATGTCTAAAACTGTTCATAGCATTCCCTGGTTACCTTTATGAAGACATACATGTAACATTGGGACAGGGACAGACTGGTACCAATCAATAACTAATTGTAAACACCGCCTTCTTCAGTAATCCTTTCACCTGACAGTAATCAATACCTGCTAAGTGCTCTGTGTCTATCATACCGGTATGTTGACCAAGTTGCTGTAATGCCACTCTTAATACTCAGTTATTGTTTGTGTAGCTTTCTTTGTTGCATTATGTTTGTTGTTACCATGGAAACCTTTCAGTAATATTGATCTGTTCACAAAAGAGGGGTATCAAATGCTGGAAAATGGGATTTTAATGGACGTTCCCGTGCTAATGAGTTGTTGGACATTTTTGTTTTCATTGAAACAAAATAATTACAACACAATGCACTTATTCTGTCTTCCAAATTATTGTTGTCCATATTTAATACAAATATGTTTTATGCTTAAAAATGTAGTTGGAATTAGGAGCAGAGTTTTCTTTAGAATTTGAAAGTTAATTAATTTATGAATTATTTTAGGTAGTTCTTTTTGTGTGATGCCTCATTGGAAAATTCATTGTAGTTATTGCTCAAAGACTATAAATTCAGTATCAACATTTCTTTGTATTATTGTGATTTATTTTGCCGGCACACCTTAAACATTTTAAAAGCATTGGCATGATGTTGACTTAGGGAATAAATAAAGGAAAGAGCCTCAACAGTGTTTTTACATACATAATATGAGTCCTATTAGTAGAAATTACAGATTTACTTTCTCTGGGGAATTGTTTTGGAATGGGGGTACTTTGAAAATAATGAGGAAAAACATTGAAATCTACAATGCTAAACATTTGTTGTTTTTTTCACAAAAATGGTCTGTTTCATTTTCACTATTGTTGAGTCTTAAGTCTTTGTTTGGCTCAAAACAATACCCTCTGGAGACAGCAAAGGGCATTGTTCTAATTTCAACCAGTCAACTAGTCTGAGTATCACCGGTTATCCACGGAGCAAGACTCCTGTACAACGTCTGATATGTCTAGACATATACATATATGCAAGCCGCGCGCCAGCCAATCGGAGTTGACTTTACTAAATCGTGCATCATTTCATTCCTAAATCAGGACTAAATGGTTTGATTGGTCAATTGGAATGCAGTGTTTTGTAAAGCAACAACAGCCGGGCACATTATCGCGTAACATGATACAGAGCGCGTGACGCAGGGCTTTTTAATCCATTGTCTATGACGCGCAACAGGTGAATGACCGAAGACCCGATATAGAAAGCGCCCGCTGATTGGTCAAAATCTAGGAGGTCAAGAGGCGGCATCTTGCCTAATTAATCAGCAAATCTGCTCTTTATCTATTACATAGACTACCAGTTAAAGAGGTTGTGGAATGCTCGAAAACATTTCCGTCATTTTTCGGGTATATGTAGCCTAAGGTGTGATGAAATACAAACAACTATTGTGTCTGTCATGAAATGAGTACAAAAGGTATTTTTGAGAGCTGTTTTTCAGGTCCTGTTTCGACCCAAACGTGCAATTTGTGTAAAAGTCGTCATTGGGGGCAGCAAACAAAACATAGTAAATCGTTTGCACTATGCTGCATCGGGAGTCCTGTTTATTACGTCATGATTTACTATGTTTTGTTTGCTGCCCCCAACGACAACTTTTACACAAATTGCACGTTCTGGTCGAAACAGGACCTGAAAAACAGCTCTCAAAAGTACCTTTTTTACTCATTTCATGTCAGACACAATAGTCGTTTTTATTTCATCACACCTTAGGCTACATATACCCGAAAAATGACGGAAATGTCTTCGAGCATTCCACAACCTCTTTAACATGGTCAAGGAAATTATTTCTGTACTCCAAGAATGTGATATTACTTTCATTTTGTGATTTTATCTCACAGGTAGGAAGGGTCTTCCCCAACTCGGATCCTACCATCATCTTTGTCTTTCTATTCCTGTGGCTGATTGCCAGCATCGCCTGGGGATTTGCCATCAGTGTCTTCTTCTCCCGTGCTCGACTTGGCCTCATCTTTGGTTTTGTTCTCTGGTTTGCCAACTATCTCCCACTGTTGTTCATAGCCTATGACAGCTCCACAACGTAAGTTCAGTTGATATCCATGCACATACAGATTGCAAAATTGTTTATGAAAAGGCCCATTTAGAGAGGGTGAGGGGTTCGACTCCAGCTGCTAACTAAACATTGTGTCTGTGGGCAAGCCACTTTACACCCCAAACTTACCTCTCCTAATCCAAGAATATAATTGGGGGTAATGCCAATCTCAGAATATATTAACTGGGGATCACCAGTGTGCCTCTCAATATGTATGGAGGTTATTAATGTGTTACCTGTACTTTAGTCTTGGGTATATATGCACATGTGCAATCTGTACATGTAGCAATAATCAAATGATCTTGGGTTACTCGAGGTCGAACGATAGTAACCAGAGCTGGTCAAGAGGTCATGTGGCGATTAAATCCCCTTGGCAAATGGATTCGGACTGTCGAAAGCGAGCCATGGTGACCACTGCACATGTACTTGCTCTTCCAAAGTGAAAAAGAAATGCGGGATATGTTTTAAATTAATGTAACTTTCCTCCCATCTGGTAGTACTATTGTGGAGTGAAGCTCAGACACTTTTAAATCGCCCACCACCGCAGCGTTAGACTTGGCCGCCATGTTTTGCATTGTATTGTGGGATACTTACTGAAGTAACCGGACTCATTGGGTCGGTTACTCGGGTTTGCACAAGTCATTGCGGGGGAAATAATTGAACGCTTTGTTAATATTCTCTTTGCATTTGAAAGACATCGGGGGAGGGCTTTATCAATGCTGTTACCATAGTAACTGAGAAATTGTCAGAGGACAATGCAAATGTGCATACACGTAAAATGTGCATGGCGACAAGATGGAATTGACCTATATCTGTTTGCGAGTTAGCTATGCCCCTTAGGCAACCCTATGGAACTTTTGTAGGTTGACTTTTGTTTGTCTCAGATTTTGCGCGTTCAGCCTCCATTTGTATATCATGTAATTGGACAATAGTTCACAAGCTGCGTTAACGCAATTCTACAGCGATAGGTCAATTTATATTGAATGAATCGTTGAGAAGATTTAATGTGATGAAAGTGCTGTGCTATGCTCTGGAATGGAAATCATCATAGAAATGAATGCAGTAGCAGTACGTGTATCTTTTTTCCCTTAACGTATCGGTACACATATGTACACTGTACAGCATCTCAAAAGTGTCAAAAGATTTGACATAAAAAACTTGCTTGATTCTGTCTGATTTTTCTCCCTGTTTTTTGGGTAAATGTCTGCATGAAAATAAAGGCAAGAAAATACATGTAGGGGACTTCCCTGTTTAACAAATCCTCAAAGTTGTTTCTTTTGAGGTCTGGGTGTTTTTGTTTTTTTTGGTGGTTTTTTTGGGGGGTTTGAAACAACAATCACGTGCTCCAACTTTTAAAGTTGTTTCGCATTTTGTTTTGCCTGAAAAGATACATGTATTTATGAATGGAGAAGTTGTAAGCATCTGGTTTAAAACATGTTAGGAGGCTGGTCACCATTATTGACGACCAGACCAATAACCGATGTGAAACCAGATGTTTAAAACTGCTCTACCACCCTATGGCTCCCAACACCATACAGAAAAGAAACTTGGGTAGATCTCACATTTTCTTGAAATTTCAATAAAAAAAGTCTCTTAATGGAAAATCATTTATTTGCTTTGATTTTTTTTGTGTTCAGACAAGTGAAGACAGCCTCGTGTCTTCTGTCCAACGTCGCATTTGGGTTTGGCGTGACGGTGGTCACGCTATTTGAAGGCAAGAGTGTGGGTCTGCAGTGGAGTAACGTTAATACATCGCCTTCCCTTGACGACCCTTTCACCATGGGCACTGTGTTTCTGATGTTCATTGTGGACACCTTGATATATCTCGTGATAACTTGGTATGTGGTGTATGTTGTCATCCTTATTCCCGTTAACATCTGTACTACGGTACATTGTATATATTCCCTGATGAATTCATAAAGCTATAGTGTGCTTAGGTGGGTTATGTGCAGACAGGAAGTAACAGACAGGGTGGTTTGGGGTGGACAGTGACTGATGTGTCAAAACGTGATGTTGTAGACCTTGAATAGCCCTGTTTAACTTAAAAGATGCAGAAATCAAACTTGTTCATAGAATAGAGAGAACAACAAGAATGTTACTGCATAGCACAAGTAACTCCACGGACCAAATTTGCGTAGGTTTAAGGGAATGAAACAATTTGTCTGATTGCTTTATTATGTAGAATAAAGTTAACATTATCAAAGTGTTTTTGATAAGATCTCTGCCATCGACGAGTGACGAAAAATTTTCAAACTCGGTACATGCATAGAACAACTATTCATGAACATACCCAAGAAATTTCATGACTGATTAGTTAATTATTCATATGCATGAATGGTAATTTAGCTCTGTGTACACTACGTATATGGGGAAATTCAGTTGTCCGATTTTTATGTTTTTGGTATCAAAAGATGCGCAAGGCTCGAGGCTAAAAATTCAACAGCTCGTATCGCGAAAAAAAAAAAATGTAAAGCTATTGCGGAAAGTGGTCCGCCCCCCCCCCCCCTTTAGGGTTACAGAAACAGAGTGCCTTGGAGTAGAATTCTTGTTAGTTGCAATGTGAAATTCAGCCAAGAACCTGTCACCATGGTCACAAGCAATTAACATCAAATTGTAGCCTTACCTGTCAGCTGATTGTGAGGAAAGTACATCTATGTCCAGCATTTAATTTTCTGTGAAATTGACTTCAAGTACAAAGGACCTTTTTTATTTGTGACCTTTGGATCCAAAAAGTCACAGAATATGATTGTATAACTCCTTAACCTGATAAGCGTAACCTGTATTTTTGCTTGTCCCAGAGGACCAACCTCTTGTACAGTACCCGATGGACTCACTAACTCTTCCACTGACTGTCACTTGTATATAGATTTGAAATAAAATAACCCCTGTTTTAGCAATGAATGAACTAAATCCAGCCCATTTGTGTAGAGCCACATACATGTACATGTACATGCAACGACTTCCAGTGAATAGTCATTCTGAATCTACTGAATAGAATAATATGTGCTCTGGGACCAGCTTTATCATGTTTGCCTTGTGTTGTTTCCCTAGGTATATTGAGGCAGTGTTTCCTGGGAATTACGGCATACCAAAGCCAGCGTACTTCCCCTTTCAGAGGTCTTACTGGTGTAGCGTATCTCCTAAGCAACAAGTAGCCAATGACGGGCAAGAGAATGAGGTAGTGCATTGTGGGAAATGTGAAAGGGGTTCTTGTAATTGTTATCATCATTCAAATTCTCAAAAGTATATATTATCGTTGCTTGAAATTGTGTTAGAAGACTATAGTTGGACTTGTCTAGTTGACTACATGTATACATGTACGTGTATTGGATACCAGCTTGCCAAGGTCAGTCAAATCACTGGTTACAACCACCGCTTGCTTTGTAATGCACAGCAGGGAGCCAGAGATCTTGTGATGATGTTTTGTCCATTGTTTGACTACAGACATTTAGACGGTGTTAGCCACATCACAAATCAACCACAAGTCCACAAAGGGTCCCTGGTCAAACTTGATCCTTATTAGAGAGCTGAATTTCATTCCCACAAAATGAGGGCCATGCTGGACTGAATCATCAATTTTAACTATTATTGTAACACTTTTGTGTTCATGCAACAGATTGGAATGAATGCTGGCTTGGATCCAGCTAACCACGAGGCCAGCCCTGAGGGAATCCCAGCCGGAATCAAGATACACGGACTGACTAAAGTCTACAAGGTCAGACATTATTTTTTAAAAATCACCCCAAATTCACAAAGAACAAAGTAAAATAGATTAATATGCTGTTGCCATTTTGTATGTCTTTCAAGCCAAGTGGATGTGTGGCAAGAAGGTGAACTCTCGTCAGGAACAGTTATTGCACACACAGAGTTGCACTGATTCAATGTGCAATCGAAATAATGACTGTGAGGTGTCTTAGCAGTTTGGTTAGGCAACACTCTGCAATGAGACAGTGTTGTAGTGAAGGAAAACTACATGTTTAGTTTTGACGGTTCACAGGTCGTCATAAGTCCATCACAAATTATCAAATACCAAGCATTCCTTTGTTATTGTTCCTCCCTGTTACTGGTGAACTGATTTGTGATATATTTGTGATACATCACTAGTACCTCAACTACAAAACTGCAGGGAGATAAATCACAAACACATTGCCTTAACAGAGCTCAGTGGGCAACAAGCTTGCTGTTGACAACCTGTCGGTCAGCATGTACCAGGGGCAAATAACGGCCCTCCTCGGCCACAACGGGGCCGGCAAGACTACCACCATGTCCATTCTGACTGGCTTATTCCCGCCAAGCTCTGGCACGGCCTACGTCAATGGTTACAACATCCGGACCGACATGGATCGTGCGCGCAACAGCCTGGGCCTCTGTCCCCAGCACAACGTGTTGTTTGATCGGCTGACTGTGAAGGAACATCTGGACTTCTTCATTGCTTTGAAGGTTCGTGGTGAAATTAGAAACTGACCTTCCTTGAAAAAGCTGTCCCCATGTTTCTTTTGTTACTGAAAAGAACCAGAGGGGTTTGGGAACATTCAACAGATATTGACACGTAATAAGAAGGCTGGTTCATCGATAAGGCGATTGAAAGCAAGCTTTTATTGTTACATTTGCCATTGAAATTTACATGATATATTACGTGACCAATACAAATCTGACAGTATCCTGTTGCTAACAAAATCATATTATGGGATTAATTCCAATTAACAATTGTCTGATTTTGGAGGCCTGCAAGGTTGAAAAAGAAAGCTATAAAATTAGCAAACTTATGATGTAGAGGGTTCATGCTGACATCCATTGCACAGAAATTGAGGTTAAAACGTTTCATTTCATCTAAGTTGTATATTATTCAATCTTTTCAATAAATTGTATATAGTATTGATTTTTTTCTTTTCAACAATGCATTTCATTGACATCAGAGGTTAAGCCCAGTAGGGAAACAAAATTTAAAGTAATAAGTAGGATGTTTACATTATGTTGTTCCTTTACAATGTGCAGGCATTTCTGTAAAATCTCACACTTTTTCTAGGCCAACTCGCACGCCCTTTTACAAAAAAGTTTTCTCAATTCTTGTTGCAAAAGGGAAAATCTGGGAAGGAAGCAGACCAAGACGTCCGTAACATGATAAGTGACCTTCAGCTGGTTGATAAGACCCATGCCCAGTCCACCAATCTGTCAGGTGGCATGAAACGCAAACTCAGGTAGGCCAAGATGTACTGTCGCTTCTTATTGTTTTAGTTACTGGTTTGCTAGCCAACATACATGTAAGTCATTCACATTTGAATGAAAATTCAAGTGAACAAATCTTAACAATTATTGTACACATTGCATAGGGTAGACTGCTTCCTGTTCCCTATAACAATTGATAATGTAGGGACAAGGAACCAGTATACTCGCAAGCAGATTTTTTGTGTGCACAAAAACAACCTCAAATAAAAGCCTCATTTAATACATGGATGCAGACAGCCAAAATAGAGAGAGGGAGGGTTTTTGTCATTAAAAATATAAAACATACAAGTTGAAAATTCGTCAGAAGAAAAAATCCCAGAATACGTCGAACAGCTAGGGGTACATCTTTATTAAACTGTGAACATTAAAGTTGTCAAACTTCAACAGCTAAGATTGAGTGCACGTCACGTTGAAATGTCAGGTCCTTGATACTATTCTGTATTTCGTCCACCATGTACTATCATGTACATTCACTGAGGCCCCCTTCAGTGATGAAAGCATTGTTCTTGCTATTGTAGAAAGCACCTCTGTATGCAAAATTATCTGAACAACAGCTACATGTATGTCACCATGTCTCTCTCCCCCTGTGTGTCTCTCTCATTTGTTGTATGGGAACTTGTACACAGGGTCCACAAGGGGTATAACAAGCTAAATACGAATCTGTCAAACTTTACTTAGTTAAATGTTCCATTCTTCTAGTTGTGCCATTGCTCTGATTGGTGGATCCGAGGTTGTGATTCTAGACGAACCGACATCAGGCATGGACCCCTATGCACGACGTGCTACTTGGGACTTACTGCTGAAATATAGACATGGAAGAACCATGGTTCTCACTACGCACTTTATGTAAGTTCGAAAATTGTTCTTAATTTGACAGTTGCGCATTGCAGAGGTCGGTTATCAGTTCCAGTTAAGTTTTATTTCAGTTTCTACTAGGGACTTTGCAGTTTTCTGATCCAGATACTCAAGTTTTAATATTATCCAGATAATTTTGTTGTCCACTTCGTTTCCTACTTACCTGTTGGACCTATAATTGTATAATCCTTAGCTACGTAAATTAACCGCTAAAGTAAAGATTTGCTATAGCGTGCCACAACGCCCACAATATAGTCAGAGCCCGCGCCATTATCGTTTGGGATTATTATCTTAATAATAATATAAAGACCATGTGACAAATCTCTTTTGTGAGTTTGTGAGGTTTTGAAAAGAACCGGGGGAAACGCAACGTTTTGGACAGTATACTCTGCCCATCGTCAGTCTTTGGTTTGTTCCCCAGTGTTGCCATCTCTCTTGCATTTTTACGTTTTTTTCCCCCAGTCATTTTTCTTGATCTATTTCTGGTCAGATTACTGTGTCCTCTTGTTTATCTTTGTCTTTGACTTAATTTATTAACTACTTGATTATTTCATGTCTTTGGTCTCCTTTCTACAGGCACTCCGCTACAAGCCTTGGCTTATTAGGATTGTGCCACCACAATATTGTATTTTGCTTTCTATTATGTTATTGTTCAGTATGGAAATAAATGTAATATTGAATTGAATGTGTTTTTCCCAATGGTGATGATATCAGGTCTTAAATGATGGGAGCACTTCTTTTTCCTTTGAATAATGCAGGGATGAGGCAGATCTCCTTGGGGACCGCATCGCCATCATGGCCAATGGACAGCTCAGATGCAGCGGCACCTCCCTCTTCCTGAAAAATAGGTAAGGACTCGGTGATACTTTCACAAAAAAGTAGCATCCTCAGTGAAAACTTTAGGAAGTTCAACAATTTTAGACTGATGCATGTGACAACTATTATATACTGAACAATCTTCTGTGGACCCAACTGTATTGGTTTGTAGCAAAATATTACTGTATATTTATAAATTTCAAACCCTAATAGGTTTGGTGTTGGGTACCATTTGACCCTGGTCCGTAACCAGACCTGTGCCATTGACTCTGTGCGGGCCGTTGTCAGCAAGCACGTACCCCAGGCTGAGCTGGAAGGCAACGTAGGCAATGAGCTGGACTTCATTCTGCCAAGGGATGAAACTGCGGTGTTCAAGTATCTCTTCATGGAACTAGAAGGTGAAATTTTACTCACAGAAATATATTTACAGTGTTCAGCAACTAAGAATGTAGAGTTTTTCTTTACCTAGTTAGATGACTCCTTAACCATAAGAACTTTTCGAGCGTGCAATCAGGACAAGTTCTACCAAATTGGTATACTATTTGTAGCAATAAATACCAATTCTTAAATCAGTGGTTTTTTTATAGGTTCTAGGGAAGCCCTGGGCATTGACAGCTTTGGCGTTTCCATAACAACCATGGAGGAAGTCTTCATGAAGGCCGGGGAGATGGCAGAGGACGCGGACAAGAGGAACGGAAACCTGGAGAATCACCGTGGCAACGGGGCCATCGTGAATGCCTCCTCCACGGAGCAGCTGGCTCAGAACGCTGAGATTCAGACCAACGGCAGCGTGCCCAGCCAGTCGGTAGACACAGGAGGTGGGTCTTTGAGCATTGTCAATGGAGGGTGCTTGATTGACAAGCTCAGCAACAAAAGTTGATTTCCTGAAGACACTTATGATAAACACACTCAGTTCCAAACAAAATACAACTCTCTTACTTGCCCAAAACACTAAATTAAATCATGTAAAAACATCTATTTTTTTGTGGGGGTGTGTGTGGAAATCCACTGACTTTGGTTGATATTATCACTCCTTCATGCTAACTCTTTGTAAAAAAAAAACTATCCCTTTGCAAAATAGCGTGAGTGACTTTTCTCAGGAATCGCAAGCTCATGAGAGCTGGGACCCTAATTCATTTACATGTATACAACCCTCAGTTGCTCAAGTGTGAATACGTTCTATATTGAGAGCAGATTTCAGGCATATAAATCATTATTTCGTTGTAGGAGAACTCTTTGGGCCTAGTTATACCTGCAATCTAAAAGGGTGCATGTCTTTAAATATTTTGTTTATCCATCGTTCCTCAGTTCTATTGTCCTTTTCTGTGTAGTTCATGGTGTTGTCAACTCAACATGTACACGCGTGCATGTCCGGTTGTGAAGTTACATACATTTTACATATGGTATGAATGTACATTGAAAGCACAGTATATTGTAACAGACCTTTGCTGTCATTGGAGCAGTTTCTCATCTACATGTAGTCATATCCCCTTGGAATCAGCACCGGTCTGTCATTAGGTAGTGCAGATTCCAATCTTCATTAGTGTTGATGAGCATTTATTACTTAATACTTTCACTAATAATAATAATAATAAAACGGTTCTGATATAGCGCATTACACAATGTCTCAATGCGCTTTACAACACAAAATAATTAAATGTTTAATAGGTATGTCTTTAGTGCAATTTTGAACTCAGTTTCAGTTCTTGCAGTCTTGATGTGTTGTGGGAGAGAGTTCCAGAGAGTAGCGGATGAGTGTGTGAAGGACCGATGTCCATACGTTTTGGTGTGAATGGCGGGGTCTTCAGCAACAGTGCTGAGCCAGAGCGTAGGGTGCGCGGTTCAATGAGGTCACGAAGGTATGATGGTGACGAACCGTCGATGTATTTATAAGTAAAGAGTAGAGTTTTGAAGATGATGCGCTGACTGACAGGTAACCAGTGGAGATCTGGAAGTATGGGGTTATGTGTCGTCGTGATGGTGAACGGGTAACAAGTCTGGCGGCAGAGTTCTGAATTCGTTGAAGTTTTGCGATTTGGGAATCTGGAATACAGTGAAGGAGACTGTTGCAGAAGGCGGGTCGACAGGAGACAAATGCGTGAACTAGTCTTTCCATAGTTTGTTGGTCCAGAACTTGTGAAGAGCTAGAGATGATGAACGGCATATGTTGTTAACTGGCTTTGCATTTTGAGGTTTGTTGTTACAATGGTTCCTATAGGTCACGGGTGCTAGTGACAGAGAACACACCTGTATGGTTTTAATTCCAAACCAGTTCTGCTTTAACTCAACCAATACTTATAGCTATCTTACTTATAATTAGTCATCCTAAACCCTGCCCCCTTAAATGTGATTAGATTGTTCGACCCCTCCCTTATCCCTGATTTTCTGCAAGTTTCGTGAAGCGTGGGCACTTATTTTCCACCGGTGGAAAATGGGAGTAACTCGCAGAGTAAATACATGCGCAGTAGGAGCTGTCCATGGTGCTTAATGCAAAGACTTATAATAAACAATGATATTTTTGTGGGTGCCAAATTAGAATAATAAATTGGATAATTTCTGTGGCTAACTTTGCCAAAAAGATAACGTTTATGTGGCTAACTTTGCCAGAAAGGGAAATAAAATTTGACAGGCTTTTGTCTATAAATTATAAGATAATCTGGGCAGTATTTTCTTGCCGATGAAAATTAAATAAGGTTCGTATTTACTTATAAATGCTGAAGAAAAAATAAAAGGAACCACCTGGGTTATCGGTAAAGGTAATAATTAAATGCGATGTCACCGTAGCTCACCTATTAGCTGTATGCTACTGCCAAACCGGTTCACTACGGCAACGAAGCAAAAACTCACGGACTAAATACGAATGAAATAAGAAGACTTGAATTGCGGAGCGTGACGATGTAGGCCTGTCTTGCTGCCGGTTGAGCTAACACGGAACTGGGGGCTCGTGCATGGAACCAATGCTGCTTTATAAGGCAAAGGACACGCTTGGCTACTCGCGTTGCGTAAGTGCAGCTGCCAATAATAATAAAAGGAATTCAGGCTACTACATCAGCCTCCCCCTAAACTGCTGGAGGCAGAGGATGATTTAACTTATTTCTATAGATATATACATATTTACATTAATCTCTTATCACTTGAACATATCGTTTAGGCCAATGGACTTTCCGGCCTGAACGAGTCGTGCGGGTTGCTTTCTCATTTGATGCTGGATATTGTTGTGGTTTTGTTTCTTTGACACTAGCTGACCTATTGGGTTGTGACACCGTTTTTCCATCATTAGTGAAATCTTGCTCCAAGTACGCCACTTTTAGTCGGTTGATGCTCACTGAATCTCGCTTGCCATTTACCTCAAGAATGAAATATTTATCTGTACGCTCCAAAACCTTAAAAGGACCTTTGTAAGGCGCTTGCAATGGTTTTCGCACTGAATCCACTCTTACCCAAACATGACTGCACTTTTTAATATCTTTGTCTATGTAAGATTTGGCTTTCGTGGGTCTCGTTAGTGCTGGTTGAAGTTTAACCATGCGTTGTTTCAATTTATCAACAAAATTGCTAGGATCTGGAACAGTGTTGTCTCGTGAAACAGTGATCAATTCGCCGGGCAATGTAAGAGTAGTGCCAAAAACCATTTCAGCGGTACTACAATTAAGATCCGCCTTGTGTGCAGTGCGAATGCCTAACAAGATCAATGGTAAACTGTCCACCCAATGATTTGGATCATCAGTAGCTTTGATTGCTGCCTTTAATTGACGGTGGAATCGTTCTACTAAGCCATTGGCTACAGGATGGTATGCGGTGGTTCTTATTCGCTTTGCGCCTAGCAGTTGTGCAAGTTGATTGAACAGGTGTGACTCGAATTGTGAACCTCTGTCTGTGGTTATAAATGCTGGAACGCCGAATATAGCAACCCATCTACTGATGAAAAACTTAGCGACTGTCTCGGCTGTGATGTTAGGGATTGGAATAGCTTCTGACCAACGTGTGTATCTATCAATGATAGTCAAAATGTAAGCACAAACAGGGGACGACTGAAGGCCTTCACAATATCATTCAATGTACATGGGACCACGACTCGCGGTCGTGTTCGGAATGGCATTTTCATGATGATTTGACAATGATTTTAACATAGGCCTATTTACATTTTGTTTTAATTTCTCACTCAACAACAACAAAAACTTGCACTCGCCTTGGATATTCCGGCTTTGGTTGATAATGTATGGCCGTACTTGGAATTTTAATTTGGTCATGTTTTCAGAAATCTTGCCATGCAGATGACGGCTGCACAGCTCCCTAGGTAAAACACTGTTTTGCAAACATGAATTGATATCACTAAAGTATAATTATCAAATATAGATAAGCGCATGCCCAGTAGGGATACTGAACAGGCATATGGGTGACACCATCAATCCACATGTCTCTTTGTTTTATAGAATTGCATTCTGGCATCCGCTTGAAGTACCATCAGTTTGCCGCGATATTTGTCAAGCGTTTCCTGTACAGTATGCGTGACAAGAAGTCGCTGATCACACAATTCCTCCTCCCGTTGCTCTTCGTTGTCTTTGGCCTGCTCATCATCAAGACCAGTGGCGACGCAGTAAGCGACCCTCTACGTGTCATGACATTGGAGAACATCTCCCGACATGACGCGACCATCGATGTCAAGATGTTCTACGCCGACCTTCGCAACCAGAGCCGCAGCACAATCAACATTGATGGCAGCACCGTAGAAGTCAATGGGACTTCTTTCACGTTCAACGGTACAACGGTAACTTTCAACGGGACCACGATTACCTTAAATGACAGCACAGTAGACATTAATTGGATGGACGTTTTCCAGGTAAGGCATTTAAGAATTATTGACAAGCAAAGCGGATTATATATTTACTTACCTCTCTCTTGCAGCAACAAAGTACATTAAACTACTTATTTCTTCCCACCATTTGCAAAAAACTGTCAATTACTTCAAATTCATTGCTCTCTGAAATTACATACTTCAATATCAGTTCCATTCTTTGTTTGTTTTGGAAAACCTCCAAATTAAATTTCCATATCATTTCTTTAATTGTATGCTTTTCAAAGAATGACATACGGTAAATGAAAAAGTTCGAGAAAATGGAAGAGTTTCTCTTATAGCTGTTTATTCCTTTATTAAATGAGCCAATAACATAAAATATTTTATTGATCTTGTATGGGTGAAAAGTTCCACCAAAAATATTGACTGACATGTACAATGCATAAAATCAACATAATAAGTTGACAATTCAGAATGTGCCATTGGTTGCCTCCACAGGATTTCAGAGGATCAAGGAACGTCCCTTGCAAACACAGCTACATTTAGGAACATTAGGGTTAATTCATGTATTTGTTTATTTCTTTGAAGTATCTCCCAAGTGTGTTGGAACCATTGGCCATTACGTACATCAACGTGTCATCTCCTGTAGTGTCCCTCATGGAGGATAACTCAGGGGATCTTGTCGAAGGAGAACCCATGACAGAGGATAAAGACTGCTGTGCCTATCCTAACATGATTCTGAATGATGAGTGTGCTAGTACTGTAAGTATTCAGAATTAGCTGGGCCCTATAGACTGATCCATAGTCATGGTCGAATGGTGCTTTTACCAGTTACAGCCACGATTAATGTCCGACATGCATGCACAAAAGTGCAACATTCGTGCATGTGTGAGTATGATGTGTGCAGCCAGAATATTGGAAGAAGGTAGGGCCTAATGAATAGGTCCATTGCTTTAAACCCCAACAGTGGCCAGTTTTGATGGGCTCACTTATGATATCAGCATAGTGCCATGCAAAATAAGGCGTTATTCTTAAGCAAATGAAGGTGCTGTAACGACGACATTATAGGAATATAAACAGATGTTAATAGAAGGCCATAGCTGAATAATGACATTTTTACAACCTTTAATTTTTAGATTTGAGTAAAGTTACTTATTTGCTTCAATAGACAGCATTTTCTAGTGTATGTACACCAAAACAGCGCCCTAATTCACTAAAAAAATATGGTCTATTAGAGTGTCCTAAAGGACTTTCAATTGACTGTAAACAATGTTAATTGAAAACATACTATATCAAAAAGTAACGTTGCTCGTCAATGTCCATATTTGGTAGAACCTCATGGTCTGATCATAGAACAGTGTCAGTGATAAACAAAATTGGAACATTGGCTTGATACGTGTTGCATGATTACTGAACAAATTGCAAAAGCATGTTTTGTAAGCTTGTTTCAAGAAAGTGTTGTTTTTTTATTTCAATTTATATTTGTAGGAAACGTAAATCCAATTTTCATATTGTGTCATACAAACTGTAGATGGGATCATCAGCAATTACACAAAAAAGGGATCCATCAGATTATATTTAGAAAAAAACAACCTTTTAGTTAAAGATGCATTCTCTGTGCATTTGTATTTGCTCTTTTCCTAGATAGATAAAAGTTATTCACTTTTGAATGAGACATCAAACAACAAATCTCCCAACATGAGTTTATTGAATAGTTCTTCAGAAATTTCAGATTGTAAGTTGCCAAACAATACCCTGCTCACGCAGGACGTGTTCATGTGTGCAAAATTAAAGCCTTTTAACACATGGCTGCAGATGCCCAAAATGTGGAAAAGTATTTTTATTTTTTACTTTTTTTTTAGAGCCCTAGCATCGTCTTCAAGGTAGGACTGATGTCAAAATAAATCCTGTGAAATTGATGTGATATTTGTGCCACATTTTGACGAGATTGACACTTTTGTCTTTTTGCACAGCTGTATAATAATGGTGAGAAGAGTGAACTCTGTAAAGACGTGAACGGCTTTGGATATCACAGCTGTCTTGCTTGCCTCACAAGCACCTCGTAAGAAAAAAGAAATCTTTTGTTTTAAATAACTGGAGTCAAGTTTCTAGTTACTTTTACCACAAAAAAACATGACAGGAAAAACTGAATTCAGGAGATTAGCAAAACTGCCTGTCAGAGTAAATAATCGAGTCAATGTCAAATCACAGGGCAATCACAAGGCAATCACAAGTCAAATCACAAGGCAATCACAAAGCAATCACAAGGCAATCATGAGTCAAATCACAAGGCAATCGCAAGTCAATCACAAGGCAATCACAATTCAAATCACAAGGCAATCACAAATCAAAATCAAAAGTCAATCACAAGTCAAATCACAAGTAATAGGGGATAAACAATACAAACAAGTGATGCCATGGTTACAGTTAAATAAGTTGAATTGAATTGGTTTTGACTTGACTTGAGAGACTGGATGACTTGCTTGTGATTGACCTGTGATGGTCTGTGATGACTTATGACTCGGTCAATTACAACTCTGCTACATGTTCATGTATTTTATGCCTTAAAGAGGTCATGTTTCATCTTAACAGTCAACCCCTAGCAAATATTAGTAGTTTACTGTCTCACCTGCACTGTATATTTGCAGTACCACACAAAAATGAAATGTTACTCATAGTCAATACATCTAACTGAAACTGTGAATGTCTGAAATGAATTTTGAGCCAGACGTCATATTCTTCTTTTGCTAGGTTTTATGAGAAGACTAACAGCAGTGATACCAGGTGAGTCATCAGTATTGCGATTTTCAATATGAAGTTTGCAGGGTATAAATTTGCAATGCCAATGCAAAAGGTAACTGCCTAAGCAGAGAGTAAACATGGTAAAACTAGACATAAATAAAAGTTTAAACAAAAATGAACTGGCAGAATCAATTTTGATAATGCACTCAGAAACCACTCACAATGCAAAATGTAAGATAGATGTTAACGTGGTAGAAGGTTAGTAAATATCCAGTGTGAGACTGTAACTTCAGTCTATTTAGAGGCATGACTATGCTCTGTGTTTTCCTAAATACTCAATGTATCATGTATTGTTTTTTGTCTTTTTTTGTTGGTTAATGCAGTGCATAATGTTAAAACAAATTCATAAATACCTCAGACAGTTTAGCCATTCCTATTGGTCGAGAGCCCGTCACGTGGCCGGTATTAAACGGATGATAAAGACATGGCTAGCTGGTCTTAAACACTTTTCCAGTGTCACAATAAAATATGGACTCCTAAAAATCCAGTGCCTCTTATCGTTTCATTGGTTGAACGTTCACAATCCTCACGTAGGCATGCGCAACACTACCAGGGAGTTAGAATTTTATAGTTCTAAATTCAAAACGCAACGCGCCAGGTGCGTTCTGCGCGACATCGCGTAGAACATGATACGCGCTCGTCAATCTCCATAAAAGGGTTGTTTTCATCTTACTCGCCAGCTGAACACTCCATTATTTTGCAGGAGGGATGTTTCAAAAAGCATAAAGTGAATTTGTTGAACAAAATCGGGATGTTTTGAACGAATTATATGATTTTTTTTTACCGAAAAGGTATTTATGAATGGGAATAAATATGTACTCCGTCGGTATTTATCACTCTGTTTAATACCACTTAGAGTCTGGGTGCTGATAATTACCCTCGCCTCCGGCTCGGGTAATTATCAGCACCCAGACTCTAAGTGGTATTAAACAGAGTGATAAAAACCTCCGGAGCACACATTTATTCCCTTATTAATGCACTCAGTTCTACACTTGTTTTTGTCAACACTTCAATATTTACATCGTATCTTCACCCCAAAGTCTGAAATTTTCATCAGCTTTTTTTTTTCTCGATTCTCAGTTATGATGCTGATGATACATGTCCCATTGGTGCCAACCGGAGTGTTCTCATGGACGGCAACACATTCTTCCAAGAGTATGTACTGCGTCAGAGCGAGAATGACACGGCATTCTTCAACAAGTATGTGGCGGGATTGACACTGACAGAAAACGGACTGAACCAGGTCCTTTTGACAGGATGGTACAGCAATGAGGTAAGGACATTGAACTTGTTTGAACTATTTTAACTGCAAAAGGGTTGGGGGGCTACAGGTACATACCCCTGGACATTTTTTTTCTGATATTGTCGAGGCGCCATTTTTAAATTTTGTAATGAGTTTATAAAACTGATATGTTGTGTAAGTTTTCATATCAATTTCATGCACATTGGATGTAACATTCATGTCAAATGTCAAATGTTGTCATGAGTACCAGAAAAATCTTTTGTTTTCCTTTTTCCATTTAAATGATACGTAATGATCCTGATTCAAAAACACTTTGTCTAATTGAGCTTAAGCTTTGTATACATAAACGTACCAGGCATGAATGTCTATAATAGCATACGTAATTTCATTGGTAATTGCATTTTCCCAACACCAGAAAGCTCCCACCCTCCACTCCAACTGAAAAAAATTATCATTGTGAGGTTTGGATCATTTAAACTACCAACCAAAATCTGATCCAAAATGGTTTGGAACTGCACCGAAAAAAAAGTATTCCTTGGCTCAAGCTTTTTTTCCCTTCAAATTTTCACCGGCAACCAGCATCTACAAGTTGTGTTGCCCTTCTAAACAGATTGTGTCGGAAAGAAGGCTTTGGGTACAACCAAAAAAACCGATGAAACAAAGTACCCGCCATTTATCAAGTGCCAAGAAATCCATCTCAGCTGTTGTAATAACAGGGTTAATACTATGTATGTTGTACTCTCAGCTCACAAACAATGTATCAAGGAATATCATACCTTATTCTCAGGCATACCACACATCCAGTGAGGTGCTCAACACCATAGCAAATATCGTCCTCAAGTACTTCACCAATGATTCCTATAGCATCACCACTATCAACCACCCACTACCCAATAGTGCTACAAACCAGGTGAGTATAAACTGATGGGTCAGGTTTGATTAACTGTGAAATTGGGGTTCAAATGCCATTTAGGAATATTCATGAGATTTAAGTCTTTCGGTACCTACATGTACTCGAATCCATGGGTTGTTCCTAGAGTATATTTTAGGATATTAATCCTTCAAAAAAAAAGCTGAGCGATTTTGCATAATCATTGTGCTCAGATTTGAGGCATTATTGCCTAGATTTTTAAAAGAAACCTTTTCATAAAGGTATCAAGCTATGACTTGCTAGTTGAGAACAGAACCAGTCAGTCTGCTTTTATTGTCATCTGGTAAAATCACTTCCCTTTTAATTGAGTAAGCCACTTTGTATGGTGTACTTATCTTCAAACTGAAGTTGTTTTCGCAATTATGTTTTCCTGATTAATTTAAGTGGGGATGTCATACACGTATGTATCGTGTGTATTGCACATCACTGATTTAACGTCCCATGTAGTTTTACTGTTAAATTTACATGACAGCTGAATGGCTGTTATTACACATTTTTTCAAGAAATATAAATACAATTATTTTGAGGCAAACACCTGGAGTGAGGAGATAGGGAAAATAATTGGGGGGGGGTTGCAAAAAATTACTTCCAGAGCCGATTTTTACCCTTGAAATTTGTGTGTATCTTTTTACTACCTCAGGTTGAAAATGCTGCATCTAGCTCAGATACCTTCACTTTGTCACTACTCATCCTGTACGGTGTATCCTTCCTTGCTGCAAGCTTCATCCATTTCATCGTCACGGAAAAACAATGCAAGGTCAGAAACCAATGAATGGTGGTTTAGGGGACTTGGTCCTGCAGGCCTGGTTTGACTAAATATTGATGTGGTGTGATGGACTTAAGCCTGGAGGCCCAAAGCAAAGCATACATTGGAAGCAGTGTGATTGATGGTTTTTGTTGGACTTGGTCCAGTGGTAAAAGACAGTAGGGGTTTAGGGTTAATGAACCCCCAAAAGTAACCACATATAACCAACAGTGTGATCGATTAATCAAATTTCTGAATAATTGTTGTGGGTCTGTGTACCACTAACTCGTTCTTGTTTTCTCCTAACAAATTTCAGGCCAAGCACCTTCAGATGGTTAGTGGACTAGACGGCCTGACCTACTGGATAGCCAACTTCTGCTGGGATGCCATTAACTATCTCCTGGTCTTCATCTGTATCATCATCATCTTTGCTGCATTCAACCTTACGGCATTCGGCGGGGAGAACCTGGGCACTGTAGCAGTCATACTGGTGAATATTTCCTGTATTCAAATAAAATTCTGGGTTTTGTTCATTAAGTTCATGTCAAAAGTTCTTACTGTTTTTTTAGTTGATAATTCAGATATTCACTATTTTGTATGAAGGAATTTATACAGCGGCGAGATGTACATTCAATATCAGGAATTTGCCCTTCACCAATATTATTTCATAATTACTGAATACTCATCAAAGCTGTCCGAGAACTTTTGAAGAAAAAATTCCCCTTACTTTGGTACCTTTTTGTACTAAAACTTTTTTGGGCTGGGACACTTTATCTTTTTTACAGTGGATGAACAGACAAGCTAAAAAGTGGCTTACCTTTGGTTATCCTACATTCATTTACAACTTTATGATCGTTGAGTGATACGGTTCAATAGTACAAATGGTGCTTTGTATGTGAAAATAAACGCCATTAATATCAGAATTTCCAAAAATCGATATATCCTAGATCCAATATCAAGAATATTCTATATATCGATTATCCCATGTAAAAGTTAAAGACCATGACGATGACAGTTAAAGTTAAAAAGTTAAAGACCATAAAAAAAAAAACAATCTGAAGTCCCAATTTTCCACGGCTTTCTCTGGAGCAATTTGCTCAAACTTTTTAAAACAAATCTCAGCACTGAGAGTTTGTCCAGAATGGGAAGTTTCTTGGCATTTCACAGTGTTTTTATTTGAGTCACAAGCGCAAGATGCTGCCAAGTTTTATTTCATTATACAGAAAATGTTAAACTCAAAGTAAAAGCACAAATGTGAGATTCGTTTTGAATGTGAGATTCATTTCGATATTTCGATATGATTAAATTAAGAAAATACCATCCGCGATATCGATATATAAAAAAATATCAAATAATCCAGTAATATCAATATATCGACAGTGCTTAATGTAAAGGTTAAATAATGATGAGTTGCAAGGGGGGTTTTACAGGATTTCTTTTTAATCTCTATCTTTGTAGTAGCAAACTTTAGTCTTAGAAATGCCCAAATTTCCAAATTAAGGTATAATCTTCATTACTCCAATTATTCCATTACTTAATACACGTATTAACCTGAGTTGATTTCACGAAAATATCTTTGAAACTAGAGCATCATACTTTTTTTTCTGTCTGCATTTTAAGGCAATGTTTCAGTTTACCTTTATCCTTACAGCTGTTGTTTGGATGGGCTGCCGTGCCTTTCGTCTATTTCCTCTCCTTCTTGTTCAAGACTCCTGTCACAGCATATGCTGTCACTGCTACTTTCCTGACGCTGGTTGGAATGGTAAGCCTAATGTCTGTATATTTGTTATTGTTTGTAAACCCCCTTTTGCATCATTTACATATTTGCAAATCTTGCATTTCTCAATTTTGTTTGAGCTACTTGGAGTGTAATCAAAGTTTTATAAATGATTATTTTGTAGCCTGTAACATACCATAACTGCCTGTGACTTTCAAGTTTTTAGAGCAGAGATTTCTGAAAACCAAGCAGGCCAGTTGATCAAAACAAAATTCATTTGAGAAGGTCCATGATTTCCCATGGAAAATTAAAGAGGGATTATCTTTCAAACTTTAAAATTGTAGAGTGGATAAGTAAACAAAAAATGCTACAGTATTTCTGATGTAAGATATTTACAAATTGATGTTCTTGTTTTGAACACATTTCAGCTTTTGCATATTTTCTCCAATAATCTTCATTACTTCAAAGTCATGTTTCATTTTCATGCAGTATGAGCCAGGCTGCATGCATGTTTAGTAATGTACAGAGTACATGTATACAGTCAATAATTATCAGCATTCCAGTCATGGTTGACATGGTGGTTATTGCAGATTCATCATTGAGAAAATTCATTCTAATAACAGTTTTGACGTCGAGTCATTTTTCTGTGTGTGTGATGCATACACAGGTACATTATCATTTAAACTTAAGAAACCTGACAGATTTGTCTGAGTTTTTGGGTAGAACATTGAGTATTTGGACAGAAAGGTATGCTTTAAAAATACCCAGGAATTTTCAAAAAGGTTGGGAATTGGACTCGAGTTGGAGTGCCCAAATATTTGTGTTTTTCTTCTGATGTGCATCCAAAAATCTCCTATTCCTACTCGTTGAAAGTACTTGATTTCTGATTTCTGCTGTACAATCCTTATTTGAGTTGACGTTTGTTTGGGACTCAAAAACAGACTCGACTGCAACACGGCTCAAAATTATTCCAAATAGTGTCAATTTTTGTTTGCTACACAATCATCCCCCTGTCACTCCTGCACATATAGTCCATGGTCATCACAGTCTTTGTGCTGGAAGTTATTGGAACTTACGAAGACGAGGTGAATATTGTCGATCACATCTTCATGGCCCTTCCTACTCACTGCTTGGCCCGGGGGTTGATCCAGCTGTCCACCAACGTGGCGATTCGCGACACATGCACCGCTTCAGACCTGTAAGTTCCATCAGCCCATCGGTTGCTCATACATCAGTCAATTCATTGTCATTACTCTTGACTGTTTCAGGGTGCTGTTCATTTGCCGTTTCATAGGAAGCCAGTTCATTCATAAATAAAATTAACTGTGGTTAAGAATGGTGTGACTAATCATGAATCCTTTTTTTTCTGTAAGTAATTTTTCAGGTTTGTTTCAGTTACATAGTTAAATATTAGTTATCTGTTAGCTGATGTTAAAAATCGTTATTTGTGCAATTTATGCATTAATTGGCAAGAGTTCCGTACAAAAAGTACTCTAGGGCAATTCGAGCGTTATGTAATGTCCGTGACAGAGGTTTTAAGAGCTCAGTCAATAAACATGAAAATTTTTCAGATCCTGTACATCGATCATCCAGTAATTGTCAAGGAGATTACAGACTAGGAGTTTTGAATCATTTCTCTCAAACATTAATCAAATATCATGGTTAGTTGGCTCCATCATTGACACGTCCATTCATAACATCCAAATTGCCTGTTACAGTTTTGTTCACACCATATTTAAACTTTATCAGCATGTGCACCGTTTGACTGGGTTTTTTTCTTCTCCTGATAAGGGATATGGAGGTTTGCGAGTTTGCCAATATCAGTTACGCTGCCAACAACCTAGACTGGGACAAGCCGGGCATTGGCCAGCATGCCGTATACTTGGCAGTAGAGGGCCTCATCTTCTTTGCTCTTACCCTTCTGCTTGAGGTATACCAGAGGCAAAGTTGTATTTTGCGGAAGTTTCTATCCATACTGTCAAGTCCATCACAATACCTCACAATGCCACTACAAGTCAATCACAAGTCCTGCAGTCCCAAGTTAAGTCACAAGGTATTCAAGTGACCTTGCGACTGGATTTGTGATTGATTTGTGATTTACTTACTTACGGTTTCGTGATGGACTTATGATGGACTTGACTGCAACACTGACACTTGGCCATAGATTATGAAGCCTTTTTCTAAAGAAAAAACGCAACACTTGTACCTCTTGTATGTGAAATTTTCACAAGTAAAATGATCATTTATGCACTGTTATTCATTTGCAGGGAAATCAGCGATTATTTTTGAATTGCACGTAGATGTAGATGTATTTTCAACTTGCTTTAAAAAACACATCAACTTTCCATTTGTTTTTCCACACAGATGAATTTTTTCATTCCGTCTCGCTCAGCCAAGTATCTTAAAGCTCACAACAGTGCTGCAGAGGTAAAAATATCAGTGCATGTAAATTATCAATATTTTTCAAAGATTTCAATTGAATAACGATAATGACTGATTTGGTAACTACCGACAGAAATGGCTGGATGGCAAAATTTGTAGGGTTTCTTTGGTGATTGCCATTTCAAGTGTCATTTTATTAATGACTATTTGCCCAATTTCAAAAATGTCTCACCTGTTTTGAAATATGATAAGCATTTACTTAATAGAGTAGGGAAAACTTTATTGTAGCAGACAAAACTGTTAGTGTCAGGAAATCTTGAAGAACAGGTTAGAGAAAAATATGAAAAACTGTCTTAAATGTGTGGTGTATTTGTGTATACTTTATCAAACATGATAGGATGTTGATGTGGCCAATGAGAGGTCAAAGGTCGATTCCCTGGACCCCAAGCGCAGTGAGTACGCTGTCATCTTGAAGAATCTGTCCAAGATGTTCCGCAGCAAACCCTCGCCTGCCGTGGACCAGCTCAGCCTCGCCATACCCAAAGGAGAGTGCTTTGGTCTGCTGGGAGTCAATGGTAAATTGCTTCATTGGTAAAAAAACTACAAACGATTCACTTCTCAAAACAATTGTGCTTTATTCACAGTGCATTATGACAATGTCCACATCTGTTTGTAGATGTTGCCAAACAATAGTAAGTTTTCGCTAGAGAAATGTTTTTAACCTGCCCCCCATTAGAGTTGAAATGTTTTTCCAGGCAGCAGTGAATACAGAACAGATTTGACATTACAATACATGTACAAATTCGCAGCACAAAAGCCGTGAAACAATGTCACAGATGCACACAATGCTGTAGTCAATTTCCTTTTCTTGTTTATTTGATGTAAAATAAAATTATGTCTTTAACGTATGTGTAATGGTTTAAGTATCCAACTCATATGATTGGTGCGTGGGGTTAAACCCTGACCGGGAGTATGGTGTTTGTGTTCTTGAGCAAGACACTTTACTGCAATTGCCTCACCCCACCTAGGAGTATAAATGGGTACCTGTGATGGTAGAGAATACAGGAGTATAAATGGGTACCTGTAATGGTAGAGAATACAGGAGTATAAATGGGTACCTGTACTGGTAGAGAATACAGGAGTATAAATGGGTACCTGTGATGGTAGAGAATACAGGAGTATAAATGGGTACCTGTGATGGTAGAGAATACAGGAGTATAAATGGGTACCTGTGATGGTAGAGAATACAGGAGTATAAATGGGTACTTGTGATGGTAGAGAATACAGGAGTATAAATGGGTACCTGTGATGGTAGAGAATACAGGAGTATAAATGGGTACCTGTGATGGTAGAGAATACAGGAGTGTTAATAGGTACCTGTGATGGTAGAGAATACAGGAGTATAAATGGGTACTTGTGATGGTAGAGAATACAGGAGTATAAATGGGTACCTGTGATGGTAGAGAATACAGGAGTATAAATGGGTACCTGTGATGGTAGAGAATACAGGAGTGTAAATAGGTACCTGTGATGGTAGAGAATACAGGAGTATAAATGGGTACCTGTGATGGTAGAGAATACAGATTGTGCTAATGTTGAGAAGATGGGCTCATGGCTGGATGAACAGGGGTGGGATATTGGCATTAACAAGCATATTATTATTGTTACATCCTAAAGGTGCGGGCAAGACTACCAGCTTTGGCATGTTGACTGGTGATCTAGGCTTGACTGCAGGCGAAGCCTACATGGAAGGATTCAGCATTCAGAAATATCGTAGAAAGGTAGCTAGAGAGCCTTGCTTATACCCCCACAATTCACTGTAACAATCTTAAACACAGTGAAGGGGTGTTTAAAACTAGGTGCATATTAGTCGTGTCTTTGCTTCTCATTTGTATCCCCCTGGCATTTAAGCCAGAAAGGGGGATATTGAGATGGTGCATTCCTTCTGTATGTCCTTGTGAAAAGTCTGACTTCAATCTCAACCAAACTTGGTGACAATAATCTTTGGGTAGGGGGTTTAAGAACTCTTCAGGCATTTGAGGTCAAAGGTCATGTAAGGGTCAAATGAGGTCATTGGTGATTTTGGTTAGGTAAACTGAAAAGTGTTGTAATATGAAAAGTCTGACTGTACTCTCAACCAAATTTGGTGACAATAAACTTTGGGCAAGGGGACTTCAGATGACTTCAGGCATTTGAGGTCATCTAAGAGTCAAATGAGGTCGTTGTTGATTTTGGTTAGCTACACTGAACAGTGTGCTGACTGACTGACTGTATAAATACTGCCAGCATGCCAGGGTGATTGCGCAAGTTTGACTTGCAGTACTTTTTCTTCTTGGTTGTAAGCCCTACCACCTATTAAGCATTTAAAGGTAACATATAACATTTGCAAAAAAAACAAAAAACTAACAATTTATTACGAAATACTTTACTTAACTGCAAGTGAATAATTGTGTCCAGCTCCTGTGAAATTGTGGCACCTGGTGTGCTGTCATGGTCAAGAAAAGCGTAATTGTATCAATTTCCAACATTGCTCGGCCGACCATCTTTGAAAAAATAATGACATTTTCAAATACTGCCCCCACTTTACAAAATTTAGGTAGTCCACATTTTGTTTGCAGTCATTTACACATCCTTGAATGGGTGCAAACCAGCTAGTCTGGTTTCCTGACCTGACATTTCCCGGACGTCTGTAAATTGCTCTGTTTCATCTGAAGTAGGGTCAGGGAACCAGACTACAAGAACAGCATTTTTTGCTTGGCTTTTCCAGTATCCAGGAACTTAAGTTAAGCAGGTCTGTGTAACAATATTTGCTATAAAATACTAACCCCAAAATCCATCCATTTCTGGAAATTACAGCAAACACAAATGTTGCATATTACATTTAAGCATTTGATGATTGTTGGCATATTGCTATTATACGTGTCTTACATATAAAATAAGGTAAAGTAATATTTACTGTTTAGAAGCACTCTTCAAAATACTGTTGTTTTTGTTGGAATGGAATTTGTAAATTTAAGTTGTTTTTTTTTTTAATTACAGGCCCAACAAAGAATGGGATACTGCCCACAGGTAAGCACTAGCTGATTCTGTTTTCCATTTTTGTCTTCAAGAAAACAAAACCAAACAAAAATAGAGCTTCATGACTGTTGAGTTAAAAACACTGGGTGATCGGGCCGAAAAACTATTTCATAGGACATTGCCCAGTTGTGAGTATTTTTATGTCGAAACAGAAGAAAGGATAATGAAGTTCAGCCTTTCCAGTAAAACCATTTGTTTTATGAGAAAAATGCATCTTTTTGGAGTATTTCAATACAAATTTCAATACACATGTACATGTACGCATTATATTTGGTTTGATGACATCAGCAGTTAAAATGTGCAAACTGAAAACTGATTTAGTTCAAAGGATACATGTTCATTGTAAGTTGAAACAAACTTCTAAAATTATAGAAATCATAATTAATGTTTAAGTGTTTGTATTAACAACACCTAACTTCCAGTTTGGTGTCACAGCATTTTGAAGCCCAAGGTCAATGTTGTCCTAGGTATCTGATTACAAAGTTTGAACATGATTGATCATTTTGTTCTGAAGTTATAATGAAAGAAGTTGGTTACTTTTTCAACTTAAATCGATTGTAATTTGATACTTGATGATGTCATCATGACGTCAGAGTAATATGCACACATCGGGATCAGGGTCGATCTTTGTTCAAAGTTTCATGTTTAGACCAGTACCGTTTAGAAGAAAAGTTGCGAATAATTATTGTCGAGAATAAAAAGTACAGAAAGAAATTTAACGACAGGTTGTACCCGATGACCCAACAAAGCAAATACAATGTGACTCACTACCCAGCTGTATTCTTTTCCATGTACTTAAGCATTTCAACCATAAACATTCTTTAAACATTTTTTTAAACATTCATCATGCACATCATTCCCAGAGTTTCGAAACAGTTTTGCTGCAGAATTTGAATTTACTACATCATAATTATGCTAATTCAGACTTGTTTGTGTCTGATATGTATCTCTTTTGTAGATGCATGGTTAGATACATTTTCTTCAAAATTATCATTGTCAAATGCAAAAAAAGGGAGCACAACACTGACTCATGGTCGATATATAATCAAGAGTTTTGCCAAGGTAAAATTTAAATTTTGAGAGAGCGATAGTAATCAGTTGGATTCCGATTGGTTTGTGTCAACCAATCCAGTTTGATGCTTTGATTGAGCGACTGACAGGCAGGGAGTTACTGACCTTGTTTGCTCGTCTGCGTGGGATTCCTGGAAAGAACATCAAGTCAGTGGTGAAGAGCACCATCACGCATCTGAACCTAGACAACTGGGCTGACAAACTGTGTGGGACATACAGGTAAGATAAACCCATTAGCACCTGTCAAATGTCTGTAATACATTCTATTTATTGCCTTATAAATCCATAAAACCACTTAGTGATTTGGCAGCACAGGGAGTAACGGGCAGACAGTTTCAGGCAGTACAGGGACTAGTGGGTTGAATGTGATCAACTTGGTCCAAAAACGACAGACAAATATCACTGCTTTCAGCCATGGGTTTTCAAGAGTCATTTTAAATTATGTCCAATTGTCCATAAAACACCTTTATTCATTTTGTCTTAAGAAGATCTGTGCACATAGTTGTTGTGACTGTTAATAATTCTGCCACAAATTTCCCAACCTCCCCCTCCCTCAAAAGCACAAAACAAAAACATTTTCTTCAAAATTACATATTACTCCACTCTTATGATTTACAAAAGACAAAAAGAAGGTAAAGATATGTGTAAATATACGCTTGTCATCGGCATTGGTTTTCTTGTCATTTTTCCAGTGGGGGTAACAAGAGAAAGCTCAACACTGCCATAGCCATCGTGGGCAATCCACCTATCATTCTTCTTGATGAGCCAACATCAGGCATGGACCCCAAGGCACGGCGCCATCTATGGGATGCATTGACTATGGTCATGAGAGACGGCCGGTCTATTGTCCTGACATCACACAGGTAAGGGACTACCTCAGAACTTGGTCATTCAATTCTGTAAAACCTGGTGTGTTTACTATCTTTTATGCTTTTCTTGTTATGCTTAATTGTTAATTAATTAATTTCTCTGTTCTTCCGACCACATTTTTGTTCTGCTTCAACATTAATTTCTGGATCCTTGCTTCATTGACATTTAGACTGTTTCTTTTGATCCATCTTTCATGTTCATGACGTTTTAGGTTTCCTCCATGTCTTCTATTGTGTCTTATATGCATAAAAGACACAAAGTAAAAAAACAAGAACTACTGAACAGCATTTTGAACAACAAAGGCCTAGTCCTCTGTGTATCAGACTGACAGACTGACTGACTCATTGACTGACTGTCACTTGAGCCTGGGGCAAGTTCGCACACGAACTATTGTTAACCATATTTCGACTAAGTTGGTTCCAACTCTGTCTAGTCGACGATGGTTGGACTGTGCTAGTCGACTATTTGGAACCAGATGACGTGGCACAGGTCCATCACTGGTTCCCAATAGCCACTGGCATCATAAAACACAGCAGGGAGCCAGGACCAAGACGTTTCTTGATGACATTTTAACCATCATTTGACCAACGACGTTCGCATGTTGTATTTGTGTTAGCCACCGGAACTTGCTCCTGTTTGTTGACTGGTGCAGAGAGCCGTGTAGTGCTGTCATAAAGGACTTCCAGTGAATAGCCATTCAGAGTAAATCGAAAAGAATTCAGTGTGCTTTGGGACAAATTTTACTAGGCTTGTCTTCTCTTTTTCCTATGTTTGTTTCATTTTGTTTTGCAGCATGGAGGAGTGTGAAGCCTTGTGCACACGTCTAGCCATCATGGTCAATGGGCAATTCCAATGCCTCGGTAGCACACAGCACCTGAAGAGCAGGTAATTGTAAACGTCTTGCTCCATAAGGCTAGGCTTATGCTGTAGTCGGGTCTATTACAATTCTGGTAGCAAGAAATCGTAGTCCATGTTGCGGCCAGTTTCTACCCTGGCAAGCTGGTCATGCCACCTCAGTGGTGGAGGAAGCTATCAACAAGATGACCAAATCCAGTCTTAAGAGCCTTGGCACTCGGACCCAAGAAAATATGAGCATACTTCACGCACATTTAGCAGATTGAATATAGGGCACGTTAAGTACACTTGAAACTTGTCAGGGTCGAGTGCCAAAATTCCCAAGATCGGATTTTATTTATCTTGTTGATAGTGCCCTCTGCTGCCGTGGTGGCTTAAGTGCAGTTGGCAGGGACCTGCTGCATTAGAGGAACGAAACCAAATCCAGTCTTGCATCAAAACTAGGTTAGAAGTCCATTCACAGGTATCAGGGCATGAGCAATATAGAAAGCACATGGCCTTTATTCATTGGAATAGCTTTTGACTTGATCTGGGACTAGATGACTTGTAATAGACTCTGGATGGTTTGTGTGGACTTGTGATATACAGAACTTCAACAATGGGCCAGGGCAGGCAAAAGAGATTTGGAAGAAAAAATGCTTTTCCATAACTATAAAAGCATGATTTTGTTTAGCTTTCCTGCAAGATTTATGCATTGTTCCTTGAAATAATAAGGGTTCACCATGTGTACTCCTATCTTTGTGAAGATTTCTTTGAAGTAAAATAAAAAGGAAAACATCCTGCTAATATTATGTAGATATGGAATCATAATCCACATATATTTGTTTACAATTGCAAGCAGTTTTTATCTCAACTTTTGTAAGCTTCAAGTTTAGTTTATACTGTTAAAATGCCACTACAAGATACGTGTAAACATAACACAAATTAGAATAAAAGTATGAAGTTAGATAATTGGCTGAAGCTTGTACTGGGCCTGTCCCATTCACCAAGATTATATGTCATAAATGTTTACATATAAGATAAATAATAATTTTGTAATATTTGATAAATTACAAAATCAATTTATGCAACATTTCATTGCATTGTCCAGGTTTGGGACAGGCTACACCATGATGATCAAAGTCAGACCCAACGCTGATGTGCAGATAGTCAAGAACTTTGTCCATTCTGTCTTTGATGGTGCTTTTCTTTTGGAGGAACACCAGGTAAACATTCTTGGCCTGTTAAGTGTGTTTACACTATGCAATCGTACCCAATCACTGGTTTAAATTAACCAGTTACACAATGCACCTACATTCCGCTGGGCGTAGAAACTTGAACTTATGAAGATAAGGTCCCTAACACCAAGATCTTGGAAATTACATGCTCTTCTGATATGTATACCATGCTTAGAGCTCATCACCTCCATTGGACTGGCCATGTTTGTAGAGAGGTGATAATAGGCTCCCGAAAAACATCTACAGTGTGCTAGCAGATTCCTTCCGTCCCCCTGGTTGCCCAAAGCTGTGGTACAAAGACATAATAAAACGCGACCTCACTGCGTTAGACATCCCTCTCTCATCATGGGAAGAAATGGCACAAGAACGCTTGCTGTGGCGTGATAGACTTCTCAGTGACTCGCATGTTTCTGCCGAGAAGTATATCGATTTCTGTGTCAAGAGAATGGAGCGGAGACACCAACAATCTTCCAATACAAGTCGTTTACTTCATTTTGCAGTTCTACTGTGGCGTTATGTGCTACTTTCATCGACTACGATGTGCAGGCTAGGCCATGACGATGATGAGAAACTTGAACAATCTTGTCAAAAAAAATACCATGTGATGATTAAAACTTTCTATGTAGTCACCCCCCGAATGTTTGAAACCTCAAACTTCTCATGCACTCGATTTAAATTTACTGAATAATTTAGCTAGGCACCGCAGTGAATGCCAGTCTTTAAAAGTGTGCAACTGTTTTCATGTGTCAGCAGTTTTTTGGGTACTTGTCCACGTAGTCTATTGCAGAATGACTGCAACCATTTCCCACTTTTTTTTTTTCAGGGATTGCTTCACTATCAGGTCAACAATGAGCAGCTGAGCTGGTCCTTCATCTTTGGTGCTTTGGAAGAAAGCCGTGTTGGTCTGGACATTGTTGATTACAGCGTCAGCCAGACTACTCTGGAACAGGTAATACTTGCACCCATTTCTGGCATTCCACTCAAGCTGGCCTCAAAAGACTTTGGTTTTGGAAGTTTAAACTTTTATAGACTTTTGTGAAAGTCTGCCTCAGCTTTTGTGGAGCTGGGTCGAGATTTGACAGGATATTTTTACTGATTTTCAGGATTTTTAAATAATCCCTTTTGTAACCTGGCATTCTTGAGGTTTTACCATTATTTGTGTTTTTACCTATCAAAGTTTGTATAGAATAAAAGAAATGGGTATTTTAAGGGGTTTCTTTAGGCAAATACAAACCATAGACCTGACAACCCTACGTTACCTGGGGCCCTCGGCGACCATCAAACCTTCTGCCAATTATTTCATGGATTTTGCGTTTTTCTCCCAATGTCATCCCTGGTTGAGTAATTGGTATTTTTACAAAGTTTGCACAATGGAAACACTGGGAAGAGTCAACATGGTTACCTACATTCTATTTGCATATACTGAGATGCTCAAATAATTGAGGTATCAAAATAAGTGCAAAGTACATGTATGCCTTTCTTGCTACACATAATAAACTAGTAAGTAAAACAAAATTGCTCTTATGACTCATTTTGTAGTATCTGATCACATTTTAGGAATTGTTACGCTGTCCCTTTTTGTTTGCAGGTGTTCTTGAATTTTGCCAAGATGCAGCATGCTGAGGGGACCACATTAAAGATTGGTCGTCAGCAACGGCCCCCTGCACCCTACAACGAGCCCAGCACTGGCCTGCAAATGCCTGTCGTCAACACTTAGGTTATAAGGCATGGGTACAGAATAAGGACCCATTTGAAAATACAAACCCACTCAGAATTAAAACACTACAAGTTCAGGATTTGGTAACTGACTACATCTTGGTCATCACGACAGACTAAGGGTTTGAAACTGAATTGCGATGAAACAATTGAAATTCCAAACCCAATTTAAAATATGTCCAGTATCTCAACCTAGTCCTGATATCTGTGGATTGATCTTGACTTTTTGCACGGGACTTACAAATTACACAGAAGACAGAAAAATTAACACAACAATTATAAGAGAAAAATAGTGTTTACGGACTTCTTATGATGTGATATAAGTCTCAAATGAAAAAAAAAACATTCCAAGGTTTGTTTTCAAAGGTATTTTATGATCAAATGCATGAATATATTATCACATTTCAATGTATGTATAAACTTTGCACAAGAGGTTAAAACTTGTTTACTCAGATGATGTTTGTGTGTGTGACATTAATGTCTAACTTTGCACAAAATGGTGTATTATTCTTGTTATCAGATGGTGTATATGTATATATATGAACATTCATGTATGTGAATTAATACAATATATTTTAAATATTAAGCTATTTTCTGACACAATTTCTACGTATTTTTCCTCACTAGTGCTTTCACAATTCAAAAATGTATTTTTTTAAAAACATTTCCAATGATCAAATTTTACAATTTTTTTTTTCACTTTGTATCCAAATGATCAATGTTACATTTTTAAAAACACTTCTATCTTAGAGATGTACTGTGCGTGCACTAAGTTCAGAAATTCAGGGTTTTTACCCCTGTGAGAAATTATTGTTTTAGGCCTCAATAAGTAGGAATTTGTAAAATGACTTTTCCATAATCAAGCATAATTTTGTGCTTGATGTCTCATTCAGAAGTGAATAACTTTGGCATTCCCAGAAAATAGCAATTTTAGAAAATAATTGTATTTTTCTGGTTGAAACGCAAAAATAGAAGTGAAAGTACATCTCTATTAAAAACCACAGCAAAGTTGACCAATTTTTCAATGCTGAACTGTCCACTCAGATACTAAAACTTAAAAAAAATATATGCACACAAGTCATTTGCTTGTTTTCAAAATGTTGTTTTGTCATTAAGAAGTGATGTTGTCAAAACTAAAATGTTTATAATCATGTGCTATTTTTTGCAATGGTTTTGTAACTTGTATTAACTTTTGAGGCATACAATGCATTTTGTGAAATCAATGCAGATATTGTTATAGTGCATTACACTATTTGCCGTCATAGATTTGACCTCACCAAGAGGTCAGCAGCTTGTTGCCATAGCTTTTGGAAACAGCAACATTTGCAAGTATGCAGCCTCTCATGTTGTGCCTCCCATGTTGTGCCGTTTAACATCAAACACTGAATTATTTGTGAATTCAGCAGGAAGGTTCCTGATATTGCACGGGCAGCTTGGTTTCCTTAATTTAGTTCATTGATACATTCATGGCTTCATTTGTGTGCCCTTTCAGTTATCAGTTTGTATACCAGGCTGTAAAGGTTCTTCCCTCTATGAGCCCACCATGTATTCTATTAGCAAGTTATCTGTTAATTTAAGTAAGATTTGATGGTTTGCATGGTGGAAGTCCAAAGATGTAAGGTTTGCGGTAGCACCATGGAGTCAAATCTCTTTTTGTGACTGTGTGTGGTTCTGAAAAGAACTGGTTTCATACAGTATGCTCTGTCCATCTTCAGGACCACACACAGTCACTAAAAAAAGATTTGACTACATGGTGCTTCCATAAACCTTATATTGCTTAAATCTGTAAAGTGTTTCAGATGGCAGAACTATCTTGGTGCTGGTATGTATGTTCAACCCCCCACCCCCCCCCCCCAAAAAAAAGGATTAAATGCTTTCTACCAAATGGGGGCATGGTTTATGTATTCAAAGTTGAATATGCACCTGTCACATATTCACTCCAGTCTTTTGTGTTCACAGTCGACCTTTCACTGTCACCTTTTTTCTTGTCCATAATTATTACTACCTAGTACATACGAAATTTTAATACACATGTACCACTTTCATAGATACCGAGGATACTTTTTAGAAGTGTTTATCAAGGCATTATAGTGAGTAATTTATTTTGGTTAGGAAATAAGTGTGATAGTAGAAAGGGGATGTTAATGAAATGCAATATATTGTAAATCATATAATTATCTATAAAGACATCTTAAAATGTATTTCATTGAGCAATATATTTTAATGTCTTTCTTCTTAACATTGGGCTGGACCATGAGGTTACTGGTCTAAATACTGTACTGGGCATTGGCTTTTGGTCTGCAGCTTTTGGTTTAAATTTGGTTTTTGCCTTTGAATAAAGTTACTTGCTGACATAACATATTATAATTATTACAAATTTGCAAACTTTGTAAAGACCACAATCTAAAATGTTTGCATAGTTCAGATACATACTAAAAGGAGGATGAAACTATTAGATTGCGTAGATCAGTACTGGTGTAGATTCACCAGAAGTTGAGATTGTTTGTTTGAAATTCATGAGCTTTGTACGGCATCAAGATCCAACTTTCCTCCTTGTGTTTCATGGCTGATGCATTGAACAGTGTGCAATGAATAGTTTTCTTTTTATAACATTCTTAATTTCATTTCATATTCAAACTTACATTTTGGAGAAAGTATGAGAAGTATATTTTTTCACTAATGGGCAACATTCCTGGATATTTGTGCACTTTCACAAAGATTTTTAAAAAGAACAAGATATCTATATGTATATTTATGGACTATTATCAAAGTATTTTGTGCCTAAGAATATTTCACACACTTAAAATGTTAAGTACATTGTAATGTATATTTTGTGCTTTCTGTTATATGTTTAAATTTTAGTCACTTTTAAAATGCATTATTATTATGGACTATTATCAAAGTATTTTGTGCCTAAGAATATTTCACACACTTAAGGGAATATACATCATTTGCTTTTGCTGTAATTTTCAGAAATGGATGGAATTGGGGGGTTGGAAATATATAGCAAATATAGTTACACTGACTTTTTTGAGGTTTTGGGTTCGAAAATGCTATAAAAATCAAGAAAAACGATCATTTTCCTGCAGTCTGGTTCCTGACTCCATATAAGAAGAAACAGAGCAGTTTACATACATTGGGGAATTGTAAGGTCAGGGAACCACTCTAGCTGGCTCGTACCCGTTCATAGGTTTGTAATCGATTGCAAACAAGTGCGATGGTCAATTAGGGCCAGTATTTGAAAAAAAAGCCAGTTGTTTCCAACGCTGATCGGCCGATCAGCGTTGGAAATTGATACAAAAATACCACTTTTCTTGAAAATGACAGTATACCAGGTGCCATGATTTTACAGGATGCTTTACACTGTCATTCACTAACAGTCCAGCAAGGTATTTCAAAATGATTTGGTAGTTTTATTTTTTGATGTTTGCAAATGTTGTATTTTCCCTTTAGTACATTGTAATGTATATTTTGTGCCTGCTGTTATATGTTTTAAATTTTAATCACTTATAAAATGCATTATGGGGTGTCTATTTTAACTCTAATTGCAGAACGAAAAGGGAACAAAGGTACTTTAAATGCATATTTACATGGGGAAAGGGTAACCTTTAATAAAATGTGTGTTCAGATTTGTGTGTACGAATGCTTTGTGACTGTATGTATGGGGTTCCCCTCCAAAAATAAAACGGAAGATTTGCGAGATGGGTTTACATATTGCTACTATTTGACTTAGCGAACCCCAGGAAAAGTAACCCAAAAAAAGGAGAGAAAAAAAACCGAGGTGCGAAGTCATATTGCTGTTAATTATGCAAATTTAACAACATGGGCGTCCGCAGGGATGTCAATGGGGGTGGGGTGGGGTGGGCAAATGTCCCCCGCCCACCCTCGAAAAAAAATGATGAATTGTCAATATGCTAGAAACAGTACAAGGACTTTTGGAAATACAATGTACGTGTAATGTGCTCTGCCCCACTCTAGATATCTCCACGCGACGCCCATGACCACAAAGCCCCAAAACATGTGTCGCATCCTATCATCTGTCAGCTGCTAACTTGGTGCAGCGAAGTATTCTCGTTGGTCTATGAGTATACATGGATCTATGATTGTGCTTTCCCTTAGGTAAAACAAAAAGTTGCTCACATTTATTGTCCAAAAAATAATCTTTTGTTTTAAAGATCCATGCACAGTGCTTGTTTTGTGAATGTGAGACATTTTCAGGGATTTCAATGATATATCCCCAATGGGGCGCTGTGGCCCTTGTGCCAACCACCATCCACCCAACCCCCTTCAAACGAGAAGTTTATTTTCCTGGGTTACGAAGTATAGCAGGAAAAATGTGTATTTTACTCACACGCTTAATGCTTGAGTGATCAGGATAATGAATAGGGTAATTTGAATAGAATGTCATTGACGTAATTGAGTAAAAGGGCGTGTGTACGTGTGGCCGCGCAGTGTGGCCATTCTAGCCTGCGTCCATTGTAATATTTTATTGTAATCTTTAACGAGGGTAGGTCGGTTAAGTTTAATAACGACCATAAGCCAGACACTCGGGAGTATATGTAAACAAGGAAGTTAATGTTGTCGGGGGATCCGGGCCACAAGGTTTTCCAAAGTTTTTAGCTCATAGAGTTTTACCTCAAGTTGTTCACCCTGATCAATTGACAAGTAAATGAAATCATAGTTCTATACAAATTCTGTATTATCTAAAAAAAAAAAAAAATTGCAGCAAACATAATTGAGAGCGAGATACGAAGACCCAAACCGACGCAAAAGAGAGCTTACATCGATTTGTTTGTAATTATACAGCAATTTGAACACAAATATGTGATTTTGAACTGTATTAAAATTGACAGGCATGTATAGCACGTCATAGACAATGGATAAAAAAAAAAAACCTGTGTCATGCACTCTGTATCATGTTACGCGCATATGCACCCGGGTGTTGTATTACAAAACACTGCATTCAAATTGACCTATCTAACCATTTAGTCCGGATTTGGAAAGAAATGACGTTACGATTTAGTAAAGTCGACTCCGATTGGCTGGCGCGTGGCTTGCATATTTGCATGTACAGAGCCGTGCTCGCTCTGGTCCGTGGATAACAACGGGTGTACTAGGCTAGCGTTGGCTGATTTATTCAGTTTATTAAAACCCTTCTATAGAAACATGCATTCTGAGCCATGCTGTTACTTGGGTCAATATTGGTCAACTAACCCATTGGTTTGTTACAAGTATGCCATAGGAAGTGGAAGGAAATGTATTTGTGTCCTTTTACTGACGCAGAATGCATGTTTCCATAGGAGGGTTTTAATAAACGTTTCGGACGCGGCCTGAGGCGCCCGCCGGACGTTGCATGGCCTTATGGAATACTTTGTATTATTTGAAAGTATAAATGTATGACCAAGTCCAAATGAAATCTATGGTCAGTTTCAATATTGGACCTGAAAAGGCCAAAATGGCCGCTTCGGCCCAGTTCAAGCACAATTAGAGGGCGCCCTCTATATAAAACTTTGAACCAATCGGCGCGCGTGTACGTACGTCCGTGTACCGCGTACGTGTAATTCCGGTTAATCGCTGCGCTTTCTTTGTGCTGTTCACGTGTAGATAAACTGCAGAAATCTCTAGCTCTATCGTCATTTTCGCCTAGATAAACTTGTCAAGGTAGGTTTTTATAGATAGTTTGTATAAGCGCAGTTTTTCTCTTTTATCTAGATTATTGCGAGTGCAAAAAATCTTGCTCCGAATTTCACAATTAAAAGACTTTACGAGAGGAATGTTTTGCGATTAGGCCTACGATATATTTTCGAAGTGCCCAATGATTGACAATGACATGTTGATTAAACCAGTAGGCCTAGCGTTAAGCCAAAAAAAAAAAAACCACGCGCCCCCCCCCCCCCAAAAGAAAATATTTTGTTTGGTGGCATAATTTTTTAGGCCTAAATATATAGTTATAAATAATAGATACCTACCTGAGTAAAAATAATTGGGTTTATCATTAAGAGTTAAGTTAAAAAAAATTTTTTGTTACCTAGGCCTATCAAGTATGTTGAAATAAGATTTCAGTGAGCTTTTTTTTAGTTCGCCTGATTTTTGTGCTCAATTAATTTTCGGACATCTTTTCAACTTTAGTAGGCCTACCACATGGATTTTCACAAGGTTCTCACATCTGTATTAATTTAAAACTTGCCAAGCAAAGTAAAGAGTTTGCAGCTCTGCATGAGGAAAATGGGGAAAGTCGTTTACCTTACGTCTTAGCACATTTTGGAAATGCATCACCACATTTGTTTACCAATTAGGGGCCTACTGCCTAAAGTCAAGCCTTTACAAAAAAAGTTGTATGTTATCTGGTTATATACTGTTACAATTGTGGCTGTTATTCCATTTCGTCTCAGGTCGTTCCACCATCAGTTTGTATGCAAAGATAAGATTTCATTTTACAAACCCTCATGGCACCATGGTCAGAACTTCTCACAAATCCCTCCAAGCGCCGAGCTGTGTTAGCGACAGTGGCCATCACTGGCATCGTGGTAGGCGGTTACTTGTACCTCAGAGATAAGTTGAGTACATCTGGAGATGGAACAAGGTAAGTCAAGTTGTGTTCTTGTGAATTTGGCCCTGTGAACAGTGAATGAATACAATGCCTTTGGGCATAGTATTTGAAAATTCTGCCCTCCTTTTCCTTGGTAAGGCCATGTGTCCTTGATTAAATATTCCCTTTCACTAGTTTCAGCAACCATGTTTTTGCTTGTACACTTGGCCTCTGCGTAGTACAGGAAAGCTTGCCCAATTTGAATGGGATGAAGATATAGTTTTAACAATCCCCCCCCCCCCCCCCCGGGTACAATCAATCAAGGGAAACTTAACTTAACTTTAAATTAATTAACTTTCTCCTGTGTAAATACTACAGGCGTATCTAGGTTACTATGGTGTTGGCATGCTGAGAAAGAAATCCACGTTGGACTTCTAAAACAATGTCTTCTGACAGTGCTGCGCTTAATTACATCAATGGTTCTCACGCCACATCAAAAGATGAAGACTTTTTCTACCAACAGTTCCTTTTTGTAACAGGCCTATATTCAAAAAAGATTTGCTGCCTACAGTAAGCAGAGCTGAGAAATAGAGAACAGGCCAAAAAATGGAATTTCGACAAATGAAATGAAAGCTCATCGATCAAAGTTATTAAAGGTATGTACATGTATCAATAAATACATATTTTAATATCAGTGTTGAACTTAAAAAAAAAATGAGGCAAGCAAACCGAGCAAAACAAATTTTATGTGGACAATTTCACACAAATATTTAAAGAGTTCTAAAATACATGAACTGAATATAAATCAGTATGAAGTATCCAGACAGAGTGCATTGTATTCGCAACTTTGTATGCAAGTAAACTTTCATAAAACTAATGCACTTAGAAGGAAACACATTAGCATAAATGTAATCTTCAAATCCTATTGAAGTTATTTCGTTTGTGTTTTGTATGAGTTATGCAAAGTAACTTGTGTATTTTAAATAATGCACGTAAATTACCGACAATGGTACCTTAGGGCGACGTTCCCATGGACTTGTGCCCCCCCCCCCCCCCAAAAAAAACACCCAACAAACACCCTCCCGTTATCCCATATTTAAATCCCCCCCCCAAAAAAAAAAAAAATACATGTTTTAATTTACAATGTATATTATTCTTGACCTTAAAAACATTTTATTCTAGAAATGGTAGTTAAAACATTAGGGAGACACTAAAATGTCTCCATGATTTCAAATAATTTACTACAGTGTTTCCCTAAGGTACCATTTAATGTTGTACAACTAAACATAATTACATACATAATTAACTGAGTTTTAATTGTGTTTATCTCATTTACAATATTTAAGAGTGTAAATAATTGTGGCTGTGTTTCACAGATTTCCTACCACAAATGTGACAAATCCCTACAAATTTAACTGAAATACTTTCTGAACTCGAATTTGCACATAAAACAGTAGTAAAAAAATTATGATCACAGAGATGAATATGTCAAATGTTTCAATGGGGAGTTGTGACTTCTGCAATGAAATTAATCAGCCAGTTTCAAATCAAGTGACAAGCTCTCAAAATGGACTGTGCCATATGCATCCATTATCATTGAGGATTCCCAGCCACATGTCAATTTAACTTTTGATTGACTTGGTTACAACTCAGAAATAAATAAAAGTGCATGTAGTTTGTAACGGAAGATTGTAAAAGGTAGATAGGTTTTTGTTTTTTATAACAAGGTCTAATTTTATTTTACAGGTGAAACGATTATGACTTTTAATATATATTTACCATTATTGTTTTTGTTATACATACATCTTTATAACTGAATCTTTTTTTAATCTCATGATAATAGCCAAAGGTACAAATGTCAATAAACAAAACTGTACAGAAGCCGAGTTAATCCACCAACCTAATTTCTTGTACATACTTTACTTGATTCAAAAGGATTCAGAACCAATAGAATGTGAATTTGCTTCAATACTCATCCCATGTTAATTGTGACTGGACCTGTGGATTGACTTGCTATTTACTGCATTACAGAATAAATAAACTTTAATTTCAAAGAAGAAACTTTAGTCCTATCCGTCTTGCTGTTGTTACATGGATGCCTCACAAATACATCACAATCAAGAATTGCAGTATGAAGCATATACGACCACAGTAAAACAGCATTGGTTCACCATGACCAATAGTTAGGACCTATTATAGTGAATCCAGGTGGGTAGCAATAATAAATAATACAACACAAGCTGTAATGCCAACAAATCACACCCCCCCCCCCCCCTTTTAAAAATTGGGGCATTTGGAAAGAACGACAAAACTGCTCATCAGGAGGGGCTACATAAGGCTTACCCAAAGCCTTCCCAATATTTTGGTGCCCCTTCCTCCAATCCCTAATAGAAATACTATGTCCCAACTACAGTAGTGGCCCCAGCCATAATATAGTTTTGACTTTATAACAAAAATAACAAAAACCATTAGAGCCCCAACAAAAATGTTGCGTGTAATGTACATGTAGAGACATTCTTGTTTCGTACCCATGGGGACTACACACGTGTTGTCCCACGGTATTATGGGAACTGAAGACACTATGGGGACAGCAGAAAGTCCCCATACCTCAGTCTGAATTTCCCTAACAATAAAAAACTTCCCCATAACGTGGTGATGGCCCGCGGCCGCTCACCTATACATGTACACAGATGCAGGAGAATCTATATTTGCAATCCATTACGTTTGTGTCATGTCTACTGTTCTGAAATGCCAAAATAATTCTGTTCAAACCATCAAACTATTTACATATTAAAATATTAAAATACTATATGTTACAAACCGAATGTCTTGATATGATTTGAATCGCTAAGTTTAAAAATATTGTTTGAAACATTCGAAGATTTCCCAGCTAACTGATTTTTTCTTTCTTCAATAACATTTCAATATCTTACTTTTTTTTCAAATTGGTTAATAAAAGCAAATGATGAGCTTTCCTTAATTTTCAGACAAGAAATCTATGCAAATGTGTGGGGTATTTGATATAATGCCACTGACCATTGTTTCACTCTGTTGTGGGGAAGGTCCAAGATATCTTGACGATCTGGGACCAGTTTCTTAAGACTGCTTTGCAGAAAATTTCTGCTCAGAAATATTTTCTGGCAAAATCTCAGCTTGGGACCGCAAAACTACATACATCAGGGCCTGATTATATGGCTCTGTTTACCGCAGAATTCTGCACTTTTAATCACCATCCTGTGCTAACAGCGCTGGCCAAAATCATTTGTACTAACTCTGTAAGCACAGCATTCTTAGTAATGGAATTTACCCATGCAGATAAGCCACAATTCCTCCCTAACCTGTGAAATAGGCTATTAACTGAAAGCGCTGATTTTTTTGCTACAGTAATTGGCAATTTTTTGCTAAAGGTAAGCAGAGATATGACATTGGGCCCAAATGGCATTCTGATTTTTTTTCCCCCAAATTTATCTGTGGTTAGCAAATGTGTGTTTGACGATCCATGAGATTGGCCTCTCAAGACAGCACTGCCAATGCCAACTTGCACTGTAACTTGCAATTTACAATACACCAATGAAAGCCAACTGAAGTCACTTGTCTTGCAGGGATGACTCCAAAACCTTCTGCAATATTTCCTCTTCGTCCTGATTGTAATCCTGAATTGTAGACAGTGAAGCACAATAAAAGCAGTGTTAACTAACTCATGTTCTGAGGGTCAGGGGTTTGAATCCAGCTGCTGGCCATATGTTTGTGTCCTTGGGCAAGCCACTTCACCCCACTTGCCTCTCTCCACCCAGGAGAATAAATGGGTACCAGCATTAGCTGGGGAGTAACCCGAGATGGACCAGCATCCCATCCAGGGGGAATAGAAATAATCTCAAGTCGTTTCATGCCAAGGAAACAGGAGATAATGCCGGCCTGGTGGGTCATATTGGCTTGTGACAGACTTCACTTACACTAATATTCTATGGTCAACATTTGGCTCTCCAAACCAAATCGTTTTGGAACTTCAGCCTGGTCCTCTCAAACTCGGCAACAATTTTAAACATCAAAACAATTGCTGTACTTACCACATAGGTATCGTACTCAAATTTATGTCGCAGGTTCAGGTGTTCAATAAAGTTACTGCTTTGGTAGTTGGGGTCCCCCCAGGGCATGGAGGCACATATCGGGCAGACAACGGACATTGTGGTCTCCTTGTGCTCCTTGTTGCAGTGCCTGTTCAGGTCGTTACTGTCTAGGTTCTTAAGGCCGCAGAATGGACACTTGAAGGTTGACCGATTTGGAACATCGCTGCAAAGTATAACATGAGTGATTAAATCAAATAAAATCAAATAAAAAGACACAATGAAGTATTATAAAAGACTTAACCATTAATTAAGCCCCAACTCATGATGATTCAAAGACCAATCATAACCATAATTAATGTCCCAAAAAAACCCGGACATGCATACATTTTGCATTGCACTGTGGCATCGGAAGATTCCTGGATCTTTACATGGAGGTCTTTCTTGAAATAATTAACATTAAACTGATATTATTTTTGGTCAATGATTTAACTGTGGATCTTAATTCAAACCTTGGATGTGAAATATCGATCAGTATTTAACAGGTGAGAGAGGAAATTTGCTCAAAGTGGATTACATACATGTACTGCCGGTCAGAGTTGAAGTAAAGTCCATCATAAGTCTATCACAAGTCAAATCGTAGAAACGGCCACGAGTCAAATCACAAGTCGAATCACAGAGTCAGCCAGGAGTCAAGTAACAAGTCCATCACAAGTCCATTTTTAAGTCAATCACAAGTCAATTTACAAATTGAATCACAAGTCAATCACAAGTCAAGTCCAATCACTAGCAACAAGTAGGGTCACAAGTCAACAAGGACCTATTTTGTCATATTCATTTCAACAACTGGTATTTTGACTTGACAATGAATGACTTGTGATTGACGTGTGAGGACTTGTGATTGATTTGTGAGGACTTGTGATTGACTTGTCAGGACTTGTAAGGACTTGACTAAAACACTGCTCCTGGTTGTCAGAACTTGAATTCCAGCATGCCATCTTAACCAAGAAAACAAACTCAAATTGCACATATGCAATGCTGGGTTACTTACCGTGGTGCTTTCTGTGATGTAGTAGCTACTGGCTTGAATTTTGAAGCCGAGTCTGTCATGGTTCCCATCTTGGGGCAGGTTGCTGTGTGGCTTCGGATTTTTGACATTGACATCTGTGTTCCCAAATATATGAAGACATGAAGAAATCTCATGAGTAAAATTCCTCTTCCTTATTTAAATCTGGCTCACAATATACATATATAAATATGGGGCTCCCTTTTTCAGTCCCAATTACAACTGACACGATTTTGTAAACTACCCAGGATAAAACTTCTTTTCGAGGAGTGATTTAACCCAATAATCACTGTAGTGCCTGTAATGCTAGAAAGCACTCAAGCACTCTATGCTTTTATGACTTCACTGGTCACATGAATAAACACAATATAATATAATGTAGTACAGTTGCTAACATGTTAATCTTCATTTAAAGCTTCATTAAACATGTTGAAACTGAATATACAGCTTTTGTTCAATCAAAATTTGTAAAAATCTATTCCCGTATCACAAACTAAATCCTTCATGATCTATTTCCCGCTATGAAGCATTATGCAAAAAAAACCTATTGCACCTCATCTGTTAGACTGTTTCCTAGTGGTAATGATGAGTCAATGTTGCGCATTCAGTTAGGACTGCCCCAACAATAGTTGGAACTGTGTTACTTATACTTGGTGGGGGAAGGGGGGGCGGGCAACAGACAAAATTGCCTTCAGAATGATGGAATTAGCAGGACATTGCCACTATCATCCTGAGCTACTCACGAACCAGCTGTTACTCTGGGAGCCAACACATGGAAGAAGACACAGAGGCAGACCAAAGGAATCAAACATCAATGTACTGAAGAGAGACACAGGGGTGGAAGAGACAAATGAGCTTGATGCATGCATGAGGAATCGTGACGAATGGAGTATCCGTGCCAGGGCTCGGCTGAGGCTGACTTTAAGTGTAGTGAGTGGGGGGGGGGGGGGGGGGGGTTATTGCTCTGATTGGGCATAACATACCAACCTTCTTACTACAGCCAGTGCAGACAGACTTAGTTGATGATATTTGTTTCTCAATGTCTTTTGCTTTGGCCTTCTTCTTGGGGTCAAAGACCTTCCGACACAGTGGGCAGTTTGGTGAGGGGACATCTAAATATGGAGCTAAGCATTCTTCACAGAACCTGATGGACAAAGCATATATATGTGAACTACCGTAAATGATCAATGATCTAGGATGTGGACATTACAAATTAATGTTACGCCCCAACTGTAGGTACCATGGATAGATCCAGTTTATAGTTGGGATTGTAATTGTCTTGTAATTTGCCTTGTGATAGATGTGTAATTTGGCTTGTGGCAGACTGTTTGTGACCCTCCGTACCACCTGATGTCATCCTATCTTCCATCTGCCCAACAAAACTGACATCTCAGTCTTAATACAGTGATAAAACTGTCACAGATATACTTACGTATGTTCACAAGTAATCTTAATTGGTTTGCAGTAAACATCCAGACATATTGCACATTTCAGACCATCATCACTTTCGTCTCCAGTGGCCATCCTCGACCTACTCCCTGACCAAACAAATTATTCAAAGAGTATAAAAGCCTGTTAACTAAATCTTGTTATGAGAAGATTGCTGAGACTGGTTACATTATATCTTGCTGATGATAAATTTAAAGGCAAGGTGTACTAATTTGTACCAATTTATTGAGGTAAAACTTGCTCAAAGTGAATGTAGGAATGGCTCCAAATTTACTATGTGAAATTATTCCTCCTGAAATGGTATCGTTCGGGAATAAAATAATAGTTGAAGGTGGTTTTAAACAAGTGTGCCCAGGGCCATGGGCACACCTTTTACGTTGTAGCAATCATGCCTGGCAATCGAATCCAGTTACGAAACCCAAATGGTACATTTATTTTTGATAGTGGATATTTTGCCGGAGGTAATGACGGCAAACTAACGATTACTAAAGGTTTGCCGGCGGCAATCCATATCAACAGAGGGCGCTGTACTCTTTAAAATAGGGCTGAATTAGAAGATGTATTAAATTCCCACCAAAAGTTGTGTAGCACGTTTGGTGTAATGGTTAAGCAAAGGCTCTAGTAAGCGGGATGACTCGCGTTCGATTCCGACCGCACCACATTTTTAAGGTTTTTTTTCTCATCCCCATATAAATAAGAATATTCTTCTTTTATTATTTTAACATGTCTCAAACATATTTTGCAGAGTATTACATTTTCTTTTTCAGATTTGTGGCTCTGGAGGATTTTTTTTAAAAGGGAAATAAAGTCCGAAATTATAAAATGGTCTGAATCCCATCTTGTGTATAAGAGGTAACAACGATAATTTTGGCATGGAGCCAGACTAAAACTTGTCACCGGAAAATATTTAAGTACCAAAAAACAGTAACTGCGCATGTTCAGTGCATATCTGGCAAACTAACGTTTACTAAAGGTTTGCCGTCTCCGGCAAAATATACACTGCCTTTATTTTTACTAGTCCGAGTAACTTGGACCCAACTTATCGCCTTTTAACATTTGGACATGGTCTGGCGATCGCCTAGACCCGTGAACGTGGCTTGTAAACTACGCCACGTTCTTATGTCATTTCGAACCTGGCGAACGTGTCCCTCTGACTCCCTCCGTTACACACACTGAACGTTATTTTGCCCATGTAATAAGTACTCACATATGAAGCTGTCTTGAATTCTATTTGTACGTCAAAACTTGCATTTGACGACAATTGAGGAAAATTCTGGCCCCGGTTCATGAAGTCCGTTCGTTACTGCTAGCTGCCATTTTCTCCCAACTGCCGCATGCGCATTGCGTTTTATTTTCGTATGATTCGACGGCTGTTTACTGTCGCAGCTAAAACAGACATCGTTTTAGACAAGTTTCAAGTCCTTTCCTCTCTCACCGCACCGCACGCGGTCGCACGTGCGCCCGCGTGTTTGTGCACACACGTACTGTACACGAGATAAGCCGAGCAGCCAATCGTCTGCGGGTTTTTTTTTTCGGGGTTGCGACAATGAAACAGCCGTCAATCTGTCCAAGCGACTCAGACGCGTCCGGGGTTATTTGTCAGGGTCAGGTTAAAATCTAATTTCTACACGTTCGTATGGGTCTTTACTGATGGGCAAATTTCGTCGAAATTACACAGCCGAAACAATCGGACGGGCAAATTTAGATTTCTTGGTGAGTACTCAACACCCATACGGAATTATGTATGTCGGATCGATTTCGCCAGGTTCGAAATGAAACAAGAACGTGGCGTTGTATACGACGCCACGTTCACGGGTCTAGCGATCGCCAGACCATGTCCAAATGTTAAAAAAGGCGATAAGTTGGGTCCAAGTTACTTGGACCCAACTTATCGCCTTTTTTAACATTTGGACATGGTCTGGCGATCGCCAGACCATGTCCAAATGTTAAAAAAGGCGATAAGTTGGGTCCAAGTTACTCGGACTATATTTTTACCGTAAAATTTTAGTATTTATTTTTAGACGCGATATCTGATTGACTGAAGCGGCCTAATTAGTAATTTATCGTGGTTAACATTACAAATACAACATAACGAAAACATGGAAAACAAAGGACCTGTTCTTCTTTGTCAGCTCCGTTGTTTCAGTTGTTTTTAGAACGTCAAATAATTGAAGATAACTCATCGACTCGACGTTGATGTTTTTTAACTAGTTACAGCTGCTGGGTCAAAGGTTACGCTTTTCCTCTGCCTGGCTCCTGCACGACTCTCCAGCATTAAACATGATCCCTTGAAAGAACCAGACTAAATACAACAAAAAACACTGCACTCGTTAATTTTGTGCGCGCGGTGGGTCGTTTCGTTTTGTTGTGTGCGATCTGTCTGCAACTGCGAATTTCTGTTTGAACGCATAGGAAATCTCTGGAGAATTCTAAAAAGTTCGTGCCTCTCTCATCGCCAACATTTGCCAATTAAGAACATGTCGCTTGCCTTTGTGCCGCCTCGACAGCGGGGGAAATCCGTGCCTGACCAGGCAACGATACAAAAGGTGAGTGGTCTGAGCAGTGTCACTGCACTGCACTTCATGCAATGAGTGCAGTATGCAAGACGAATTGCCTTGTCTTTTCCATTGCATCCTGGGAATGAATGGATGACAAACATGACAAACAAGCAAGCAATGCAGTGAGTTAGACCATGTTATTGTTAGACCCTATAAAAAGGCTATATATGCACAACCTATATGGGCAGGGGGCAGTAATGTAGAAAACCAGTCAAACTTTAGATTATAACTAGTATTATATATAAGTCGAGGGTGTTGTATATTTGTCATTCCAACATGACTTTTCAATTCATCCTAAAGCAGACTTTTCCTTATCAGTATCACCATCATGATCGTGTGTTTTTTTTTATAATTTTTATAATTTTTAATTTTTTTAAACTGATTCATTTGTATTTCTGTGAAGCGCCTTGGGCGTCAATTTTGACGGATTTGGCGCTATAAAAGAGTTAGTTATTATTATTATTATTTATGCTTATCAATAATCATTCTTTCTAATGAAACCATATTTATTTTTTTTTGCAATTTTGCAATTTTTTTTATGTGTTGTATGGTTGGTGCCATGCGAATCAAACGTGCATTCACGGTTTCCTTCTAAAAATCAATAACTGCCTACGAAATATAGGCCCTAATTATAATTTTGTTTCATGTAGGCCTACAACAAGGAAGGCTACATGTACATGTTAGTTCAATAACCTACATCATGACCTAATAAAATTAGATTGTTGTTTTCGTATATATGGAACAGCCCGTAAGCTACACAATAATGTAAACAAAGGTAAACATGGTCAAAGTGTTTATACATGGAGCTATTAAACGAGTTAAATGAGTTAGACTGGTTCATCTTTTTTTCCGCATTTGTGACTGCACTCCTTTCCACATTCGCACATACATGTAAATGTACTCATGTGATAACAAATTCTCCTTTTGAACCAAGAGAACATGTGGCTTTTGGTCCATTACATGGCATTATACATGTACGATCTTTATCATTTATGCACAGCCGCTACTGGCACATGTGCAAGGAAAAGATAGCTGGTCACTCTGCACTTGCACCACACACACCTGTTTTATCTTGTTCACTTGATGATCATGTTCTCATTTTGAGTGGACCCTGTGCTCCATGAATGACTGCTGGGATTGGTGGGAGTTACCTGAATACGATGTCCAGCATGGAAAATGTTGGCCGTAAATGCTAAAACCCTGCATCTAACTTCAATTCACCTGTGCTCTCATTGGCAAATTTCCAATGAGCATTTAAGCTGAGGTTTTGCAAGCTACATTACATACATGTAGGCCTAGTTCAAGATTGGGAAAGATTCCCATATCTGGCCATCACTTATTGTTACCTTCAGTGGCCTATCAGTCATCAGAAAGTGATAATAATGTCCTAAAAAGTCAAATTTAGCAGGGAAAATATTGAAGTATTTACTGAGAAAACTAGTCATGGCCAGATATGGGAATCTTTCCCAAGATTACAGTTTTTACAACTTTGGAGTAACTTTATTTATTGGATAAATTGTCAAGTTTCAGGATATTTTGGAATTGTTACAAAATGTGTTCATTTCCTTGTGGGTTTTAGTTTCGAATAATCTTTGAATCTACATTAACATTATATACAAACTTGCTTTTATGGCTTTCCAGTAAATTTGTCATCTTATTGCTGATCAATTTTTGTTAGATGCTGGATGAAAACAATCAGCTAATACAAGCCATTGTGGACTACCAAAACAAGGGAAGAGCCTCCGAAGTTGCACAGTAAGTTTAAAAGAGCACAGTTTTACTTGAAACTTGTTTGTAAACTTGTGTATGTTATGCCCAAAACTATAGCAATGGCCACAACTATACATGTAGTTTGGACAGTCCCAACTACAGTTGGGGCAGTCCCAATTTATAGCTGGGATAATCCTAACCAATAGATTGAACATATTAAGTCTGTTTTGTTCCCTTTTGAGATTAACAGCATCCAGCAGAAACTGCCAACATTTGGTTTTGTTGAGTTCATCATTGTATGGTTATTTGGTTTAGGTTTGTATTCTTGGACATGGAATTTGGGGAGAAGCAGACATTTTGTAAGAGCCAAAATGTATACATGTTCAATGTACATGTACCCGTATTCTCTGATTGTGACGTCTCGATCGTGTTCCCCACAACTGCATTAATATAATTGTTGCCGTGTTGTGCCTTGAATAGTCACACCAAATTCTAAGACCTCTGATTTAGTTACAACAAGCACTTTCATGGGAAGGGGGAAAGAAAGGGCACATGTTGGCTGAATTGAGTAGCAGAATGGACAAGATGCATAGAGCAATATGCCATTTTTTACCCTTGTCCAAGATGGCAAATTGTCTGCCTTAGAATTCAATGTCGGTCTGGATTCCTCTTCTGTAGATACCAACAAATTCTGCACCGTAACCTTGTGTATCTGGCAACAATAGCTGATTCCAACCAGGGCATTCAGAACCTGTTAGCAGTAAGTAGTGTGTTAGAAGTTCTAAATAAGCCAGTTTGGTATTTCAACTGAGCATGTGCACAAAGATATGGGTCACGGTCATTTGGCATGTTTGGGATAATTGAAATTCAAAGGCTCATCAACGCGAGCTCACGACGCTTGCGGGTAAATTACCAGCAGAATGGGCGCGCGCATAACATCGCGTAACATCACATCAGCGATGTTATCCCGAATGACCTCGGGTCATTGAAATACCAAACTGACTTATTCATGAAGAAATGCATAACAGCCCTTCAGACTACTAGGTAATATTGCTACTTGAATCATAACTCAGAATTCAAACTTTGACCTTCAGAATTCTCTCTCTTTGCAACACTGGAACAATGTCCTATTCCCAATTAGTTTTACACTCATGGTTGATTCTGAAAAGGAAGGGACATTCTGTGAAATCAACTGTGAACAATTATACAGAATTTAGTTTAATAGTCTATTTAACTGACAATTTTAAGAATTTCCAAGTCTACCTGCCTTAACACAATTAATACTGCATCTTGAAAATCACCCAAGCTTTTTTAATTGAATGTAGCCTGATTATCAAAACAGTTGTACAACTATATAGTTCAGATATCTTTCTTTACGCAGAATAATCATTTTCATAGTTGATACTTAAATTACTCTTTAAAAAGTACCCATTAACTGTGCATTTATTTTTTTATTTGTAAGGCACCAAACCAGAGCAATGCTAACATGGGCAACCCATCTCAGGGGATGAGTGGCCCCAACCCACCCACTATGGGCCCTGGACCAGGCGGGATGGTCCCCAATTCACAGGCTGATAATATGATGCATCAACAGCAGCATCCACAACAACAGCAGCAGCAGCAGCATCCACAGCATCAACATCCACAGCAGCAGCAACATCCACAACAGCAGCAGCATCCACAACAGCAGCAGCAACACCCACAACAACAGCAGCAGCAGCAGCACCCACAACAGCAGCACCTGCAGCAACAGCAGCATCCACAACAACAGCAGCAGCATCCACAACAACAGCATCAGCATCCACAACAACAGCAGCAGCATCCACAGCAGCAACAGCATTCACAACAGCAGCTACAGCAACAACCACCACCCCAGCAGCAACAGCAGCATCAACCGCCACAACAGCAACAGCCACAACAGCAACAACCGCAGCAGCAACAACCACAGCAGCAACAGCAGCCGCCACAGCAACAGCCCCAGCCCCAGCAGCAACCACAGCCACAGCAGCAACCCCAGCAACAGATGGGCAGTGTGCCTGCTAGTATGCCACAGACCTCTTCAGGCCAAATGCCTATGGGCCAGATACATGGTAGGATTTTTGGATGTATGCTTTCAAATAAAGTATGTATTGTCCGCCCCGCATACTTCAAGTATTAATTGATCAACTTTAACTTCTGCAGACCCTTTAAAATCCACATACATTGTAGACATGATAGAGGTTTTGAAGGGTGTTGTCTGCCTAAGAAATGTACTACATGTAGTACACTTGGCATTAGCTTTACAGTTGTAGAGTCCGGATGGTTTTAGCTTAAAAGCTTCAGAATACATTTTATATTTCTGTAGTAGATAAGAAACTATGGTATAAACATGTACATGTGTAGCTTTCATTTTGAATACATATATATATGCATTTTAAGACTGCTGTTCGTGTTTCCTTTCCAGGGTCACAAATGGCCGAGCAGTCTTCAATGGGCCCACCGTCTAGCACTACCAACAATAACATGCCTAGTTACAGTACATCAGGCAACACACAGAGTATGGGAGGATACCCAAGGAGCTCCATGCCCCCAGACCAGGCTGCACCAGGTAGATACTCCCTGCACAACCCCTGAGTAGATATTAATTGTCAGTTTGGTTTTCATTCCCCCACCAAAAAGAGAAAAATTCAAAGGGAGGTTCTGTTTACAGAAGAATACAGAAGATAACTGTAGTCCTATGCCCTTGATATCCGGGGCTGTGTTTGAACTTCTTTCTGTGTTACGAATAGACTGATTCGGTGACGACCATTTTTTGCGTTGGCACCAGGTTTGTGTGAGTTACGCTCAGGTATTACGCACACACTCTGGATGCCTTCGACCAATATGGTTACCTAGATACGCGCACCTCCTATCTAAGAACACATGCGGCATGCACATGAGCGTGGCACTACTACAAAAATGGCTTCTGATTTTGTTCTGTGAATTCCATTATTGTTGTCACACAAAACGGATGTACTTTTGAGGTGTTGTGTGAAAGTTAATTGTTTTTATGGAAATTATAATGAAAAGGTTTTGTGCCAAAATTATCAAACATTGACAAAATTCTATCGTTGCAATTACATATTTCTTTTAAATTCTGACCCAAAGGAAAAAGGGAGTTTTCAGATTGAAGAAATTTACGTACACTCTTGTTTTACTCAAAACGAATCACAAAGGAGTACCGAAGTATTCCTTGGCTACTGCCAGTGTAGTGTGAAATTTGCAGGGGTGTGAAATCTCCGCTATTTAGCGGATTTCCGCTTTTTTGTTCAGCGTGCCACATTTTGTTTTCCGCTTTTTTTCTTCCGATGGTCCAGATTTCCCCTCGCTTTTTCCCCCGCGCGTAAGCATTGATTTTATTTCCGTTTATTTTATTTTCCGCCACCGCCGAACGCACGCGATCCGCTCTCTACAACATACACGTAGCTCTGGGGTGCGTGCAATCGCAAGCGAGTATTCAATGTACATTGTACATACGGTTCTGTACATGTACATGTAAGCCAAGTAATTCAGACATGGCCAGAGAATCTACATATTTGTTTGTTAGTTGTTTTTTTTTTACTTTAAAAAAATTGTGTCTTTACCAATTTATGACTTCCTTCAATTTAGGTCCCCAAATGAGTGAGCAAAGCATCATGGGACCCCCGGCCAGCTCTGCCCTCGTCGGCAACAACATGCCAGCCAACCCCAACACTCCAACAATGCCTCCTAACCCCAGCATGCAGAGCGGCTACAGTCCCAGCATACCCCAGGGTAGTTCCTCATACTCGCACACCTCTATGCCGCAGTCGCAAGGTGAGAAGCTTCAATTTTCTGCTGAACCTTAACCCTAAAAGGGCCGGGGGGGGGGGGGGGGGCAGAATCCGGTGGCCGAGATCTTAGGGGGAGGGGGCGGAATCCACCACCCCTGGAGTCACTGACTCGCAGAGTCACAGACTCGCAGAGTCACAGACTCGCAGAGTCACAGACTCGCAGAGTCACAGACTCGCAGAGTCACAGACTGACTCGCAGAGTTACAGTCTCGCAGAGTCACAGACTCGCAGAGTCACTGACTCGCAGAGTCACAGACTGACTCGCAGAGTCACAGACTGACTCGCAGAGTCACAGACTCGCAGAGTCACAGACTCGCAGAGTCACAGACTCGCAGAGTCACAGACTCGCAGAGTCACAGACTCGCAGAGTCACTGACTCGCAGAGTCACAGACTCGCAGAGTCACAGACTGACTCGCAGAGTTACAGTCTCGCAGAGTCACTGACTCGCAGAGTCACTGACTTGCAGAGTCACTGACTCGCAGAGTCACAGACTGACTCGCAGAGTCACAGACTGACTCGCAGAGTCACAGACTGACTCGCAGAGTCACAGAATGACTCGCAGAGTCACAGACTGACTCGCAGAGTCACTGACTCTCAGAGTCACTGACTTACAGAGTCACTGAGTACAAAGAAGTATCCTATTGCATAAAGTTTACAATTGAAATCTTTGGAAAAACAAGCCTTTAAAAAATTATCAAAATTTGAACAGAAGTTGTGATATCCATAACAAACATTTTATTCTGTAATGAATAGGAAGTATGATGCCACGGCAACCAAATATGCCTAGTAACCAGCCAACCAATCAGCAGCAGCAGCAGTATCACATGTCCCAGCAACGGTATCCAGCGCAGCAGGGCATGATGGGATCATCACAGAATGGTAGTCAGGGCAACCAGATGATGGGCGGGCAGCAGCCAATGGGAGGCTTCAGGCAACCAGCTCAGTCAGGTGATTATTCAAACAATATCAGGCCATCAAAAATTTAAATCTTGGTTATCACTTCTGAGTTCATGCAGCACTAGGCCGTTACCCGCCTAGTCCCTGTTACGCCGGAAAGCGCCTGGCCTATTACTCATTACTTTACCTCATACATATTCATGACTGGAAACTGAATTCTCACTGGTCCATTCACCATCACGTGCCAGATGCCATTTTTGCTGTTAACCAAGCGTGCGGTGCGAGTATTCATGCACAGGCTAAATACGCATGCGTAGTAGACTGTCGTACAGGTAACCCTTGTGACAGTCTACTACGCACGCGCTTTACGAAGCAATCGTCAGAAACGACTTGGTTGATTTTGGAGGATTGAGGAGGGTTAGGGGCTACGCCCAAATTGCAAATCATCAGAGAGTATGTGAGATCATGTATCTGCCTACTTAACTGAAAAAGTTGCTTGAGTGTCATTTTACTTGGGGTTGACCTAAATTGAATTATTCAATATGTGTATTGCGCGAGCAGGTCACAGAAGGTCAGTGTTTATATAGCGCGCCTGTGCGAGATAACCACTTGGGAGGTGTTTGCGCAGTAACCACCAGAACCAGAACACACATACATGGAACCTGAACATTGAAACAGGTTGGGCTTTCGGGTCATATGTCCTGGATAATTTGTATGGCTTTTTAATAGCAATGTCGATTACAATTGTCTTGCAGGTCCCCAGTCATATGGTCAAGCCCCAGGATATGGCCAGCAGTACCCACCCCAGCAAGGTGGCTACCCACCCCACAACCCCCGCCAACCCTACTCCAATCAGTACCAAGCCCCACCCCAACAACAGACCGGACCACCGGGGCCCCCACCCCCACCAACCCAGCAGCAACAACAGCAGCAGCCAGGACCACCCCCACCACATCAGGGGAACTATGGCAGTTACCCACAAGGTCAGGCCCCACCCCAGGGGCGGTATGGGTATGGACAGGGTCAGGGGCAGGGACCGCCTGGGCCACCGGGACCCATGGTGCCTGTGGGCCCAGGGCCCGGCCCCCAGCAGGGCGGTGGATATGGTGGTTACAACCAAGGACAGTATGGACCTGGATATCAACAGTAATTTAAGAAAAATGTTACTGGTTCCATATTCTAGCTGACGACCACTTTGCACAGTCTGATGGTTTTGCTTACGTCAGCAAAAAAAGGAAGAGAAAATGGCGCTATCTGTTGCAAATGAATTTTGTAGGTGATGGAGGGTTTTAGATTTGTACGCATGTGAATGTTAACATGTGGCAGTGGATTTGTTTGTGTCATGAGCCAGTGAAGAATGTATTGGCGCTAGCCTTGTTAAACAAGGAAGTGGTGTCTATAAGCATGAGACTTGATAATGGCCAAAAGGACAAGGTAAGCACTGGTCCTAAGCACACTAAATTTTGAAAAGCTTTGCTTAGTATATTACTAACCATAATGCCATTTTAAGTATACTAGTTCTTGGCTAATTTTGGTTAGTAAACAAATTTGATGAGCATGTTTTCTGCACTGCAGCTGTGCTTTGCAGGTTCAGGGTTGTTTTTGCAGAAATTTCAACAACTTTCAGAAAATGTCAACACTTTCACAAAGTTACATTTTACTTTACAAGTTTAAGAAGTTGAAATGTAATGCGTTTCTGGGATCTATTCAGTTGTTGAACATCTCAAATAGCTTTTTCTTCTTTTTCATTATGAATTCAAAATCTTATCCACGGATTTGTCAGTATCTCATTTTTGCCAGTGGGACAGCAGAAGTCATTTGCACATGTGGAGTGGCCTTGGAACTTTTGAGAGCGAGACCAAAATATAGTTTTATTTCACTTTTTATTTAACCATTCTGTTTGTTGAAATGCATGTCAAACACAGCAAGTCTTGTCTACCTAGTATTATATGTAGACACCTAGATGTCTTCATATTTAAATGTACAATGTAAAGATATTGTAGTTCTCATTCATTGCTTTGCTGCAAGTACCTGTCGTTCGTTATGACTGCATTTGATGTAAACTTTTTGGCAAGTGTGTTGTGTTCTTGAATCCTTTTTAAGAGAAGTTAAAAACCATTCTCTTAAAGTACAATGTATACAATGTATGGTATCAGAAATTAAGTGCTGTTCACTCCATCAATAAAACTCTCAGCAAAAAAACAAATGTTTGCATACACTTTACCAAACATTTTGCAAGTGGAATAGCTCATATACAAAGATTCTACATGTTTTTGCAAATTGAGCCAAAAAATGTCTGGGGGTGCCACATTAGATTGTGAAATTTCATGGGTCGAAATGTGTTCCCTCGACCAATTTTAGAGGTTCGTGTTAATGAATGCCGGATGGACCAACAGAGTACACTTGTATTGTGTACTTCTGCAAAATCACCTTGATCATAACTCAAAACTTTACCCCCATGCCTCCTTTGGGAAATTCGTGATCCGCCAATGCGCATGCCAGTGTAGGTGTATTTTAATGGTAGGGGCGAGAGAAAATATAGACCGCACAATTTCATGTATAATATACTATGGTAAATCTGTTCTGAAATTTGTTCCGAGCCATACCAAAAAACAGTGGGCCATGTCAAAGCAGACAACTGAACCAGTACATGTATGTCACGTCTCCTAGCACTGTATGAAAACAAACTTCCATACGTTTTCCTATTTCCCTGAGAAATTTCTAACATTCCCAAAAAGCCACCATAGCTAGTCAGTCAATTGACACAACTTGGACACAAGATGCACATCTTCAAACTAGCGAAAACCTTTCCATTCTGTGTCACTGTCAAATTGGAAACTCATTTCCCAAGGTTTGCCTGATTGAGAGTGGCTGGGAAGCCTGTGCATGTGATTTGTCCTTGGGTCTTACGTGTAGGTCAAAAATCCCCTTCTGTATTTCCTGCATGGAGTCTAGTCTTGGTCCAAGATTGGCTTTGTTTTTTATTTCCCTTTGATTTTATTTCCCTTTACTCTGCCCGGTGACAAGTGCAGTCCGTGGCAGTAGCAATTGCTATCATCTTGATGAAGTCTTGGGAAAATTCCCAGTGTACCTCATGCACATGCATTAGCTTCAATACAGCGTGCCTGGGGTGTGCTCGGGTAGTGATGCCAAAGTTCCCAAGACTGGATTTGCCTAGATGATAGCAACCCTCTACTGCCAGGGCAGCTCACCACACATGTATTAAGGTGCCATTAGGGAAATAAAATCCAATTCCAGTCTTGAACCAAGACTACAAGGACTCCAGCCTTATAGAACTAGTACACCACCTGTTTTCATGAACACAGTTCATTTCTGCTGTATTTGTTTAGGTTTTTGTTCATGTTATTTGTAGTATGTGCTGATTGTACATCGTTTTGAATGCTTGATCATTAAAATGACAAGGAAACATTCCAATTGCCTTGTGTAGCATCTTAGTACATGTAGTTGTTGCCAATAGTTGGTCGATTGTTTTAATTTAATCAAATTAAATGAGCTACTTTATAAAAGCCATTATTTGGGAATTAAAACCATACGTTATGCCGACCTTCATTCCTGTTTAACTCGGTATTGTGTACATTTTTTTTTGGTAGAGGGAGTGGGGTTAAATTTCTAGTGGAATGTTTTGAAGTTCATTATTAATTCATATTTTTTACTCCAAAGAAGCAGACAACTGAGACACAACATATACAAAATGTTCATGAAGTGTTTATTTCAACAGTCAGTATTTATCATTGCTACTCATGCATATGTTCCATGCCATTAATTAATTACAGTTTGCACTCATTTCGTCTAACTTTCCCCATATTTTAAAGTCTTCCACCTGAGGCTTGCAAGCGCAGAGAAATCTTAATGTACTCAAGTAACAGCCATGCCGTCCCTTTTCCATTATTTTGTATAAGTTTCGCACTCCACATCTTCTAACATAGCCACTGTATCAACACCACTTCAATACTTTTCTGACAATTAATATGAAGAATTACCCACATTTTGCAGTTATTACACGCAAATGAGCATGAAAACCCTGATAAATTATCTGTATCTATCGGTGCTGAAATCAAGTCGAGTTCTCTTCCCCGGAAATATAAGCCGGTGTAGTGTGAAATTTTGGACTCTATGAACTACAGACTCATTGCTTGGTTGTGTTGCGCATGCTTACATGAAGATAAGGACAGTGACAGGTCACATTTGAGTGTTGGAGTTTGTACATGGTAGAAACGACAAGATTTCATGGGAGTCCAAATTTTATATGACATTGGCACTAATTATATACTGTTTCAAGCACAAGCATGTTATCCTACATATACCTTAAGAAATTGATGAATGAAAACATAGCAAACATTCCAAAAATACCAATAGTCACAACATAGGAGCACTAGTAGACTGATCCATTAGGCCCCAGCCACTGAACATAGGGCAACTACATTATATACGTGTGCATCTCCAATGCCATGCTGTACGTTTCAGCTGTGCATATTGCACGCACCTTTTGTGCGCACAGTTCAAACCCTAATGAACTTCAATCCTCAAAGTTTTAAAGAGATTTTTGACACACCCTTGGGTGGGGCTTAATGGGTCAGTCTGTTGCTGAAACCTTTGACTACTGCATTCTCATTGGTCAATCAATTATGTTATGTTGTTGGGAATTTTCAGCCAATTGTTTTTCAAATTGCAACTTAAATGATAGTAAAATGAAAACGCACACTAGTGAAAGGAATTATACATGCGAAGTAACAAATGACCGGAAAGTTTAAGGTATACATTCGAAAACTTTAGAATTTGAAAACTTTAGAAATTGTCAATGTGTTGCTTCAATTTTCCGCATGCATCATGCAGCTATGCCTGTTTATACACATGCTTTGCTAAGACGTAACTTTACTCTGAAAAAAAATTAGAGATGGAAGATTTTTTGAGCATATGGTATTTTTTCCTTTTGACAGTTTACAAAATGATATAACAGAATTGATAGTCAATTGTCCATACCCAATGGTTTGGGTCTGACCATATACGTTTTAATCATCACAATTATTATTCTTGTCCCCATTTCCATTACAAGCTTATCAAGTAAATTATAGGGGGGAATACACAGGGAACCTTATAAAAAAGAAGGCGTTAATTTGAATGGTGAACCATTACAAGTTAAACATTTTTGTATCACCTAGTGTAACTTAATCAAAATTTCCTGATTTCTTTTACACCCCTACCCTGGAGTTCCAAAGTCACGCCCAACTAAATTATTCCAAATAGTTAAACAAGGAACATGAAGAGTTGGACATTGGAAACAGGGCAGACTATGCAAAACATTGACAGTTGCGGTTGTTGGGAATGACTCTAGGGTCTAGTCAATGGAACATAAATACACAGTTTGGCTGTCTGAAATCAAATTTACTTTGCTGTTATTCAGTTTTCCCACAGAAATTTAAAAATGATCTTCGATGACTTTTCAATGACAATATTGAATAGAGTTTTCCACGACCAGTTCCTCCCCTGAATGGCATCCTAGGAGTCTAGTTACAATACACTGGTCAGTCATCACACTGAGGCATGGGACACCAATCCCATCAGCTGTCCAATTTGACACAAGACTGGGCGCCACAAACGCGTCCTGACGGTGCAAACTGGAAGACTGCCATAGCTAAATATTACGCCTTATCATGTAAGGGTTGTGAAGGATTCCATGACTTTTCCATTTTTTTTGGAATATCAACTTTCCATGACTCCTTGTAAAATAACAAGGCTGTAAATTTCAGGATTTTCCGTGCTTTTTCCATGACTGTGGGACCCCTGCTAATACTGTTTGATCAGCTGGACTCTGGAATGCCAGTCTAAAAAGGGTGGAAATGGCCAAGAATTTTGTAGGCTTTTAGATGCGCTTCTATTGTCTAATAATGTGTATATATTTGTACAAAAATGAGGAGTTTAAAGTTGTCTTCTTGTCACTGAGAACCAATGGACGTACGACATAATGACATCACTCTTTGTTTACATGTGCGCTATGGGAGCCAGGTAGGGATGCAAGGCAGTTGGCCCCACCCGGCTCCCATAGGAAGGCGCAGAGGTAAAACAAGGCGTGACATCACTATGGCTTAAGTCTATTAGCTTGGGTAGCATTTGGATTAATAGCTGGTAAAATTTTATATTCTACACAAAATGTTAATAACTTTTTCCAAAAAATCTGAACACTATACACAAATGAAACAGCAAGTACAGCATTTATGCCTCACACAACTGAATTCAATACGATCCAATAGTTGACAGATTCCATGGATCTTTTTGATACAGTGAACTATAAAACCGATTTGTTTTCTTCGCTGTTTGACTTCACTGGAATCAACAGGCATTTACATGTTTGCTTTTCTGGGATTATACATGATTCAGCAGGACCCAGAGCAAAGAAGTAAAGTAAAGAAAGTAATGCTTCATCAATAGTTGGAACTGGGGATGAGGGGGGATGGGTGGAAATGGTGTCTAGCATTCATTGATGGCCTGTACATGTACATGTACAAATACATCACCAGCAGTAATCGGACATGTGGTTACAGATATGTCAGAAAAGCAAAAAGTAAAAAAAAGGAAGGACAAAAAGGCAAAACCAAGCACTGTTGGAATTGAGCTGGCGAGTTCATCCTCACTGTAAATACTAGACTATCAAAAGTTGTGCAAGCTCAGTCTAAAGATGTCATTCAGGACATAGTAGTTCCCTCCGCCGCTCTTTAGTAGGAAGCTTTGATGGAATGACTTAGGGGGATCGTCATCCGTCTGCAATATAAAAAAAAACACCAAAAAACAAGAAAATGAACTTATCAAAGTACAAAAATGAAACAAGATCAAGGCCGCAACCAAATTACTTAGACAATTTTTGCAAACGGGTTATTCTATCAATTTTGATAATTTTTCCACAATTTTTTAACTGCTTAAGTATCGCTAAAAATTGAAGGTTGCATTGGGGGAGGTTGTTAACAGTACACGGACACACAGATTAGGACACTTAGGACACAAAGTGTCTGGATGTTCATAGGGCTGTGCAATTTTTGAATAATTGAACAAAGAAACTGAATGGAGCAGTGTTTGAACCTGCGACCTCCAGATTACCATTCTGGTGCTCTACTAGCCTTGGTCAAGGCATTCATCGTTATTCATTCGTACGCGGTAAACAATCATGCAGTACATTAAAAATACAGCGCGAACATCGACCTGATGCGGCCACTATTTTTATGCAAATCAGTTGGAGACGATCGACCGCCTTGGTCCAATCGTCCATGTGAGGTTTTGGGGTTGGTGCTCATTATGCTAATAGCCCAAGCTGACCTTAAAAGCAGTTTTCTTACTGGTCAATCATTGCGTGCAAACTTGCATAATAGTTTAGCGAGCGGTGTGGTGAGACATGTACCGTACTGTACATAATACATACAATTTGTATGTCGACATCTCACATTACACACAGCACCAATGCACAAAAAAATTGGTTTATAAAACGTCCGCAAAAGGCGAATAGCTGCAAATAATTTGATGACGTTGGGATTTACCAAGGTGTGATTGGACACTCCACATATTAGCCCCGCCTATACTATCTGTATTCGCATACGAGGTCGTGCGCTAGAAATCTAGCGCAAAATAAAGAACAACATAAGCTTTGGCGACGATTGAACCAAGGCGCTCGATCTTCTCCAACTGATTTGCATAAAAATAGTGGCCACATGAGGTAGCTGTTCGCGCTGTATTTTTAATGCACTGCATGCAAAGCGAGGATATGCCGCTGATTGTTTACTGAATTCAGATGAATAACGACGAACGCCTTGACCAAAGCTGGTGCTATCCCAACTAAGCTATCCAGCCCTGTGTAAGCAGTTTCCCGTTTTGTCACCATCTTTGTTCAAGGGGCGCTGATAATTTATACATATTTTCAACATTGGCCATATCTTTAGCAAATGAGGGCGCTGTAACGACGCCATCTTCTGGGAGCAAAAAGTTTTAAAAGTCCCATTTATTGGAGTTTTTTTTAGTAACTTATTTCAAGTCTCAAAAAATTAAGATTGTAAAAAAGGTATTTTTTTTAACTGCAACCATGGGTTCATGTCTGTTTATACACCTGTTTATACCGCCCTCATTGGCTCAAGAATAAGGCCATTTTCCCTCTTGCAACTAGAATCTCACCTTTACTTGACCTAGTACAGAAATCAGGATGGAGTTGTCTACAGTAGGTTGACAATCTACAGCTGTGGCTACATGTTTGACTGCCTTGAACGGAAGTGCCTGTACTTGCAATAAAACAAAATACTAGTGTCGTCATTGTTTTCATATTCATTGTAGAATGAGTCACAGATGCTCACATTTTTGGTGATAGGGACTTGGACTCAAGTCTATTTAAAGGAAAATACATTTGCAAACATCAAAAATATTGCAAGTGAGACTTTCGCAATCCCCCTGGCATATGCCGGCAGTGTCCCTAACCAAATTGGAAGATTTCTATTGCTTTAGCAATAGTGACTTTGACCTTTGACCTGTCACCCCAAAATCAATAGGCTTGATAAGACTACCAAGAGCAATCCACAAACCAACTTTGAAGTTCCTTAGTAAAGTATTTCTCAAGCATTCGTGCTGACAATATTTCGATTGTTTTAGCAATAGTGACCTTGACCTTTGACCTATCGGCCCCAAAAGCAACAGGCTTCTTAAGGCTATCAAGAACAATCCACAAATAATTTCAAGTTCCTTAGTAAAGTATTTCTCAAGGTATCATGCTGAAAAGAGGTGCCAACCAAAACATAACACACACGGACACACTCATGAGTGTTCACCGTTGATTGTGGACGTCGTATTGTGTCTCTTTTGTTTGTACTCAACTTTTTAGGAAGACTCCTATAGGTTTTGTTCACGACCCCAATCGCGGACGTATGCTAGGAATCATAGACGATATTGTTCTCTTTTGTTCTCTGGTATTTTTCGTCCACGGTTTGAAAAGATGAACACGTACACACACAACGGAGAGCTGAAGCACAGACAGTGTCTGCTGGGAGATAACGAGATGGAGAGCTGACCAGTCTCTGGATGGTTTGGCAGACTTTTGTGTGCACATTGTCAGACTTTTGTGCATAAATGTCAGACTTCTGTGCACGCATGTCAGAGTATTTTGCACGCATGTCAGACTTCTGTGCACGCATGTCAGACTTTTTGCACGCATGTCAGACTTTTGTGCACACATGTCAGATTTCTATGCATGCATGTCAGACCTCTATGCATGCATGTCAGATTTCTGTGCATGCATGTCAGACTAAATGCATGCATGTCAGACTTCTGTGCATGCATGTCAGACTTCTATGCATGCATGTCAGATTTTAGTCACTGCTGTGATTGGTGAAAGCACCACTGGGCAGAGCAATGGATCAGGCTATTATTCAGGGCCAAATTTAATGGAGCTGCTAATCACAGAGTTGTTTGGTACAGCAAATACCTGCCCAGCAAAGACAGGTTAACAACCGAAATGTCATACAGGGGGTGAGATTGGGAGAAATACATCATAGGGCTTGTTATTATGATTGGTTCGTGACAGATTATGCCCCGTACTTTAATTTGCTATACATTTCTTAACAGCTCCATGAAATTGGGCCCCGCTCAAAACTTTCACATATTACATATAGGTTCACATACCATAAGTTTTGCGATAATTGAATTGGCTCCAATTTTCAAATCACCTTCAAATGACATGACAGAGACGTCCTAGAAAAAATCAAATGGAGACACATTTTGTGATAATAAAAAGAAGATAGTACATGTAATAATAAAATAAGTCTTAATCCTGGTTTTCCAGGCAGTCTTTTAGTCAGTATATATGAATTGTAAATATTCCCTCTTTTTTAATGTTTTCATAATTTTCTTTGTCTTTTTCCCCCCAAATTTCCCTTTTCCCTCCCTGTTTCTACAGAGCGATGTCAGTACATGTACATGACTACATGTATTAGTAAAGTCTGTCATGAGCCAATACAGTCCATCAGGCCAGCGTTTATCTCTGATTTCCTTGGCATGAAATGACCAAGAATATTTTTGTTCCCCCTTGGAGGGGATGGCAGTCCATCACAGGTTACTCCCCAGCCAATGCCGGTACCCATTTATACTCCTGGGTGAAGAGGCAAGTGGGTGTTGAAATAGCTTTCCCAAAGCTGGCAGCTGGATTCGAACCCCTGACCCTCTGATCGAGAGTCCTGAATCCTAACCACTCGGCCACACTACAGGGAATCATTGCTTATTTTAAGTAAAAACAAGTCAGGTGTGTTTACAAACACAAATGCCCCGCAACCGTGACTGTTCCCATGACATAACACCACTCTTTTAACATCAACTTACATGTACCTTGGTCACATGGAAAGTTCATTGACAGTTAATGTGTGTTTTCTGTAGGTTTTATATGAATTAATCCCTAAGATCTCAGAATAAATACAAGATTTCTATTGTTTTAGCCACTGTAACCTTGACCCTTGACATTTCGACCCCCAATGCAATAGGCTTCTTAGGATTACCAAGAACAATACACAAACCAAATTTGAAGTTCATATGTACATGTAAGTATTTCTCAAGTTATCGTGCTGACAAGATTTGTCCGGACACACATACCCACCCACACACGTGTGTAAATGCCGGCAATCGTGGACGCCCCATTGTCCCTAATCCTCTTTCCTTTGTTTGTGCTCTAACTTTTTAGCGACAGCTCTCATTAGTTTTGTACACGATTTGAGATCGTGGACGTTCAGTCAATTGTGGACGTATTGTTTGCGCCCCAATTCTTTTGTCCTACATCCACGATTGCCGGTGTTTACACACCCACGCACACACCCACCCACAGAAGGACAAGGCGGAAACAGTATGCCCCTTCGGCTTCGCTGCGGGGCATAAAAATCCACTTACGAACAGCTTCATTCTTGACTCGCTTGAAGATTTGCTTTTTCTGTATAGTTGAAAAAGTTTCAGTGAAACCCCAACAGAGAGGGGGTCTTGAGGTATTATTTTCTTTTTCTTTAGACCACAGAGTTTTGTAGGACTGTGTGTACTTACAGTGTATAAAGGTGCAAGCCCTGCCCGGTTTGTGTCAAATGTATTGTAGTACTGTTCACAGAATTCTGTGCCAATGTTTTTCGCAAGTTCTGCCTGCATGAAGCAGAAACGTGGGGAAGGGAAAGAAATATCAGAAATTCATAAGTTAGAAATGTATGTGGAAAGTAGTTGATGTAACAAAACCTGCACAGGCAATGTATTTATATTTCCATAATTTTCGGAATATAAGCAGCGCACCGACCGCAGCGGTTTCAATTTTGTACGACCTCCAAATTCTAGTCAAAATGCTCTGAACCAGTTCCATTTACACTACGAAAGCTATAAAAAGGGGCCACAAAATTTATATCAAACCATTTACTGTCGATACTCTTACAAACAAATATGGAAATTGATGATGAGAAAAAAAACCACTGGGAATTGCTGCGGCTGGCCCTACGGTCCCCGGCCTACAACTTAAGTGCATGGCCCGGCACCGGCAGCCTGCGCCGGCGAATGACAACATTTTTCCGCAGCACTTGAGAGAGTATGCAACCATGATGCAACCCACCCATGTGTCGTCTGACTGGAGCACTACAAATCTTGCTTTATGGCAACATATGCTGATTTGTTTTGTCCTAAGAATACAAAGGTCCGTTTTTACTACAAAACTTATCAAATTGTTGTGATTACTAATGAGTAGTAACGTCAAAAATTCAAGTTTCGATAGTAACTTTCTTGGAAAACAGTCAACAATTTTGTTAGGGGTGGTTTAGTCCCTATTTTGAGTTTTACATAAGCCGTGGCTTATATTCCGAAAATTAAGGTACTGGCTGTGGTAATGATCTTTGTAGCACTTCAAAACGATGAATGCAAATTTTACCTGCTCAATGTAATAAGTTTAAATATTAATATGCCCATAAACTATAGTTCATCTGTTAAAAACAAAATAATTGGTAGGCCACTTCTTTTTTAACCCAAGTGAACGCATTTCTGCAGTAGAAAATTTGACAGCATCGACATATGAACCAGGAGTCAGACTCTGCACCTGTATGCAGACAGGTGTACGCATTGCATGTATCTTAGGAAAATTTATATTTTTGGGAAACTCAACACAAAAATTAATGGCGAACCCTAACCAGCAGGGTCCTATTGAATTCAAAAATGAGCACCTATCTTAAGTATCGAGACACCAAACCACTTCATTCAGTTAAAAAACTTTAAAAGCTCATATTATATTAGGGCCAATTGGATTTGCAATGTTACAATGTATGTTACAATTCCATAAGTACAACCACTGGAAAATATGTTATGGTTTCCGCAACTATATCCAATTCATTTTAAAACAGTTCTACGCTTTAAACATGTATACATGTCATATCTGTACATGTATACATGTAGGCCTACATATTACACTGTGTACATAGAATTTTGGGTGGACAGTAATATTTACTATGCTTACATTCACTGGGAGTTCTGCCATGTTTACAGACTGGTGTGATTGTCCTCGAATCTTGAACTTGGAAAATAAAGAAAACAAGATTTTAAAGGAATTTGGATTGTATTGTATAAAATATTTCTAATTCACTAACAAGGTCTTGAGGGAAACAATAGCATGATATGTGTAAATTATCGACCTAATAGAATTCAACATCGGGATCTTTGGCTGTTGGAACCTGTCTATCATTCAACCGAATGGTACTCAGACTTTATTTCCCTTTAAAAACTACTGAACTACTGATTACTGAACTTTTTTTTAAAAATTGAGCAGTGCTGCAAGCACCTTGTTTCGAACCTGGTTTCCCGGCACAGTTATGTGTAATCTATCAAGCTATCGAAGCATTCTGGTTGGATGGGTAGTTCATGTGGTATCATATAGGGCCTATTAGGGCCTAGGACTAGATTCGCAATGGTGAATACTGTAATGCACCTATCAAATGTCAATGAATGAAAGGTTTGCGGAAACACCATGTGCGAATAATTTCTCAACTAAGAGAATGGTTCTGAAAAGAACCAGAGGTATAAACTCGACGTTCCGGTCAGTATGCTCTGACCGTCTTCAGGAGAGTGCCTAAACTCTAATAAAGTAAACACTTACAAATGTAAGTAGCAAAAGCGAAATCGATTAAGTCTGACAGCTATCACTGTATTGCGTGTGAGAACGAATTTCTCGGGTCCACTTTTGTGACCCCACAAATTCGAGCTGTTTGGATGGTAGTTGTGATTTCATTCGTATCGTGTTCGCCTTTTGCAGACATTGAAGAAAGCCCTTTTTTTGCATTGGTGATTGGTCTCCGCTGATTGGTCCCCACCCATAGATAATTTCATTGGTCCCAAGTAAAGTCAGATGTGTATTAGAGTTGTAGCCATGTAAGGGAATGTTTTATAATCGTACAACAATGTACACTATAGTTGGGACCGCAAAATAAAAAGATTGGGGTGGCCCAACTATAGATTCGCCCCATCAATAGCTAATTTCAGTGGTCCCCAGTAAAGTCAGACATTGTCAGATGTGTATCAGCATGATCAGAGCTCTAGGGAACGTTTTATAGAACTTTGTACATCAATGTAAACTATAGTTGGGACACCGCAAAATAAAAAGATCGGAGTGGCCCAACTATAGATAGATGGGCCAGCCCAACAGTGGATCTTACAGTTGGGACAGGCCCAACTTAGTTGGGCCAGCCCAACTGTGGAACTACAGTTGGGACAGGCAGCTATAGTTGGGACATACTCCTAGAACTATGAGGCTCCGCGTGACGCGGAGCCTCATAGTTCTAGGAGTAGTTTGGACAGGCCCAACTATTGTTGGGCCAGCCCAACTGTGGAACTACAGTTGGGACAGGCAGCTATAGTTGGGACAGGCCCAACTATTGTTGGGCCAGCCCAACTGTGGAACTACATTTGGGACAGGCCCAACTATAGTTGGGACACGCCCAACTATAGTTGGGACCGATGCGATAGTTGGGGCGTACATGGCGTAACATCGCCATGACCGACCGTAGGGCCGATAGCTATTTAGCAGCAATGTTCCAAATGCAAAGTCTTAAAATATTAGAAGTTTAATATGATGTAAATATAGCTCACTAATTATTGAATTTCTAGAAATTTCGGTGATTTGGTGGTTACAACAGAAATATAAGTTATAACTCACAATTTGTAGAATTTCTCAAAGTTTCGGGGATTTAGCGCGGTACCCGACGAGCCTGACCTTTGACCTACTGTACGGTCGCCAGAAGTCTCCATGCAATTTTTAACACAAATCCAATGAGACCAGCGGTACCAATCTATTCGGTACTAGGGTGGGTAACCTCGCCCCCAGGGTTGACTTTATTTTCAACCTCGTTTTTAGAGTAGATTGTGGGAGCGTACTGCTCCTTAGCTCAGCGGAGCTCCTGTGAAGGCAGGTAGCGATTTTTTCCCGTAGGTGGGTTGCTCAAATGTCATGCATAAATTCAGTTTTCCTTTGAATCGTTGCAAGACACTTAGGTTCTCGTTCTATTTTTCCGAATTCCCCTTAAAATAAAATTATATCAACGATAAAAAGAAATCAGAGAACACCAAACCATTTTGGAACTATGTCAAGTCTAAGAAGCAGGAAGTGTCTCACCACTTCACATTGCAAACCGTATCATCTCAAGTGCAAAAGATAAAGCTGATGCACTAAACCACCAATTCTGCTCAGTATTTACATGTGAAGATCGAACCAACTTCCCAAACCTAGATGAAAGCCGTTTTCCTGACATCCCCGACCTGGTCTTCACCACCGAGGGAATTCAGAATCTACTGGCTGACTTGGATCATGGAGCTATAAACACATCATTGAAAAACCATACTGTCCCGATCGAAACTATTGCATTATTCCTGACTTTGGAGCAACCCACGCCACCGGCGACGAGGTCTTCCTCCGTCCACTGGGAAATGGGAAATGTTCTTATAACCGGGAAAGTATTTAAACACACTTTCTCAAGTTGATTAATCGTCTATGGGAACGAAAGCTACGAATGGTCCATTTACAACGGTCATAATAATCCGGTGAATCCAATCGTTTTGCATTTCACATTGTCTACTCACCGCCAAAAGGTTAGTTCGCCACGTGCACGGTCTAGGCCTATTACAGAATCTAAATACAGATTCGTTGATTAATTAGGCAAGACAACCGCATCTTGAGTTGACCTCTAGATTTTACCGATCAGCGGGAGCTTTCTATATTGGGTCTTCGGTCGATCATTCACCCGCATGCGCATCATAGACATGGATCCCGAGGGGAAAAAACCTGTTTCGCGCGCTCTGTATGATGTTACGCGATACAGTCCTGATTAGGGAATGAAATGTCGTCACGACTAGTTTTCTACTCCGATTGGGTGGCGCGCAGCTTGCATGAATCTGCATGTTTAGCCATGTCAGACGTAACTTGGCTCCGTGGATAACGGGTGATAGGGCCTACTCAGCCTACCAAAAGGTCGACAATTACAAAAATTGATGCACACATAAAAAAATAGTGTAATTTGTAGTAGGCCTTTATTACAGATTCTGTTTCCACATAACTTAAAATCTAAATTTATTCGGTATCGAAATTCGAAAACCGTGTAGGTTAAAGCCAGAGTCCAACGTTGGCAGCTATCCCAAAAGTAACTGGCGTAATTATTGTTGAAAAACATACTTGGTTGAAAGATTGTAAGGGGACTAAACTCCCTGTGAAATTATTCTTTCTGGCAAGCTGTCATTTTGAAGAAATCAACGAAAGAAGGCCTTTCCAACGATGCGTCTTAAGCAGCACCGTTGGAAATTTCCGTTAGTAATTCGGGTTTTTTTTATTCGGCGAAGCGCGCGCAAGCGTTGACACGACGCACACGCGCGCGCAGTTGCCATAATTCGTCGGATCGGTGCGCGACATCGCGTAGCTGCAATCGGCTCAGTGAGAACGTGTCTAGGACGCTGAATTCAGGCCTAATTCAAAACATGATTCAGCAACTTTTGATTTGAAATCGAGATCCTAGAATGTTGTGTAGCGGGATCCTACTGGGCTCTTGTCCGCCAAATCCAGCCAAACGCAAGAAAAGGGGACAGACAGTACAGACGGAAGGAAGATCTCATTTATTTCGCCAAGCGGAGTCTAAGGGCAACTTGCCGCACCGCTACCAGAACTGCAACTGATCAATTCCCAGCATAGACATTCACACAGTCTGAACAAATGTATACAACTGCAGCAACTTTACCAAACCCTGGAATCCAGCCAAGTTCTTCCCGCGCAATTGAACAAAAGAACCCCACTTAGCCAACCTATAGACCGCTTGCAGACGCGATCGATAATTGATGCGCGAAGGTGCACGACGCCATGTTATGGGACAAAATGTGCATGGATAGATATACGCCTGTCCCACAACATGGCGTCGCGCGCCTTCGCGCGTCGATTATCGAACGCATCTGCAAGCGGTCTATTTGTAGAGCCTATTTCCGGAGCGCGCGCCAGCAAGACCCAAAACCAGGTCAGGTGCGCGCCTCCGGAGCCCCTCCGCCGGAGCACTAGTGCTAGAAAGCAATAACAAAAGCGTGCATAAGACTGTCCGTTACAGTTGTTTTTCTCGAAATATACAGCTGAAGCTGAGCTGAAACTTCATCAGGTTAGTTGTTCAGCACCCTTCTTTAGATTTTGAGCACTTTTGTTGCTTCAAACGAACAAAATACACAATGATTACAAAATGATGGACTATACCTTTAATTCTACTTAGTTTTGTACTTTAAATGTACTTAGTTTTGGGCCAGGGCGGCGGAATCCCCGGAGGCGCGTCACATAGACAATGGATTTAAAAAAACGTGTCACACGCTCTGTATCATGTTACGCGATATTGGGCCAGGTGGTGTTGTATTACTACAAAGCACTGCATTCGAATTGACCAATCAAACCATTTATTCCTGATTTAGGAATGAAATGACATCACGATTTAGTAAAGTCGACTCTCTGATTGGCTGGCGCGCGGCTTGCACAAATTTGCATGTCAGGAGATGTCGGACGTTTTCCAGGATTTGGCTCGTGGATAACGGGTGATACTCAGACTACCTATGGGGATTTTCACGCCCGTTTCAGATTGGCTTTGACGTACTGAAACAAACACGAGTTATGACGTTTGACACAGTTCGACTCGACGCGTTTGGAACAAACTAACCCGTTTTGGTTTTAGACGCCGTTCTTATGAATAAAAAATATACACCTACGCGTTTGTCTGCAAGGGCGGATCCAGAACACAATTTTGGGGGGGGGCCAAAAAAAAATTTGGTCCCCCCAAAAAGTGGGTCAAAAAAATTTCGGCGTGGGGTTCGGGGCCCGTAAGGGCCCCGAAATTTTTTTGGATTCTAGATGCTCTGTGGTGCGATCTGAAGCAATTTCTGACCACTTTAACCAATGTTTTTTGAGGAAAAGATGGTGGTGTACTCATTGCCTGCCTTTATTGCGATGTCACATAAAAAAAAAAAAAATTGGTTTCGTTTTGGGGGGGGGGGGGCCATGGCCCCCTTTGGCCCCCCCCCCCTGGATCCGCCCTTGTTTGTCTGCTGTTATGAAAATCGACTTAGAGTGCGGCCCCTATAGCCCTGCGTCCGGTCCAAGTCTGGAAGGGGCCGTATCGTAATTCCGACGCCTCATAGTCCGAAATTTCGGACTTATGAGGCGTCGGACATTATTTTGAGGCATCACATTGATGTATTCCGCCGCATAAGTCCAACGTCGGAAAAACGAGGCGTCGGACCTATGAGGCGTCGGAGCTGTGGACCGTTACCCCCAAAATTTTGTCCGACAAGGCATTTGTCCTGCCAGCGTGCATTTTTTGGGCGCAAGGGTTAATGCCAAGGGCGTAAATGCCGGGGCCGGGGAGGGATGAGGGCGTGGTAAATCCCTTAATGTGAATGTTAACATTCTAAAATTTTACTCGATTATTGTATTCGTTAATAATGGTTGCCGGACAAACGCGGCGTCTGACTTATGAGGCGTCGGATTTTCACGTGTCGGAGTTATAGACCGAAATAAAAGTAAAGTAATTGTCGGCTTATGAGGCTTTATTTGGTTGGGGGATGAGATTTAGTCGGACTTAATAATATGATGCGTCGGACCTTTGAGGCTTTGGAACGCCAGTTTAGTCTCTTGTGCGTCGGAATCCGGGACGTAGGGGGTACATTATCTGGGTTCTGTCAACTACTTCTTACTCTCACTCAACTGCCAAAATTGATGCAACACCGATCTGACAATCTGTAAAATAATCACTGCAAAAAAAAGAAGATATTCCACATACATTGGAGGGGTCATTATTATGATCGTCCTATAATAATGTCATAGACCTTTCGGAATACTGTAAGCTGCATTTTGATACCCCGTTTGCTTACTTCCAAAGACTGTCGTCAAACATTGAAAAGGTACAAATGTAAAGAGTATGCGCCAGTGGAAATTGCTGCGTCACAATGTCACACTGCCCGTGCCCGGAACGAATGGCAGGGGATACGGATCGCACAGTGCTTGCGTGCGTGGGAGCCTCACGCTAATTGAATTACCCGCGCTTTGTTCGGGCACTATGCAGTCGATAGGGGCAAATTACGGGAATGTGTGGTTACGTTTACGCTTGGCAATTTCTCCTAGCGTAATCTTTAAATTTGCAACTTTTCAAACTGCATAATTTTTCATAAACCGTTGGCAACCTTGGTCGATTTACAGTCTTTGGTAGCAAACGGGGTATCAGAATCTAGCTCACAAAATTCCCCAAAGGTCTATATAAATGCCGTCATCATTAAAGGATCAGATTCAAAATTATGACCCCTCCAATGACTGTGGACTTTTTTTTTGCCTAGTTTATGTAAATTTTGAAGGGAAATTCTAGGTCTGGGCATTATATAGCGCACGTGGCACACGACATTTTGTGCCAAAATATCGAAAATATGTTTCACTTTGACATAACGTAATACTTCACGAGTCACGAGTAATGAGACTCTTATCCCTACTACTTGGCCGACTAGAGGTTGTACAAGAAACCAAGGCAATGTTTCATTAAAATAAAAAGTGGTCTATACTAGTCTTCCAACTTCGCGAAGGAATTTGGAAAAAGGAAATGCACGCCGAAAATTCCAATAAAATCCATTCTTTGCGATTTAAGGTCCTTCAATGCATGGGCAGATTCTTAAATAGGAAGGTTCTGAAATTATTCTTATTAAAGTTTCTTTCCGCCTGTTATTTTAATTGATAATGTTAATATTTTAATAACAAAGGAATTAGGGGCGTAACAGTAAAAGCAGGGCTTTTTTCTGAAGAAAAATAAAAGGCACATATTTAAATTCTGGGAAAACGTGAATTTGTTGAAGGGCAACAGAAAAGCAACGTTAAGAATTCAAACAACGTTATGGAAATATCATGGGTGATCTTAAAACCTTTGCCTCTTTTTTCATAACCAATTAATAACCAATTATGAATACTTAAATTCCAGTTCACACTGCTTCGCCTTAATTTGCAATCATATTTATGCAACTAGGAAAAATATTAAATAGAAGAGAACGAATTTAAAATGACATTATATGGCTGAAACGTGGAAAATTCATCATTTTCATAACTATTGGTGTTCATTAACTTTATAAAACTGTAAATTACTTTTGTCTTCAACTTTTAATTGTATAAAATAGAAGGCCTTATGTTTCAATGGACCTAAGCAAAGGAACAATCACAAACAAAACAAACTGATCATGATAGGTCATCAGAATTTTTGGTCTTTTACATTTCAGGCTAATCAAATCGGTAAGCAGTTCACAACCGCAATTTTATTAGCTATTGTATTTATCCCCAGCACTGAAGAGGTTTTTCCCCCCTGCTTTGGCAGTCTTCAGATTAGTTTCCTCATCTTAATTTTATTATCCTTTTCCAAATCAGCAAAGAATATAATGTTTGTAAAGCTACTTACACTGTTGTGCTCAGCTGTGCTGAGCAAACAGTGTGCACAATGAGCAAAATAAGTGGCAATATTTGGCAATTTTACACATCATGTGGTGTTTCCCTTCAAAAAGTTGTCTACAATTTTGAAATGTCCAAACTTATTCTGCAATACAAGGAATAGACAGTGGGGCTGATTATACAGCAAACAGCCTTCTAATTTCAAATATCGTCTCTTTACTCCAATAAAACGTTGTTGCTACTGTAACCCATGATAACGAAAACCTAATGCCCATCTGGATGACTGTCAATAAGCAAGGCCCTGTGTAGAAATCCTGGAACAAACAAGACAATGCAAGCCTAGTAGTGCTGGCCCAAGAGCCCACAACCTTCTCTTCACTACGGGCGATTCACAATAGTGCGCCTCCAAGAGTTTGCAACGCGTTGGCCAATCACAATGCTCGAAATCAGTCGACCTTTTCCAAACGCGCATTGGGTCGACAGATTTTGCGCATTGTGATTGGCCACCGCGTTGCAAACTCTTGGAGGCGCACTATTGTGAATCGCCTGTATTGATCCGAATGGCTATCCACTGGAGTCTTTTCATGCACCTGGTCTACCAGATGGGCCGGGTCTAGCCTATTCATTGGAGTTGCAGGGTAATCCTGTAGGATAGCACTGCCCAGCTCACAAGTAACAGTGGGGGAGTCAGTCAGTGAGTTAGGTACAAAATGAGTACAGGCTGGCCATCTCGAACCAGCAACAATTGTGATTTACATGCCTGGGACAAACTTTTGTGATTTAAGTGTATAATAATGTATATTTGTGTGTGTGTGTCTGTCCGTTTATGCTTGTTTGACCTCTTCCTTTTTCATTTTATTTTCTTCAATTTTTAAAAATGTCTTGAAATAATGTTGGTGATTTGATGAATTGTGACTTATGTAAGGACATTCCCAACAAGCTTCAGATTTTCATACCAGGGGCCTCAATTGCTTCTCAAAAGTGTGGGGGGGGGATACCTTGATCAGAACTGATGCAGCACAGCGTGAACCCCTTAAAGCATGGGGTTCTGGGCCCACTTAAGGGCCCCGAAAAAGTTTGGATTCTAGATGCCCTGTGGTGTGATCTGAGGCAATTTCTGACCACTTTCCTCCATGCTTTATCCAATACATGTATTTTCTTAGCAAAAGATAATAATTTGAACATAATTTTCAAGATTGGAATAATTGAATCAGCTATCAGAGAATAATTTAAACATCATTTTTAAGGATAAAGTCATTGGATAAGCTATTATATTCTCAGCTAAAGGCGTAGGTTTCAGTGCCCACTTAAGGGCCCAGACAAATTTGAATTCTAAATGCTCTGTGGTGCGATCTGAGGCAATTTCTGACCATTTTAACCCATATTTTCACAGCAACAGATAGGTTGTAGTACATAATAGGGCCCTGTAAATGAGACACAAGTTCAAAAATCTGGGGGGTTGGGGGGGGGGGGTTGACATTTGATAGTGTGTCCCCCATCCTTCAAAAAGTGGGGAGGAGGGGGGGGGGGGGGGGGAGGAAACATGTCCCCCTATCTCCCCCAGGATTGACGCCAATGGTTCATACCTCTATCTTACATGCATCTTATTAATATGATATCTTGTACTCATGGGCTATTACAATGTATCAGTTTTTGATGGAAATAAATGTTTAGGATCCAGGTTGTTGATAATGTCCCAAGCCGAACTGCAAGTGGGCCCCTAACAGGTTTTAAACCAGACATTTTAAACTGCTCAACCACGCTATCAACAACTGCTTTACATATTCACTGAAAATAGGAAGAAGTCACCAAATCACACAACTGATTTTAACAGGAACAAAAAATGAAAATTTATAAATTAATTTGTATTTGCTTTGGCAAATTTGGAACAAAATTTACCTCGCTCGTTTCTTCATGAGTATGCGTCTGAGGTGTACAGCACCTGTGTACTTGAGTTCTTCAACAGAGAAAAAAAATAACAAGATTGAAAAAATAGAAAATCAAACTGTATTACCCATGGTAAATTAATTAGAATTATGGTGCAGTAATCATTTTTAGATTGGTTTCAATCCCTTCCCATTAATGTCTAGAATGAGAAGTTCACAATTGAACCAACCATGTGAAAGCCGAACTATTGTCGGGCTGCAAATAATTGAAATTTTGTAAAGATATCATGCAATAACTAAACTACAGTGGATTTGTTTTGTTCTATGTCTCATTCGAAAGTGTACAGCTGTTACGTTGCTAGGAAAATAGCAAGTGGAAAAAAAACCAATCTATTCTTGAGGTGATACTCAAATTGGCACAGGGAATGCATTTATAAGTATACTATATTGTTGCCTACCGGATGGTGAACTTGCTGGGAAAGAACCGTCTATTGCTGAGTGGTATGGAGGGCTGCCCAAAGCAGATCTCGTTCTGGACGTAATTCTGCAGATGCATTCTCATTTCTTCAATGTCCAAAACACCGGCAGCCACAAGTTCCTGTAGCTTCTTCATGACCCTTTCATCAAGGGCTTGGTGTGTGACTTGGGTGTTCTTTTTGGATGAAAGAATCTGATTATAGTAGGTTTTATAACACCTCACCCACAGATTCTGTGTCTTGATTGGCCGAGAGCGAGTCACACATGGTACTTTCTATTTTTGCTATCTTTCAGTGCACGGCCCAAAGTACTATACCCATAGCAACCAAAGTACTATACCCGTAGCAACCAAAGTACTATACGCACTGTGTGCAAAATGCATAGGGGTGTGTGTGTTTCGCGTTGCGCATATTGTTTCCAAGCGCGAGCGCTACAGCGCTGGGTTCAATTATTTCGAAAAGGGGTAGTTAGAAAAAGTGCAAGTTAATTTTCAACTATTTTCATATTCAAATAGAAGTAAATTTGTATTGTATTCAGATTAAATTAATCAGTTATCGCTTAAAATAAAACAGAATGTGTGGGAGAGGTGTTATTAAACCAATATTGACTGCTTTATCTCGTGGTGTAGTGAAACTATCCTCCCTCGGTGATCCATGGAGCATTCTATTTTCCCTCGGCTTCACCTCAGGAAAAATAGAATGCTTCATGGATCACCTCGGGAGGCTAGTTTTACTACACCACTCGAAGCAGTCAATATTTGTACACGACAAAACTGAATGATCTGAACGAACTCAATGAAGATAAGAAGTTAAGCATTAATTATACAGGGTGTATTCAAAAAAGATGTTTGCAACAGTCTTACAAAGTGATGAGTGCCATGTTTTAGTGGGGGCTGAAGATTCCTTTTTGACATCCATTGATGAATGGATTTATCACTTACAAAATATTAGTTCAAGTTTTAATTGTGTTTTCTATAATTTCAGAAGCTGCTGTCCACCCAGTGATACCCGACGTACTGGGTGCCGTCATTTTGACAGTTTTTGCTGGTCACAGAGGGCCAGCCTAGTGTCATTTTTGTACCTGTCTAATGACTGACTGACTGACTGACTGACTGACTCCCCGTCATTCGTTGTGACTTACTCTGGTCTGAGATAAGCTTCACAAGGCTTGACTATTTATGTATGTCATGTAGCATCCTTACACCATGTGTGCCTTAACCCTAACCCCTTTGGTATATTTACTAGAAAGTATCCTGAATCCGCCAAAATCCATCAATTTTGCCATGCAAAAAAATGCTGGTGGCCAGTGAGTCCATTAGAATCCACCAGTTAGCCAGGAGTAAATCTGTTGTGATCCTGAATCCATCAAAGTCCCCCAACTGCTCAATATGGAGGCATCCTGAATCCATCCAAATCCTGCAGTACCCCTAGGCTTCATGTCCTGAATCCATCAAAATCACCCAACTTTTGCAATATGGAGGTATCCTGAATCCGCCGAAATCCCCTGAAACGGGTGTGGATATTGATAGATTCAGGTACGTTAGGGTTAATAATCTAGCGCCACTTGCTTTATGTAAATTTTTCATGATACATGTGTAGGCAATAAGTCACGTCTGCATGTGAAGAGCGGAAGTAGATTTTCCATTTCCATCGCGTTGCCATGACAGCTTATAATACAAACTTTTCAGCCTCTCTGAATTAATTAAACAGAATTGTGTGCACTGAGACCAACTTTGTCAGGCTTCCCTAGTCTTGTTTAAATGAAGTGATGTTCCGCTTGTTTTGCGTTAGAGAAACGCAGCCCTTGTGGCATCTTACCTGATCAATAGGATGGTTATGACTGGACACATCTGGCAGGTCAATGTAGATTCTCTTCTCTCCTCTAACTCCGCCCTTTTTCAATGCCATCCTCAGCTGTTTTGAGGCAAATTTTCTTTTGTATTCCGAATTTTCAACTATCTAAAATTATTCATGATAAAAATAAAACTATTTTATGATTAAAAAAGGTGTTAATTTCATTAATTTTAAGATCTGCTGTGGGCTCACAAAAGCAAGAAAATTCACAAGCAGATTTAAAGCCACGCCCTAAAGAACACATTAAGACAAAGATCACATTTCAACGAAACACATTAACATTTACATCCATGTCTTTTGACCTAAAATGCCTTCAAGATTTCTATAAATCTGCCACTAACACATAATAGATCATTTGCACTGTCTGCAGCTATCCTGGATGAGGCGCGTGCATTTGTTCCACAAAGATATGTTACACATAAATAAGTAGACCCCTTACAAGTGTATTTATCGTTACTGAATTGAAGTAACACAAAAATCATTTCAATTTGTTTTTTTGGTGTGACAAGGTAAATACCTTAAACTCTGGGAAGCACATAAGTTCCCGCATCGTGATGTTTGCGAGACATCCAAGCTTTCTTGTTGCTGGAGTGCACTGTTTCTTCCTTCGTTTTCTCTCTGGCTGAAAAAGTAACCAAATGAAACAAAATTCAAATAAAAACTGTACCTGCCATGTTTTGGGGGGATTTTTTTTTGGGGGGGGGGGGGGGCGGGGGGTGAGGCCTGCAGTGCAGACTCCTTGATTTCACTTTACCAAGCTTATTTTGGAAGTGTACAGTCCTGCATGGAGGCTGTGCAATGCAATGAAAAAAGCCCGCAACAATATGCAGGCCTTCCAATGAGTAGCAGGGCTATGCCCAAGCTGCAAACAACAGCTCAGACCAAACAGCAGATGAGATCAATTAAAATCCAAGCTGCTGCAGGAAAAGTTTCAATTCAGCAGATTCAAATATGGGTCATTCTAGAAATTTAGGGTTCAAATGTGACAGTATAATTTGCCATTCAAATATTATTAATAATGACATTAATAGTATTTGTATTTGTCGAGTAGGTAGTGTGCTATTCATAATCACTCTTGAAGTGTATCTGCATTAAGGAGTGCATTCAGAATTTTAACATGGACCAAAAAAGTGGACCCCAAATTCCTAGAATGACCCATATTTCAGTCAAAGTGTAAAGTCTGTTGCCTGAATGTACCTTTTCTTTGTCCCTTCGTCTGTTCCAAGCCCTGCCATGCTGGCAATCCAGAACTCTCTTGGCCAGCAAGATGAACGGCACTCCGTCAAACTTGATCCTTGACGTGCTTTTGATGGGCGTGTCTTGCTGCGGCTCCTCCCAGTATATGCGGTGATTCTCACGACTTAATTCTGAAATTTGGTTGACAAAAAGACGTTTTAATATCAGAGAGATATCTGAAAGAATAATGGCCAATGTTATAGTCGAGGTACTTGAGATAGATCACAAGTTGGGCACATAAAAAATCACACATCAATTCACAAGTCACAGGGGATGAATAACAAAACAATGCCTTTGTTACAACTCACTTAATAGCTTGTGAGTTGACTTGACACTGGATAACTGTGAGTTACTTGTGATGACTTGTGATCACACACATTAATAATAGTTTAACAAATGGCGAAAAATACTTTTAATACCCGTTTGGCCAAAGTTCGGTCTGACATTGCTGACAGCCACATATGACGTGTTGGTCCGCACTTCGAAATTCCTGCGCACTTTCTCAGCTCGGTCCAGACTGTAGACGTATCCGAATCGTTCTGACATGGCAACATCAAATAAAGTATCTGAGACAAGTGCAGATTTGTGATCTGTATTTGAAATGGGGATCTGTATTTGATCCAGATCTCCATGGCCATCTTCTTGCCCACCCTCTGCCTCAGCGTTCTGTGAAAGGAAGACTGGAATTGCATCCGAGTTGCCGTCTTGCACCTGTCGCTCTACGTCAGTAGCTCCCCCCGTACTGCCCTCTTCCACAAATGCCCCGCCCACTGGGTGTTCCTGTACTATGATCTCCACAGCCGCACCCATGTCTCCCTGTAGATGGATGACTGTACCTTGGTCCATCTCTTTGCACCTCAGTATCAATTCTTTCTGATTGAATCTGAAATATAAGTTCATAGCAAATTTGGAAATAAAAACAATCATCTGTTGCCAAAGATAAAAATGCCTTAAATTGAATATGCCTTAGACTTTGCAGTGCTCTCTAGTATTTTGCCTTGTTTTGACTCACTATCTACACTAGATTTGCACTATCGCTGGATGACTCGATGGCACAGAAATGCATTTGTGCGATTGGTCGATCCTGTGGGAAATCTCAGACTTTAGGCCTACAAAGTACTTCCCTTTACACTACAGTCCTCCAGAGCCATGAATTAGAGATATGTGAACGACGGATGGCATGATCAACCATCATGACCATAGCACAACGTGATTGGGTCATAGCTCAACGATTGTGCAATAGCACAGATCAGATTGTGCCCAACACTAATGTCACAGCATATTGCTTTAATATCATTAACATATAAAGTTATTATACTCCAACTTCTAAGAGTAAGACCTAGGCCAAGATGGGTCATTAGAGTCGACCCAAGACGCTAGTGATCGACAGCGGATTGTGCTGCACAGGGCGTCCTCCAACGACACAATAATGAGACCAATGCACCTGGGGGGGGGGGGGGGAACGTAAGATTAGAATGAAGAATGTGAAGAATGAAAATGAATACTGTGACATCCCATAGTGCTAATGCTATTTCCCATTTAAATTGCCACCAATTAATTGTTCACACCCCCACCATTACGCCGCAGAGCTGGATTCTATCTAGTCAAAAGAGCAATTTTGGCAGCTTCTGGACATCGTTTTTTTTTTTTTTTTTTGTGGCAGGCATATGACTAAACAAAGCACTTCCCAGACTAGTTCCCAGTCCTCCGTTATTACAAAACTTCCCATATTGGGCAGAAAAAAGCAATGATAACAGGTTTAATTTGATTCAAATTATCGTAGTTAAACGAGTAGGCCTACAGACATGACAGAAGTCAGAAGCATAGAACATGTTCTTTCCTCTTTATATGAATTATTTCCCTTTTAACCGCTATATATTTCATTTAACATAATTATGTCGTGCAATGTTTGTTAAGAATAAGATTGCGCAAAATTCATAAATTGCGCATGTGATATTCCCACGCAATCTTAAGATCGAATGAGCGCTCATTCTTAAGAATGCGCGCACATTCTTAAGATTGCGTGATTTTCAAGAAAGCGCGAAGCGCAAGTAAGGCTGCATCCGAATCAGATGGCTAATGCTACATGTAGGTCTAGGTCTGCGCCCATTGAAAATACGCGGGGACGCGCTGACAATAGACGTAGCCGTGTAGCTCTGGAAGCCCGTTTCGGACACGGCCTAAGGAACACTACTAGTACTACTATTGATTGTTATTACTGGCCCATGAGTAGGGCGCCCTCAACAGTCTGGCAGACTCAGCAAAATTCATTTCCGTTTTAGATAGCCACACAAATAAACAAACACATGAAAGGTACAAATCTTACGTGATTCCAAGATCTCAGACTCGCGTCTTAGTTAGCTAGCTCACGATATAGGCTATTATTAACGCACGACTAAGCTTGACGAGGAACTTAAATTAAAGCAGAAGCTAGCGCCGCTTGAAATTACCTGGCACCAACTTCGTCCCAGTGCTTACTTTATTTCCAACCTCGGGCCTTGTTTCCAACATGTACGGTAGTGGTGAGGCGCGTACTGCTCGACAACCTGCAGACGAGGCTGCACTAGAACAACATCTATGCGACTGAGTTCACCTCTTGAGGGCGCTATATAATATTTACAGGAAAAGAAAAAGGAATCGAAGACGCGCGAAACCCTATCAAGTAAAGGGGTGTCGGACGCTTCGCCCCATTTCCACGTCGCCCCATGTCACTTCGCCCCTAACCACTTCGCCCCATCCCCACTTCGCCCCATCCCCACATCGCCCCATCTCCGCTTCGCCCCATCCCCACTTCGCCCCATCCCCGCTACGCCCCATCCCCACTTCGCCCCATCCCCACTTCGCCCCATGTAGTATGAAAAAGGTGAAGGCTAGGGGTGCAGACCAAATAAACTGCCAAAGACCCCAGATAATAAATGCTCCCAATTCTAGAAACTCAGGAAAAATACAAACGCTCTGATGAGGTGCTCGAGACACAGATGAGAGAAATGATGGCTCTATCCCATTCAGAGACGCCTCTCCTATTGGCTTGTAAATACAATCATCAGCCGCTGGATTCAACTTAAAAAGAATCCCGTACATGTGTATGGGTCAGTGAGTTAAAAGGAACTCACTGACTTGAGGAAAGTGTTCCGTCAAAATTTGTCTGATATGTGACACTTACAACTTCATTGATGAGATTGGTTCCTCCAAGAGTGAAATTAGGATGTCAAAGGTATTGTCGTTCTCAGATAAGTGGGAGACGGGTTGGTATAGCCGCCGGGGTTGGGAACAAAGTTGGGTCTTTTACTTCAAGCTTCTCGGTAGGGGAGAGCCTAGCTTGAGAGGTTGGTTATGAATTGTTCATTTGGTGATGGGCTAATTCTTTCCGTTGGTTAGCAATTAGTGAATCTATTGAAATTGTTTTTTTTAAGCCAAAAAAATAGATGAGAATTTTTTTTTTTTTTTTTACATGTAACGGCTGGGGCGAAGTGGGGATGGGGCGAAGTGGGGATGGGGCGAAGTGGGAATGGGGCGAAGTGGGAATGGGGCGAAGTGGGGATGGGGCGATGTGGGAATGGGGCGAAGTGGGGATGGGGCGAAGTGGTTAGGGGCGAAGTGACATGGGGCGACGTGGAAATGGGGCGAAGTGTCCGACATTCAAGTAAAGTGATTGGGACCTCGCATGTTTTTGTTGGTCATGTAAGTTTGAAAATAAAGGCGGTGACAAAGAGGACACGATTTGGTTCAGCTGTTGTCAGTGTTTATTAATTTGCAGGAAGGAAAACAAGCCTATAACTAATGATAATGAAATGAATGAAATAGTCCAGGCCACCACTCGAATGAACATGATCATGATGTTAAATTTGCCAATCATGCCAATCGCTTATGCCTATATATCATGCCTATGGCATGGACATGATGGAGGTAGAATTACCTCCATGCCTATGATTAGCTACAGTACTGACACAGTGTACAGCCCAGAGCAGAAGTATGAACTATGATACAGCACTGTGGTGGGAGGGGCCCAGCAATATCTGTGCCTTTTCCTTCCCTTTTTATAGTGCGCCTATCATTTTATCAAATGTTTGTGATTGATCATGTTGGTAGGTGGGCCTAGATAATATTTACGTGTATGATTGTGTGTTAGGGGAGGGGGGGCGATCGTGTAGTGTAGGGCCCAGTTCCTATTATAAGGGAACAAAATCCACTTTAAAATTATTAGACCGACCATACTAGTTAGCAACATTCTCAATAAACAGGTATGTCAAACTCATAAAAGAGGGGAGGGTTTTTATTTTTTTTAGAGAAATTGGGGGTAAAATGACGATGACAGCGCAGCGACAACACGCAACCCGAAAATAAAGATGTCGATCACCTTGCGATGTACCATGAGCGCGCACGGCGCCCTGAATGGCAAGGCACAAATCGCGCAGGAAAATCGTGATTTCTACCCCAAGAAACTGTTCAAAATTGCAAAACAGGTGTCATTGGAATTGAGAAAAGTGCTTTTGATTGTAAAGGTGATTTTTGAGCAATAAAAAAAACAACACTATTTACTCTAATTTGTTCAAAACAAAACGGGGGCCCTACACTACACGATCACCGGGTGGGGGGCTTAGTGGTTTTGTAAAGCCTGCATAGCCTACCCCGTAGAACTATGGGTCTTACACGTAAGACCCTTAGTTCTAGGGGTATGCATAGATATTAGGCCATAGCATCCGAACTGCAGACAGGTATAATATTAAATTTAAAATACAAAGTTGAACGTGTCTACTCATGACATTGAGCAACAACGACCTGTCCAGAGTGAGGACACTCAGGTTATTTAACTTTCAGAAGATGATTGTTATCAGTGTTTTCTTATCAGCATAGCCATGGCAACTGATGAGATCACCCCACGTACTCTGATCCAAGGCCTGATTGAGACGTCATCAGTGAGTAAGAGCACCGCCAGGGTGCGGGCAAGACGATCAAACACTGGCAATCGGGTTGCTGCACTGAAGAGAGATGACAAAACAAGGGCGCGGTCTGTCAGTGATCTGACCCCACGCAGCTTGGTAAGTAGTCTATGTAATGCATCATGGCGTACGCCATGGTCTATTACATTTGAGTGAAGTCGCTGATTAATTATGCAAGACAACCGCATCTTGACCTCTAGATTTTGACCAAGCAGTGGACGCTTTCTGTATCGGATCTTCGGTCATTCATCTGTTGTCACGTCATAGATATGGATAAAATCAAATGGACCAATCAAAGTTTTAGTCCTGATCTGGGAATGAAATGACGTCACGATTTAGTAAAGTCGACTCCGATTGGCCGAGGGGCGAGACCACATATATCTGCATGCTTTGACGTATCAGACTTTGTACAGGAAACTTGGCTCCATGGATAACTGGTGATACTCAAACAACTTGGTAAGTGTGCAGGTGTTTTTCTGAATCTCGGTGATTATCCACAGTCATAATTGCAGAAAACAACTAACAAAAGCAACTATATATCCACTTTCATCTGCTGAGCTGCTGAAAAGGCCCTAATAAATTTGTATACCAGTAGCTTCATTGATTTAGTGAGTCCGTACTTTGTTTACCAACTCATGGAATGCCCTTGTGGAATGATGTCCTTTTAGGCGCAGTAAAAAAAAATGTTTAGCATCCCCGCCCCCTTCCTGTTTGGCGGCCGCTTGGATTTATTACTTTTTGGGGGGAAAAAAGCAAAAATGTTGACTGATCCATCGTTAAATCAAATGCTTGCAAGTCAGAACTTCAAGTTCTATCGGTCACTTCTCACATCATGCAGTTGACCCTGTGATCTTCAAACCAGCCTCGACGTGGACAAGAATGCCCGCGCGGCAGTGTTTGTCAATTCTTGTAAAACATAATGCCAGTTCTGCGTTCCCTCCATTGGCTGCCAGTACAGTTTCGAATAGTTTTCAAATTACTTTTGCTTGTTTTTCATTGTTTACATGGTTCTGCCCCTGGATATAATTCTGATTTGCTCCTTTCTTACAAACCTGCTAGGTACCTCAGGTCTGCAAATTCGTCCCTGCTTGTTGTGCCTAAAACTATTAAATCTTGGGGGGACCGTTCATTTTCTCATGCTGGACCTATGTTATGGAACAAACTTCCTCAAAATATTCGTGATAGTGCTACTTCCCATGAGTTTAAATGTGCTCTGAAGACCCACCTATTCCAAGCAGCATTTCATTAATCATCCAGTTTGATTTCACTCTCATGTGTACTGTTTCATATTCATGTATTTTCATTTGTGCGTACTTTTGTTCCCTGCTGTTTTTGCTGTTCATGTTTATTTGTTTGTTTCTCTGCGCCTTGAGCATCTAATCAAGATGGATTTGGCGCATTATAAATGCTCTTTATTATTATTATTATTATTAAACCATGCTAGAAAATTATTAAAAACACTGTAAATATGTTTAATTCTCTTGTCCAGCATGTCTGTTTCATTTCTTTGTAACTTTAAACAGTGTAAAAACCAACGGTTGTCGGCTCTCTTGAAAATAAACAAAATAGAAAAAAAAAAATTTAACAATTTTGTGCGCTTTTGTCCTACCTTGTACAGATCCAGGGTGTCCTTCAAAACACCGAAGTCGAGCAATCACCCCCCTCAAAGCGGCCCCGCCACGACACCCCTGAGACGGATCGTCCGCAGGCAAGGACCCCTGGAACACTTCCCCATTCTACCACCAGGAGAAAGGTCACAAGACTGGAAGCCTTGGCTACGCCAGGCGGCGACCCTACCCCAAGGTCATTAATACAAGGGCTCATTGGAACAGGTCAGTAGGAATGAGTCTATTCCATGTAAAGCTTCAAATGTTTCATTTCACTCCACATGTGCCTGTCTCTTTTGGAACTCTAAAATTTTGTCATTCATTTCAAACTGAAGTTGGTCCTGTTCTATTTGTAATTTTCTAATTTTTCTGTAAAGTAGGGAACCTAGAACTCTGAATGTTGCTGTTGAATTTGAAACTCCAAGTGTTGGTGTCCCAATATTGAAAATCAAAAGGGTACTGTTCAGTTTCAAATGTTTCTGTTCAGTTTGAATTTGAAGAGATTCTTACTGTATATATGGTATATGCTGGTCTAAGTTATAAAGTGCATATCAAAAGCCCTTATTTATTCACACACAAGCATGTACATAATATGAAATGATTTCATCACCCACACTTGAATTAGCTTGAACAGGCTTTTTCTCACCTCTTAAATAATTGTTTCAATTTCATTCACATACATAGTAAGACTAGTTCAGAATTTTGTGATTCCCTTATTTTGTTTAAATCCCAGCCCCAGTTGAGACACCAGCAATTCATTTGAGGAGGTCCTCAAGTCTGAACCCTGCTGATTTCCCAGATGTTGAGGAAGCCTTGCAAGGCAGAGCTAACAGGTACATTATAAATAAAGCTCAAAGTACTTGTAACTGGGGGGAAAAAGACTATGAAGACTAGGCATGTACGACGAGTAGTCACGATCATTGATTTTTAGTTGACTATTCATTATTCGGCGACTAGTGTTCCACATGTCGTGACTAGCCATTGCGCCACCACTATAGTCACACCATGTAGCACTGCAATGCCAAAGTGACTAGTCGATGTAACAAGCATTTATAGAATTAAAGGCAATGATGATTCATGAATCATTGGACTGATGATAATGTAGGGATAATAGCTATTTGATCTGACAAAACAGCCTCATAAATTGTCACAATCCGTTAAGAAACAAAGTATATAACTCCACACACACGAAACTGGATAGGTGTGACAACGTCTCAGATTAATATTGTGCAAGCGCAGACCCACATGCATGTTTGATATTATTGTTCCATTGTACCAGCGCTCAGCAATATTAATGGATGAATAACTAATGGTTGCAAATAGTCGCGACTAGTCGAACAAATTTTATCAGTAGTCAAACTGTTGAAATTCAATAGTTGTACATGCTTAATGTAGACAAATCCCACTGGTGGCATGAAATGATTGATGATGCTGATTAGTCAGGTCACTGTGGTGTACCTGGTGATAGTGTCCATAGGCCATAGCCCCCATATCATAAGGAATGTTTGTCATAATTTCTTGACTTATTTATGTTTGTCACTTAAGCCAAACTGCTCAGTGGAGTAAGTTTCACTCTAGTGTTGTAGTCGAGTCAATCACAAGTCCATACTCAAGGGAGTCCGGTCACGAGTATTAAACAGGATGAACAGTATCAAAGGAATTATTTGTCACAGATCATCTGAAAAGTTTGTGACTTGTGATGGACATGTGAAGACAAGTGATGGACTCATCTACAACATTACTTCATTCTGTTAGATTTTCTAAGGAAATTGAACAAAGACTTCCTGATTTTTGTGGAAGACCCTTTAATCAGAAGTAGAGCTGTCCCAAATATACCTAATATTTGAATATTTGATCAACTGCTTTTTGTCGGTTGGAATCTTTGGAAAAAAAAAAACTATGCACGTACACACACGACTGCGATGTTATTTTAACGCAAAGTTCACCGTTTTATTGTCAGGTGCCACTTTTTTGTCAGGTGCCACTTTTTTGTCAAAGGCAGTTCATTGTTCCCATCCTTTTAGCAGGTTAAAGCCCTTAACAATTATGAAATACTGCAAAACACTCCAGTGGCCCATATCAATCGCTGCATTCAAATTGTAACTGGCGTGCTCTGTGTGCAACTTTTGACCGGCGTGGCACATACTTGCAGGTGGCAGTTTTTATTATCAGAATATCTGGTCAAACGCAGTTCCAATTCATCGTAAATTATTTGAAAATGAGCATCCCTGATCAGAAGTCATAGCTTTCAGCATTTAAACTTGCAAATGTATTCTAATATTCACGACTTGTTCGCTTTTCTTTCTTTCCCGCAGAGATACACTTTCACCACTGGTCCGAGAACCCACAGCCAACCAATCACAGCCCCCGGCCTCAACTCTCCGCAAGAGACAGCCAATCAGCAGTGAGGATTTTGCCGCCGGAGTCCGGGAGAAGCTGTCGAAGAAGCAGGACCAGGAGGCAGAGGAGGGGGCTGAAGATGATGGGGGTAAGGATTTAACATTGACCGTTTTAATTTAATGCAAAACAAAATGAAACTCAGTTCACAAATTGAAACCCAAATTGAAAAACATAGGACCTTGTTATATGGGATCTGCCTTCCATTTTACAAAGAAAGGATGCCTGTGACCTGTTTTATTTACAAAGCACTACCAACACTTTCTTCCACGATCATATTCCAAAAAGTTTGATTGATACATCTTTCAATAATGATAAGTAACTTTATATTGAGTCAGGCAGATAGAGTTTTATTAAGTTGATATTTTAAAAACATTGCAGGGTCAAGATATATCCTCCATGCCTCTGCTATGTACGACGCATACATATGTGGCAAGCCTTTATAAGGTGTTGAAAAAAGTTTCAGTGTTCAAATGGTGCATGCAAGTTTTGCTAAATGTTTACTTGCCCTTGCTCTACCACACCCTCCAGTTCACTTCAACATGTATATATCCAAAGTGGCTTCCTGATGTTGTTTAGCACTGCCCTCTTAATCTGCCACAGTGCCGGGTTTATATTCAGGACTCACTGACAATAAACAAATCCAAATAAACAAACCTGTGGTCCCAAGGCCCTCTAAAGCCTCTACATCAGAACCATTGTTTACCAGCAGTCAAACACTAGTTCACTTGGCTAGAGAGCCAAAACTTCATCCAATCATAGAGCAAAATAAACACTTTAGCTGGAGTGTATTGGCACATCCATTAAATTACACCAAAAGAGTAAGGGTTAATTAAATTAAATATGGATTCCCATCTGTAGCAGGTGAGGTCGATGATGAGGCAGCTGATGAGCCATCTCAAGGAGCTTCAGGAGAGTTTCAGGAGAGCATCTCAGAGGATGCAAGGGAGGAGAGCTTTGAAGCTGCTACTCATCCCCAGGAAGAGCAACAAGACAACGAAGAGGAGGTTGATGATGTGGAAGATGAGGGAGATAAGGAGATGGTAGATGCTCCTGAGGATGTGGGAGTGTCTCGAGAGGGCAGTCTTGAAGACGAGGTCAGATATCTGTTATTCTTAGGAAATACTTAGATTTTGCATGGTATTGGCTTTTGGGAGTCCTTGGTATTCAATAGTGCATGTATCAGGTACTTTTCTGGGCAGACTATATTGTCATTAAAATAAAAAGAGACACATAGTGATACAGAAAAGGCAAACAGGGGGCAGCAGAACCTGAAAAGCCCTGCTAGATGACTAGTAAGCAAAAGTGTGGACTATAAGTCCAGCTCTACAATTTCTGTCTTGTATAGATACCATGAGAATTTAAACAATATTCATATAGTGCGGATTTGGCCAAGTTGCTTATGTCTCCTGGTTTTTTTTTTAAAAGAATTCGGGCTTTTGAACACATCTGGGCACATTTTTGAGGGAATATTGCACTATTGAAATTCCATATCGAGTTTTTATTTTAGCGACACCAATTGGTATTGTTCAGTATCAAAAAAATATTGTCACAATACAGTGTTTCCTCAATGACATCACAGCTGCATGATAAGATAAATGCTAGAAATTTCCAGTGATTGTCTTGGCATCTTCACACACACAACTGACACCTCAATTGAATTTGTAACCTAAAAATCAGGCCTGAATTATTTTAATCATTCTCTCACACGCCTTCTGAATTCCACTTCGTCCATCTTCAGATCATCCCTAGGATGTTATTCTTTAAATCAAACTAATTGACAGTGTTTCATGTTGTAGGAAGCAGACCCAGATTCAGCCATGACTTCTGTATCTGGCCCAGGCTCCACACCTACTTCCTCTCAAGCAACACCCCCCGCTGCGGACCGTTCCACTCGCAAGCCAGCCAACAAGCAAGCAGCCGATTCCACATGGACTGGCAGAGAGTCGGAAGCTTCCATTCCCAGCCAGAGGGACAGCAGCCCGGGTGGGACCAGGAGAGTGCCTGACTCCACGGTCGTTGATTCGGGTAGCGAGGGCAGCGAAGCCATCATGCCCAATCAGTCAATGGAGGAGTCGTTATTAGGGGAGGACCCTGAAGCACAGCAAACAGCTGCACAGGCAGAGAGCAGGTATGATCTTGAGGTTTTTGAAACGCAGGCTTCAGTATAGCAGCTTTGACTCTGGCTTCAGCTTTAACAAAGCGCTCATGGTGCTTGCTCAAAACAAAACATGCTGCTTCAACAGACCGGATGCACTAAAACAATGCCATCAAGTCACAACAGTCTACAGAATAGATTAGGAGCCTTTAATGCTGGTGTCATGTGAAATTTGGACTCCCATGAAATCTGATCTCTTGTTCCTTAACCCTTACATGTAACCTGACACTGTCCTTCACGTAAGCATGCGCAATACAACCAGTGAGTCTGTATTTCATAGTCAAAATTTCACACTACACCGGAACTAAATTTACATATTCAACCATTCTCTCCCCCCCCCCTCCAATTGATGATAAGACAATGGACTCACTACTTAGTCAGTGTCTCCCCCATCAATAACCTTTGATTGTGCAGATGCATTTTAGTTCAGACAAATGTGGTAAGTGGTTGAAAAATGTCCCACGTAATTACCCTTTCTGTAAGCACAAACACAGAAATGCAGCAATCCAAAGTTTGTATGCCGTTAAAAAGAAACTATACTGGGCAGCTACTTAAAAATACATTGCTATATTGTCATAACAAATAGATCTTCCCCATTATTACAGTGTTATTTTTTTTTAAATGGTCTTTCAAAATTGTTATGTATATCTTGAACTGATACACCTCCATCTATCCTCCCTCCCCCCCCACAAAAAAAATCACCTTAATGGGCACAATTACTGTCTGAAACTTTTCCAGTATATTTTAGTCATAAAGAAGATCACAAAAGGTAATAACGGAAAAGTGAAGGAAAAAATAGTTGTATCGATGTCCATTTCAAGCTCTTCCAAGAAGCATCTGGTTTTGACAGAACACGTATGTTTTTATTTTTTTAATTGTGTAATTGATTTATTGGAAACCGCTCTACTTTTGTTTCATCAGACTTAGTGGCTTCTCACCATTAGTCACTCCAAGATTACCTCCAAGCAGCGGCCGACCCACTCCGGCCTTAAAGAAGACTCCTGCTCATCACCGCCAACAGGCAGCTCAAGGGTAGGGTATGGGCCAGTGTTATTCAAACCAGTGTTGTCGTCCAGTCCTCACAAGTCCGTCACAAATCCTCCAGTCTCAATTAAAGTCACAAGCTATTCAAATGAATTGGGATAAAAGCAGTCCTTGTTAAGTGTTTCTTGTGACAGGACTTGTGCAAGGACTCGTGATTTACTTGTGACCGGACTTGTGATGGACATGTGAATATGGACTGCAACACTGATTCCAACTCAACTTAGGATTTTTGTCTTCAATCTGCCCATTGCAAGGCCGGTAGCAACTATTGAACATATAGCTATACCCCCTTTAGCTCTAAAACTTTATGTACAATAAAAATGTGGGTCATTCTATACATTTGGGTCCATTCTTTTCCTGTCCCTGTTATATTTGACATGTATGAATGTATTATTCTGATGCACTCATTAATGCAGTCATCCTCCATGAATGATCATGAATAGCAAACTACCTACCAAACAAATCAAAAAATTGTTTGAAGTCATTGTTAATAATACTTGAATGCAAATTAAACAGTTCAGAGGTGACAGTGACAGCAAGAATGTCGCACTTTGGACCCTAAATTTATATGATGACTCAACAGAAATCACTATTACACCCAAAAACTAAACTTTTTTGGAGGTACTGTTTGTGTTCATTATAGCAATGTTGTTCTGTGCTGAACTCTTCTTCTTTGTTTAAAGGGCGGGGCCTTCCAAAGCAGTCCCAAAACAAGCACCCCAGAAGAAGAAATCACCCACAGCCCCTCGGAAGGAGACTGCCTGCCTACCCGCAAGTCTCACCAAGAGTATCTTGTCTCACTTCTCCAAAGCGAGGATGTCTAAAGGTGCCGTGGATGCAGTAGAGAAAGGGTGAGGTTGTTAAAGGTTCACTTTTGGCAACATTTCTCCAAAATGTTACGTTATAGATTGTTGACTTACCTTATTTCTAAGGTATATGTCACAGTAAATCCAATGTCCTACATTTATGAAGAAAACATTGGAAAATCTTGTTTTGTTGACATCTGACGCTGCAGCGGTTTTGGGCCTTATCTATACATACTTCAAGCATCAAATTTTGAACCAGACTTTCAACAAAACATTAGCATTGCATACAATGTATTAAATGTGCTGTAAAATTCACTTTGAGATATAAGGTCCCACCCTAGCCTCAGAATGAAACAAGCAGTCAAATTAAACTGTGAAAAAAATACTACAGTCCTAAGAATGTAAAGGTTGTAAAATGTCAGGTCGTATTCTTTGAAGAGTCATGTCCCCTGACATCAAAATGTATACATTTTCAAGAATGGGACTGTTTTGTTGTTTCATTGTTCACAGTGCCGAAGCATTCTTCAAGAGATTGTCTAATGATTTGACAGCTTACAGCCGCCATGCTCACAGACAGACCATTGAACAATCTGACGTAGAGCTGCTCATGAGAAGGTAAACCCTGGTTTCATGAAGAATTTCTGTTTCATGTATGCCTTTTTTGGCTTCTCTACTTGATGTTTGTTGCTCTAGCCCTTTTAAGTCAAATCATATCAGGCAAAAAGTCATACTTGTGAGTGCCAAAGACCAAACTTGACATACACATGTAGATGCAGAGTACTGTTTTAAGGCAGAGACATTCTCTCAAGATATAGAAGTTTGTGTACATGCCTTCAGATTGAGTTATAAGTCATAACTGTCTTAGTCGTAGCCGTGGAACTGAAAGAGATTACAATTACACTGTAGTGCTGAAAGTTGGTTCATACTTCACACCAATGCCAATGCGAAGTGAATTTGACATGAAACAGTCATGACGAAATTTGTTTAACTTCCGGGAATTCGCAGTGCAAAAAGTTGCAGTGATGCCATCAAATCGCCTTCGCTTTTGCACCGAGTATGAACCGGCCTCTAATCTGCACATTTAGAAAAATGTTCAACTGTGTGAGTACACGTATTCACAGTCTTCCTTGTTCTTAGATAAAATGTGAAGAGGATGATTCCAAAAAAAAAAAAGGCAGAGCGATAAAAATTTCAGCAGGGTTGGACAAACTTTAACAGTGGGGTGGTTCGAAATTTCAGCCGAGTGGCCTATATTACAAGCTTTCTGGTGCGCATACATCAAGGCATATTGTTTGTGACATTCATCGCTTTTCTTTTCCCACCATAGGCAAGGCCTGATTCAAGACCAACAGTCCATGTATGCTCTGATCGAAAAGTACCTACCTTTAGAATACAGACAGGAACTAATACCTATGGCTACAGCGGGGAACAAAGTCACGCCCAAACCAACCCACTGATCGTCACTGATTTAGTACCCACTCATGGATTGCAGACAGGAACTCATACCCATGTCGACAACTGGATCCATACCCAAGCCCCCCACTATTATCACTGACTTGGTACCTAAACATTGGAGTACAGACAGAAACTAATACCCATGGCTACAGTGGGGAACAGTCACGCCAAAACCTCACTGATCATTGCTGGTTCAGTACCAACTCATGGAGTGCAGACAGGAACTAATACCCATGGCTACAGTGGAGAACAAACTCTCGGCGAAACCTCCCCACTGATTATCACTGACTTAGTACCTACTCCTGGAGTACAGACAGGAATTAATACCCTTAGCTATCCAATTCATTAAGTGTGACGTCACTTCAGCATAAACCACGCCCACTACACATTATGTAGCATTGGCACCATTGGAACCAGAAGTAGTGCTAAGTGGCATGTTTAGCAAATGGGCGCTAGTAATCAGTTGCGTTTGTTTATGGTGTAAATCGAGGACACACACGTGCAACATCATCGGTGAATCGAGGACAGGAACCAAATCGAGGACGACCTTCATAAGAAAACGTGTACAAAACCAATGAGTGCTGTTGCGAGTACAAACAAAGGAAAATGGAAGAGGAACAAAAGAAAATCCTCCATTTACACCATAAACAAACGTGCTAGTGTGTGCGCATGTATGACAAAGTCATTTACGAACCGGATTGCAGGGAACAATGTTACATGTTAACTTTGCAAAGTGGCCCTACAGACTCCGTGTACAATCATTAGATGGCACTTTCTGACCAGTTTTGAGAGCCCAGTAGGAGGGACACCACGTTTGAATATTGCTTTTTGTACGTATGGCACGAATAACAATAATAGTACATGTAATGTGGTGCTTATATAGTGCTTTATAGCAAAGGTCTCAAAGCGCTTCATAATATTACACCTGTTCAAACAATGAGACCATATTTTTCTGCAGCAGCTCGAGATCAGTTTAATCTGGTCTCTACCTTCACAGGTATCCATTTGTAGTAAAGTGTCTTGCCCAAGAACACAATCACCATATTTCGCCTACCACGTCATGAGTTGAACACTAACTGTTGGACCACGTCGCGAAGTATTCACAACTAATTTGTGTACAAACCCATAGCGTCTTTGCATTTGAATGTCCCTCCCAGTGGTCTCCCCCTTACTCTCGGGGAGTACATGTACTTGTGCAAGGAGTCCATACCAGCATCCTCAGTTTGTGATATAAGAAGGAAGTACAATAATGTACAAGTGTGAACCTCACCATCATTATATGTACCAGCACTGCTGTTTTATTACCAGCTTTGAATTAGTGCCAGTCTTGTAAATAATGACAAAAAGTTGTCTTCATGTTGGGGTGATGTGTTATAGACAAATCCAGTAACAGTACTGAAACCCCCAAGGATGCACTACTATATAGGAATTTCAGTTCACTAAGAATTATCTGATGACCACATGTTTTGCTTATAGCTACTGTTTATCTGGGTGTCCAGTGCTCTTAATGTAAGTACATGTATGCTATGTCACAATTTTCACATTGCATGCACAGTGAAACCCAATTTGTGTAAAAATTGTAATTAAAATGCCTTCTTTGTACCATATTTAAGACTAGTTTTGTTTTTCTCAGCCATTTTCAGATTAAGTTATATTTGTTTGTAAAAGGAACTTTAATACTAGAAATGACCTGCCCAAATATTTGCTTTATCTGTCCTTGGTTGGTTCATATGACGTGTACTCATCATATTCCTCGGATCCACTGTTGTCTATGGTCTCACTCAAATCCTCATTATCTGCAACACTTTCATCAGACTCTGTCTGCGTCTCGTACTCAACAAACTTGTCCAAACATTCCTTTTCTCGGCTGGACCTATACTGCTCCAACTCTCCCTTGTAGAACGCTGCCTCCTTTCTCTCTGTCTTGCCCATTTTTTTCTTCTTCATGAACCCCCGCAACTGTTGGAATCTCTTGTCCGTAGCTTCATCACCATCCAGCCCCTCTCGCACTCTGCCTACATCCGATTGCTTGATCAGCTTATTCAAGATTTCATGGTCAATGCCAAACAAGCTTGGCTGATGTGTCGCTCCACTTGCATCCCCCTCACCCTTGCTCGTTTTCTGGATAAATTCTATCCTTGCATCGGTTTTTGAATTCTCAATCTCATTGGGATCCAACTCTCTCATTTCCATGTCCTCCTCGGGTCCAAAGTCGGCAATAGCAAGGAGCCTGTCTATCTCAGACAGACTGGCACTCGCCTTGTCCTTCAGGAAGAAGATTGGAGGGACCTTGCCGAGCACTCGATGGGAAATCAAGGCACGTCTGCAAAATATAAAAATGTTCTCAATGTTATTTGAATATAATTGTAGCTGGTCCCAGAGGGCCAGCCTGTTGTCTTTGTTGCACCTATCCCACTGACTGACTGACAGACTGACCCCCTTTCTGATTGACTGACTGACTCCCCGACTGACTCCCCGACTGACTCGCTCCCCGTTGCGAGCCGGGCAGTGCTATCATATAGGATTACCCATTAACGCCAATGAGTAGGCTAAATCCAGCCCACTGTGTAGCCCAGATGCATGAATAGATTTCCCATTGAATATGAGTGAATCATTTGAGAATTGTGTGCGTTCTGGGACTACATGTAGCTTTAGTCCTGCTTACTCTCATTTTCTCTATCAGGGACCAGACCATCACCAGTTATGTGATAAAGTCAGATACTGTCACACACAAGTTCGCAAGTTGAAAAATAAAGAGAGTTCTGATATTTCATCAATTACTTTCTGTTCTTGGTCCTGTAGTGAAGGGGAAAGGCATGGACCGAAATTCTAGGGACATTTGGTAAAAATGGAGTGAATTAAGGATTAACAACAAATATAGGCATATTGAACAATTTGCATATTTGGTGGTTTTTTTTTTCATTTTTGCATATTTTATGTATAGGGAGTATATGGATGTTTTTGAAAATGCTTTTAATAAAAACGAAATACCCCCTCCCCCATTAGCCACCACTCATTCTGGACAAATTCTACATACTAAATGGTTGTGAATTGATGGTCATTTACCTAAGGGGACCTTTGTGTCTATTTAGAACTTCCTCTATTCTGTCATTTTCTTTCACGTCACCCGTTGACTGCCAGTAAACGCGGCATGCACTCATATCGCCTGATACTCGTACCTGGATTTTTAAAAAAGATACAGGTGTTCAAAGCTGAAGGTTATTCGAACAAGAGACAGAATATCAGAGCCTCCAGTGATAAGAGCTAATTACAGTTAAATATTCGGTTGTGCCTTTTTTGTTAAAGAAATGCCTTTTTGTTTTTTCAGTACTCACAAACAGCAGTGTATTTACATGTAGGAAGAGGCAACATGGTGACATTCCCCACCCCTTGGGGAGAATAGCGAAAATAGGTATTCAGCTTTGAACAAGTTCAGGCGTGAACTATAGCACGGGGCACACGTTGGCATCACTGGTTACCAATAGCCATGCACATCATAAAGCACAGCAGGGAGCCATGACTTTTGACCATTGTTTGACTAAACTTTGCCATTAGTGCGCACAGGCATAAGATATGCCACAAATCAACCACTAGTGGACTAATGGTCCTCGAATAAACTTGCAAAAAGTTTCCGTGCTTACCAAATTTAAGTAATTAAGAGATCCATAATGTCAGCCTTAGCAACTCAGGATTTCATCCTGGGATAATGGGCCTTATTCATGAGTCGGCCATATTGAATTGAAAGTGAGATAATATCTTAATTTTTGGAACTTGCGAAGAGAAATGAAAGCAAGTTAATTACTAATTAATTCCAGTCTGCTTCAATGAATAATATTAAATGTATAATTAAAATTTCCCTAATGTTTAAAGCCATATTTAAAAAAAGACAGTAAAGTAAGGCTGCATTGTGCCTGCATAAATAGTCTGGCGCCATTCCATTGAACAGTTAACACTTTATAATGAAAAACGTTCAGGGAACTCGACAAAATGGGTGAATAAGGCCTGTGCCAACATAAAGGACTACAGTTTAGTTGCTAGAGTGCCGACAGGTTGCTCCTTTTCCAAGATACATGTATTGACTTATTTACCCCTAAGACGGTGAGCTGTAGTTGCTCCAACTCTTCGCTAATGTAGCTTGTGGTCATCATGTCACTGATGTTGTCAAACAGAATCTTGTTGTATGTCCTCAACCGGATACTATCTTCACTCCTCATCTTGCTATTGGTACCAGTGGTTACACCCGTTGCCTTGGTTACACAACAAAAAAAAAGCAATAACCGTGAGCGTTTTTTTCTTGTCTTTTTTGTTGTCTTTGTACAACATTTCATTTAATTCCACAAATTCCTGCCGTAGGACAGCTAGATTGGGATTCAGGGAAACGTCAGGAAACTTTCATCATTTCTGCAGGTCCTGGAGGACTAGGTTAGTGACCTCTTTAATTGTGCCTACATGTATCTCACTGATACAGTAACTGACGGTTACTTGTGACTTGGAACTGTAGGCCGGTGAAGAGAACCGGGCAGTGCTATCATATAGGATTATCCTATAATGCCAATGAATGGGCTAACACCGGCCCATTGTGCAGACCAGATGTATTAAAAGACCTAGTGGACAGCCATTCTGAATCAATTGAATATATTTTGTGCCGCCTGGGCCCCATTTTACTACGCTTGCCTCGTCTTGTTGTTAAAGCTCTATGCTTGTTAAACGCCCTTTACAATGGAAAAGGGGAGAGAATGTGCAAATGTACATTCATCATTTCATCTTGTTCATAATTCTTACCAATCTTCCAAGCTGGGTAACATTCATAGGGTCATAGTAGAATTTTTTTCTGTAATTTGTAAAGGATATAAAAAGGTAGAGTTAATTGACTGATACATTTTGTATGACCCATCTTTTTATAAAGTATTAACTATTAACTGTCATGCACCAGATTTATTTTATGAGCTTGGCAATTATAGTTAGTGCATTATTGTTATTACAGTAGTCCTATAAAGTGTAGTGTGTGGGTGATGTAAGCATTGATTAGCACAATAAGCCTTTCAATGTTTTCATTCATGTCATGCATCTGTTTTGCACGATGCATGACATGATGCATGACTGGACGACAGTTCAACCATTTCTGCCCTGTATTAGTGAACGTTGCACGAACAGTTGTTTTTTGGACAGTCAGCTGCCTATTCAAGCCTTCCCCTCAAGGCCTAGCCACCACCATGCAACATGATGCAATCAACATGACCAGTTCAAGCAAACAGCAATTACAATTTAAATACTGAAATAAAAGTCAAAATTCTTACCCACCCCCCCCCCCCCAAAAAAAAGTTGCATCTTGCAATTAAAATACTGGCAGACTGGATCTAGAGGGGAGATTTAACATAAAAATTTTCAGAAAAAAATAAAAGGCGGCAATAAAGGTAGGCCTAACCACTTGGCAGTGGCACTAACCCATTCCCCCCCCCCTTTTCGTGTTCATAAAAATGGTAATCCTTACTTTTAGGACACCTCTATTTTTTACGAGTTCTGTTTAAAACTGACTTTTGCAGATGTCTGTCCAGTACCAAAGTGACTTTTGCAGGCTAAAGCAGTCTTTAGAAGTCAAGAAGGTGTCATTGCCAATTGTGCAGATGTGCCAAGAAGTATCAGAATGTCAATTTTGAGTGTCATTTAGGTCAACTGTTTTGGTGAATCTTTCCCTTCCTATATAGGAACGGGGTCCTAAAAGTAAGGATTACCACAAAAATGATTAAGAAAGGGGAGGGTATTTGCAGATATGAGGCTGCTACACTTTCGGTAATCCTTACTTTTAGGACCCCGTTCCTATATAGGAAGGGAAAGACTCACCAAAACAGTTGACTAAATGACACTCAAAATTGACATTCTGATACTTCTTGGCACATCTGAACAATTGGCAATGACACCTTCTTGTCTTCTAAAGACTGCTTTAGCCTGCAAAAGTCACTTTGGTACTGGACAGACATCTGCAAAAGTCAGTTTTGAACAGAACTCGTAAAAAATAGAGGTGTCCTAAAAGTAAGGATTACCACACTTTCATTTCTCAAAACAAAATATGACATTGTCGCATGGAGGAAGTCCCCCCCCCCCCCCCCCCCCCCCCCATAATCCGAGGATGAGGAGAAATCAACTCACTTCTTCTTGGTCAACAGTTTCTCAAGTTTTGCAAGACGTCTCCCGCCTTTATAGAGACATGATGAGCTGTGATAATAACACATGCAAACAAGAGGTCTGCGTAAATTACTTAGAGTCAATGAACATGATATTTGCGCAAACAGTGTCATGTTTATTAGGCAAAAAATGTGCACAACCACGAGAAGAACTGCAGGCCCGTTTTATCTCAATCTCATTGAGGGCGCTCTTTATAATCACAGCAGGCTAGCTAAAATAAAAGTCAAGATGGCGGCGCACTGGAGCAACGAAAATGTGTCGGTTGATTACTTTCGAGAGTCTCAGGTGAGTTTGTTATATTTTTGTGTAAAAAGTAAAAAAAGTGCAGGACTAATTTCATTAGTTTATAGGGGAGTATTGCCTTTAGAAAAATACATGCGGCACTATATGACTTCGTTCGACTCTGTCTCTCTGGTATGATGATGATTGAAACTAAAGTTCATTGACCGCGGCGCGGGAGGCTAGGCAGGGATTCGGGGCGGGGACAACGCAGAGGATACCCCTAGAAAAGTCTGGGGGTCTGCACAAGTAGAGCACCATAGATGACGTTTGTCACTTCACGACAGCAACCAGCGTATAAAAATGTAGGTGAGAATACAGCCAGTGCTAAAAAAAACCCGTTGGCGCAGCGTATACTGCCAAGACTGCGGGGGGGGGGGGCCTGTGCACCTCTCCCCCCCCCCCCCCCGGCAGGTTTTTAAAAAAAAATCTTATTTTTTTTTAGTAACAGTAGGCCTACACTACCTAGAAATTTTCGGAAAAAGTGCAATATGACGCCACTTTATCCTCCCCTATATCATGGCCTATAATCATATCAATGAAGGTCTTTCATTGCAAAAATGATGATAAGTCATGAATCTGGGACTGAGAAATATTTCTAGTTTTTTAGGAAATACTTTTTAGGAAACTTTTCTTGACTCTTCATAGACTTTGTACACAATCACAGAAGTGGGGTCAGGTTGCAACTTTCTTCCATATTTTCTGATAAAACCATGCCAAAAACAAAAAATACAATGCAAAACGTCAGCAACAGAAACGATTTTGCCCCCCCCCCCTCAATTCCGCAAAAAAATATGCACAAAAATGCATACGGGAGTTTTATAATATTGATATCAGCCAATCATAGGGCACCTCAGTTATTGATGTTGATTACGACATTCCACAGCCGTCGGGTTAGTCAAATCATGGGGCTATAAAATGCTCCATGGTCAAATGTACTGTGTACGCAGAATGTTTGCACAATTGGGTTTATTAATCAGGCAATGAATGGTCAATGAATACAATTACATACACATGTGTGCATGTACACTGCACATTAATGATCTTGGGAATTTAACTAAGATTTTTGTATATAAAATTCAGATTCATCTATATAATTTTCTTACCGTACGTGTCACTGCATGTAGGCCACAGCGATGGCGGTGGACAGCACAGGGGAGTTTGCCCTTCTGGCTGGGTAAGTTGAGGGTAGATGGTTGACAGTGCATCAGAAATGAACAATGGTGTCTTCAAAATAAATAAATTTCTCCTTCCTCACATCAAAAGGCACATAACTCAGTACGCCCCTTAGTTTGCATGAATAGTGCAATAGTGGATAACACTTCACCCTTTGTGAGCGTATGAGTGGTGGAGACACACAATATGTGCACACTTCTTCCCATGTTTATTGTGCGAAGCATACAAGATTTATTTCAACTTATAGTTTTGATTGAAAAGTTAATTGATTAAAGTTGAACAAAGAAAGTAACTGAAGCGGGGATTGAACCTGCAACCTCCAGATTGCCCAAAGTCGTGATGCTTGCAGCATTATCAATGCCGCAAACCTGGGAAAAAGCCAACAGGGATCACACAGAGAGGATACGGCTTTTTTTTTGTAAATGTTCAAATAAACCACAAACTTTTTATCAAAGGGAAGCTGACTACATGTAGGTGCACCATAATTATTTTTAAGTTGAACAAGGAAATTGACTGAAGAAGGGTTTAATCCTGCACCCACCGGATTACCGTACCAGTGCTCTAACAACTAAGCTATCCAGCCCTACATGGACATTGGCAGTTCCCCAATTGTAAATGTCTGTGTTCAAGGAGCGCTAGACATGATTTTGCACAAACTCTTAGCATGTTGGCATGGGTGTCGGGTGCCGATGGCAATGTTTTCAGGAGTCCCTCCCGGTGGATCCCAATTCTCTCAAGATTCCTAACTGCTGAGGGGGTACTTGTGCACGTATTCCATACATGTATGTAGCTAAGTGCATTCTGGTTTTGCTTCAGGCGGCGAGGGTTGGACCTCATCAACCTGGACAATCCTGGCGTCCACTATCCCAGGGTCAAGAGGAAGGGCATGATGAAATGGGACATTAGCGTGGTGGAATGGAACCCTCACTATGGCCGACACAAGGAGTTTGTCACAGCGGTGAGTGTGAAAGCTGATAATCAGAGTTGTAATGGAGTCAGTCACAAGTCACCACAAGTCAGTCACAAGTCAGTCACAAGTCATTATTATTATTATTATTATTATTTATTTATTCTCATCATGTAAAAACATGAAACTTGTCTCCTCGTTCTGCACACAAATATGATGTATAAAACACTTAAAAACTTCACATTAAAAACCAAAACAAAAACATATTACATAAATGTACAAATAGGCGTAACAATATAAGAACACTGACAAGAGTACACGTAAACAGAAATAGAACAACAAATTGAGCCTAATTAAATAAATAAATCAAATATCTGGATTAATAGAGCTATTATGTATAAAGACGAAAAATGGGAAGGACACAATGGCAAGCCGGGGGGGGGGGGGGGGGGGATTAGAAAGCCAGGGGGATATGAGCGGGGGAAAAGGGAACAGGGAAAGGGTTGAAACTTACATGTACGAGGGGTATAAACACACACATTTACATCACGATTTAAAAAGCATAATATCTACTATAAGTCTGATTAAAAACATGAGATTGCCCTGGGTAAAAATAAGGGGAAAAAATGTGTCGTGTTAACGAGATTTCAATTTACTAATTTAACCCGACACAAATGGGTAGATGTGTGAGGAGGGGTGGATAAGAATATTATGAGATAAGACAGAATAAGGGCTAATCTGATTGCACTAAAAACACACTACAGCACGATTATAAAAACAGCATTATCTAGTATAATTCTTGTTAAAATGTGAAACTGCACTGGGTAAAAATGAAAGGTTGTGTCGTGTTGTACGAGAGTTCAATTGACGGATTCGACCTGACCTGTTTTGTACTATGAACGAATGGAGTGGGTGAGTATTGTCTTGCATAATGGTTCTCAGTTTGGATTCAAGAGCATTGTGGTACATTGATTGAATGTCCAGAACATCAACACCAATGACCCTGCTGGCAATTTTAGTGATCCTTTTCAACTTGTTCGAATTCACAACAGTCAAACCATTAAACCAGGCGATACAACAAAAAGACATGACGGACTGTATGACACTCTGATAAAAAAGCAACATAATATCACGATTAACATGAAATAATTTCAATTTCCGCAGGAAAAAGAGCCGTTGACTAGCCTTGGCACATAACTTAAGAGTATTCACATTCCAATTCAATTTACTATCAATGTACGTCCCAAGGTACTTATACTCTGTCACAATTTGGATTTCATCACCACTAATTACAACAGGTTTGATAACATTCTGATTTTTCCTAAAATCAAAAACAATTTCTTGCGTCTTCTGCGTGTTCAATATTAGGAAGTTATCTTTGCACCAATTACAGAACTTAACAATTTCGTTCCTGTATCCAGTCTCATTGTCATGACTAATCAACCCTGTCAGTGAGGTGTCATCTGCATATTTTATCATAGGACACATAGGGTCTTCACTTCTGAGGTCACTAGTGTAAAGAGTAAAAAGCACTGGGGACAAAACGCACCCCTGTGGAGCCCCTGTATTACTATGAACAACATTAGACAGGGAATTCATGAAACGCACCCTTTGCGTTCTGCTTGTCAAAAAATCACCGATCCACATAATCAAACAGGGGTTCACATTCATCCCTCTCAGTTTGCCAGTCAGAACATGGGGTTGGATCAGATTGAAGGCCGAAGAAAAATCCACAAATAATGTTCTAGCATACGTCCTTGGTTGATCAAGATGGCTATAGACGCTATGCAAAAGTGTAATGATAGCATCTTCGACACTACGTTTAGCTCTATAGGCAAACTGTAAGGGATCAATGTAGGCACCTGTTTGACTGACAAGAATATCCTTTACAATGCGTTCAAAACACTTCATTACTATTGACGTAAGTGCTACAGGCCTATAATCATTGAGTACTGATGGCTTAGGCTTTTTAGGCACTGGAATCAAAGTTGATGATTTCCACAGTTTAGGAATTTGACAGGTATCCAAAGACCACTGAAAGAGGTCACAAAAAACTGATGAAAGTTCTTTATAACAATGTTTAAGAACTCTGCCAGAGAGTCCATCTGGTCCTGTAGATTTACAAACTTTTACCCGTTTCAGAGTATTTTCAACAACAGTAGCATCCAGTTTTATGAAGTCATTACTACAAACCTGACTCTCAAGGGTCTTACGACCTTCTTCGTGAAGGGCTCTAAAGTCCAGTCTGTCAAACCGAGCATAAAAGTCACTTAGATCTTCTATGAATGATGGTACGTCGCAAGGTGGTACTACAGATTGACTATTTTTCCCTGACCCTGTGATAGATCTCATGCCCTGCCATGCTTCCTTAGGATTCCCGGCACGGAACTGATCTTCCACTCTCTTGCCGTACTTCTTCTTGCTTGAACGAATCGCTTGAGAGAGTTCATTTTGGATCCTCCGTCTATCTGATGAGTTGCCGTTTTTAAAAGTCTGTTGTTTTTCCCTCAAGAGGTTCCGGATCTCCTTGTTTACCCAGGGCTTACTGTTCGGATATGTTTTCACTTCCTTGACAGGTACCAGCATGTCTTCACAAAACTTGATGTAATCAGTGACAACATCAGCAGCTGCATCAAGTGTGTTTGACTCAGTAAAAATGTTCCAATCCGTACATTCAAAACATGCACGAAGAGCCTGCACACTGTCGTCAGTCCATTTCTTGATGCGAGTCACCCTTGGTTTCTCCCGTTTCAGTTTCTGTTTGTATTCCGGTACTAAATGCACCATGCAATGATCAGAAGAGCCCAAGCCCGCTTTTCCATAAGCTTTGTAACCATTTTTGACATTTCCGTAACATTTGTCCAATGTCCGATCACCTCTAGTATATACGTTGACATATTGATAGTAATGAGGCAGTACATTTTTCAGGTTGCAACTGTTAAAATCTCCAAGGATCAAGTTGACAGAGTCAGGCGACTGTGATTCAAGTTGCTGAACTATCCCGTGGATTTTAGCTGCTGCAATATCTGTATTTGCTGAAGGTGGAATATACACTCAATATACAGTCATCTTATCCCGAGTCAACTCACAAGCTATTCAAATGAACTGAGGCAAAGGCATTGTTTTGTCCTTGTTCATCTCGTGTTGCTTCTGACCTGACTTGTGAATGGACTTGCGATTGACTGGATTACAACTCTGGGGTCAATCCATTAAGCCCCACCCACTGTAAACGTGAACATGAACCTGTGTGCCTCTCAAATAATAACACTGCATGTTCAAGAGACGTGTCATACCATGCAGGTGTATGTATGTTGGACTTTTATGTATACATGCATACCAAACATACATCACAACCTATGGTATTGTTCATATTGCTTTTTTTCCTTTTGTTTATCCCTCAGTCCAACCAAGTGGCTGATCTGTACGCTAAGCGTGAGGGAGATTGGTTTCAAGAACACTCATTGAAGGCGCATACAAGAGCCATTAGGTAAGTACCTTTGCAACTCTCAATTGATCTGAGTCATCCTCTTGATTACCTTATCCTTGTTTTCTCGCAGTGTGGATGTCAATCAAAGATAGATATGTGGCAGCTGATTTTAACCACTGAGTAGTGATACTTTTTTGTTGGTCTCAACCCAGAGTGATTGATTACCTAGAAGGAAAGACCTGTACGCGAAACAAAATTGATGACATCATCAGACTAGAAGCTATAATGAAAAGACCTTTAAACCTTAAAAAAGTTGCTGCAAAATCAACTGCGACAGATATAATCAGGATTTGGCTATAAATAGCTTTCTGGTAATGCCATCACGATGACGTCATCAAGTATCATATTACAAGCAACCAAAGATTTCTAGATTTAATCTTTGAAAATCAATATAAAATCAACTGTTAAATATTTGTTTTTGTTTTTTATTGGCAATCAATACAATATTGAAGGGTCTTCAGTTTGGGTACTAAGTGCAAAATCGAAACCGGAAGTGCCTTATGACTTTAAATTGGCCAAAGATGTGAACTTGCTTTCAATGATGTGAGTCTCTGCCTAGGCTGTACTTTCCAAAATTATTACAGTTGATGTCATAAAATGTTAGAGCACCCTCTAGCGGCGTAGTGAAAACGACGAACATGCTTTTTGAGTTGATGTGTGTGGCAAAGTTTGCGATAATCGCTTCAAACATGATAGCCCAACACCGTGTGGTTGTTCCTACAACCTCTAGTTCATTTTTGTTTTAATTCACGGCATTAACACAAAATGTAAAATAACTTGGCTTGGCAAATTTAATTTCGCATAGCACCATCCTCTTGCTCAAGTACTGCTTTTTGGAACAGTTGAGTGGTAGCATCCATTATAAGCCTTATCAGCAGGGGTAATAATGATGAAATGCTTCGAGCAACACTTTGGCCTCTGTAAAAAAATATTGCTACAGATATAGCCCTGTTTCCATTGCCCATTTGCACAAAGAATTGCCCATGCTTTATGTGTTTTCATGTAGGATTACTTTACAGACTAGTAAATTGAACTGTTATCTGGGTGTCCCCCACACGGTCTGTCACTGCAAGAACTAGAAGTAAATCCAATGTTTCAACATTATTTGCGACTGATAATTCTAATCATAATCAAGATTGGTAGTCCAGATCCCCTGCATAGTGCAGTTGTCAGGATTACCAGCTAGATTGATTAAATGATTTATTTTATGATTACACATGTTTCTGGTTACACGCTTTTAAAGCTGTTGAAACAAGTGACATGTGTTCAAGCTTATTTTGGTTGATATCAGTTTGTTAAAGAATGTTGGACATGTTAAGCAGAACTTGTTTAAGTGGAAAAGAGTTAAGTTATTCATAACTGAGGAATGGCAGGTATTCATTGGACAAATAGACCTCATAATCACATGGTAGTAGCCTCAGAAGTAAGTGTTCTGATCCTATTTCATTGTAACATCAAACTTGAACAAGGAAAGGTTGTGATTTTAGAAACGAGAACAGCTGGCTCAGTAATTACTCAAGACAATACAGAGCTTTGTCACTGGAAGTTACCAAAGTAAAACGGGGCAAAGCTTCAATGGACAATTATGGAATGCTGACAGATTCTGAGTTAAGTTATCTTACCTTGGAAAAGATGACATAAACAAAGGGAGCATCGGAGTTGCATTGAATTGAAACTTGAAATGTTCAAGTATAAAAGAAGACACTGTTGTTGAGTAGATTACCATAAAGGTGACCTTAGGAGGATTCGCATTTCTGCAGTTGCAGATTTGAGAAAAGGCAACAGTCGCACTTCAGGAATCAAAGAGCGATTAAAACCTATCAGCATGGCGGATCTGTCCAAGAAGGTACTCCAGCAGAACAGACAGGAGAATAATCTCCTCCAGAAACACCTGGCTGCCATCGAGAAATCCCGTCGGCTGACACTGCGACAGATGGATGCCAATATGCGCGAGATACAGCAGTGGGCCTATCGACTGAACATGCAGGTGCTGAAGTGTGCTGAGTTCCAAGGACTGTATGCCAACTACCATCAGGAGACCAATGAAAAAACGCCAGTCAGCGTCACCTACTGCACATGTAGTCGGTGTCTGGAGAAATGGCAGAAGACAAAGCAGTGGACCATTCGGTTGGATGGCGGTGTGGACCAACAGAAAGCAAGAGCTGCTGCACCATCCACACGTAGAAATATGAAATCTGCCTTTTCACTATCAGATACAGTTTCTCCAAAACCATCAATTGGGTTGCCTGCATTAATTGGGCCATTGACTCAGCCACTGTTAGAACAAAACACGTGTCGGTGCTCTGTGTGTACATATTCATTATGCAAGATGTCACCGGTCAGGCCATTGAGTTCATTTGAGGGGACACCTAAACCTAAATATTCTGAACAAAACGTCACCAATTTGGAGCAATCTAACAACGACCTGAGCAGCAGACGTTTCTTTCAAGATCAAGACAACAAGGCAGACACCAAGAAGGCCAACAGTTCGTTGGACGAAAGACTCGTGATGTCATACCAAGCCATGATCACAGTGACCAATAAGGGATCCCGATACGTGTCCAATACTTCGTTCCGAACCGTGCAGATGGCTCGGAAAATCCAGGCAGCAAAGAAGCTTATAAGACCACAGACCATGCCTCCAATCAAACTAACGCAGTCTCAGCTCAGAGCGACTGGACTCAGCCACTGACCATTCCTTTATAACAGTCTTTTCATACACTGCAGGACAACAGAAGATCTTGCACTCCACGGACAAACTAAACAAAACCTAAATTTCTTGTAGCTGAAAATGTTTCATATGAATTGTTTTGTATTTATTGAGAATGATGCCAAATAACATGCAGTGTTAAAATTATTGAAAACAATTGCAATACTATTTTTCTGTGTTACACATGTAAAAGCTAACATGTACATTTACATTTTTGTGCATGATCACATTTTATGTACAGATCTCAAATTTCCTTGCTTTTTCCCTGTTTTCAAGTATGATCTTGTTTTTTGTGTTTTACATTTTTGGCAAATCATTTCAAATCATATTTTACCAAAAGGCTGAATGAAATATATTCCTGAAAGGAATGTTCAAATTGTGCTTTCTCCTGTTGGGTGTTGTTTGTTATTTTAATCCTGCATCTCAAAAATGGCTGCAATGCAGAAGAGATGATATACAATACACATTTCATAACTTTGAAATATATAAATTTGAGATTCCTTATGCATGAAGGACACATGGTTGCCTTCATAGCTTTGAAGCCTTTGTGTCCTTCAGGTTATTTTAAGAAAGAAAGCGTGGTACTGCTTCCCTATAACTGTTTACTATTGTGGTAATCCTTTGTATTACAGTTTTAATCCTATTACGCATTAGCCTGTTGTACAGAAACTTGCAACATGTTTTGGTGCTTTACTTGTGTGCATACATGTACATAGATTGCAAAATAAATACCAATGATATTTTGACAAATGGCAAATTTTTTTTGCTCTACTATGATTTTTCTCATTTTATCTTTACTTATGTTCCTAACCGCATATGGTAATCAAGTGTGGTAAGGCCAAATAAAGAAAGCATGTTTAGTGTCCTGCTTTTTTGAAAAAAAGGAAGGAGGAGGCCCTTTTTCTTCTCTTCCCCCCCCCCCCCCCCCAGCAAAAAAAAAATGGCCACCCGACCAGGCTTTTTTTTTTTTTTTTAAATGGCCGCCACTTGGACTCGGGAATTGACATAGGCCTACATACATAGCTTTATACATATTATGGGCTAGATGCCAGCTTTATATGGGCTAGATGCAACAGACAAAGAGGCCGAAATGATGTCACTGTTTAAAATATATCATTTTTCAGTTAAAAATAAAAGGGGAGGCAGCCTCCAAAAAGGAAGTGGGTGGGGATGCTAAACATGTTTTTTTTTTGGGGGGGGGGGGGTGGCCTAAAGCACTTTGCTCAAGAACACAAATTGATGTGCTTCACACAATGAGATTTGAACCCTCGTTAACAGAGCCTGAGTTTTTGATAATGTTCCTGTCAATGCAGCCAGTCCCTAACCGGCAATTATCCCTAACTGTCGCAGTGATACAAGACTCTATCAACAAGATGTATTAAGTGCAGTCTTGGGAAAACTCAGCACTCAAGACATATGAGAAATTCTGAGCAGACACCTCACGTGCACACATAGCAAGACAGGGATGTAAATCCTTCTGCAATTGCCTAATTTCAAGTTTGTTAGTGGGTTTTTTTTTTTCAAATTGAAAATAATATATTTGCACCGTACTTTTCCTTTGTACCTCACATTTTAGGGAAAAGTGTCAAGAGTCGATTTTTATGCATCTCTATAAAGTATATACTGCCCTGAACCAACATAAGCAGCTTGGTTGCATATGCCAAGTACCGGTTGGTCAGGGGAACATAATATCCAGTCTTGTGTCGAGACTAATGTTTTAGAACCCTTGATCTCAAGAAAGTCTATCAAATGTGGAAAATTCTGCAAGATCTAATCTCCCATACATAACACACATACACAGCTCCTCTGTTATAACACTACCAGCTTGTGTTAAGTAGCCAATCAAATAATAGGCTTATCTGTTGGATTAATCTCAGTGTTTGCAAATCCCTTCCCCTTAAGCTGATTAACAACTCCTTTTGGGGCGCAAAGGATTATCAGTCATGATAAGTCTATTATCACCAGCCGCCTCTAAAATCTTCTGAATAATGTGCATTTGTATGGTTTTTAAAAAAAATGCTTAGTCCAGTGTTTCCGTATTTAGAATAGTTTTGAGATTAAGTTATAGAGTAGTGTACAATTTCTTGATTTCTCTGCGGTTGTCGCCAGAACTTGTTAATGGATAAACTCTTTTGACAAAACTTGGTACACCAGCCAATCAGATTGATCATTTGAGATCAACGGTAACCGTAGCAATCACTCAGCCAGCCAAAAAACTGGAGCAAAGTTGAACCACCTCCCAAGTAGTTGGCAATTGAGAACACCAAAAAATTGTTTCCATGGCAACAAG